CCGGTTGAACATCATACAGAAGCAAGTAGTAGCTCCAGGCAAATGCAGGTGAGTGATGTGACACTGATCTACTCTGGAGTCGCTGATAACTTTGTCACCGTTAAGTTTGTAGAGAAATTTGCTGTCCCCCTAGTAGGTTGTCCAGCCTTTTAGGGTTCACGTGTGTCTGAATGTACGAAGTTCCCTTCCACTTACATCACAGCAATGGACTTCATTAAGCAACATTTTGGAATACTGGTCAACGACTAGTACACCTCTGTGATGGGGACAGGTCGGTTATGAAATCCATACTGATGCGTGAAACATTGTCTTTGTGGCACTGCAAAGACTCCAAGGTCCCGGCTGGCATCAACATAGGGGTCTTCACTTGATTGCATATGTGACATGCAAGCACATAGTCCTGGACATCTACCAATGAGGGCCACCAAAACTTGCGGTTGATGAGGTTCAAAGTCTGGGTTATTTCCAGGTCACCAGAACAGAAGGAAGTGTGAACCCAGATCCTCAATATAAATTATCAGGAACTGATAATGCCACAGAACACTTTGTTAATGAATGACTGAAAAATGACTGCCGCATTATCTAATCCATAAGGCATCACCAGGTACTCGTAGTGCCCCCTAGTGGTTACGAACACAGTTTACAGTCATCCCCTTCTCTTATATGGATGAGATTGTAGGCACTTCCCAAGTCCAATTTCATGAAAATGGTGGCCTCTCCAATTTGCTCCAGATCTGTCGGGATCAGTGGTAATAGATATCTGAACTTCACGGTAATATTATTCAAGACTCAATCATCTATGCAAGGATGTAGACCCCCATCATTCTCAACAAAAAACCTTAAGGCTGCTAGAGAGTTAGAGGGCCTGATTATGCCTATAGTGAGGGAATCGTGTTTCTACAGCCAGGGAAGTCCTAAAATCACAGGGTCACAAGGAGAAGGTAACTGGATGTTTTCGCAACGGAGGACTGCAGTATACATGGTGATGGGTTGTGTCTGGTGAGGAACCAGGCTGTCCCCTAATGGCTTGCCGTCAAACCCCCGCACTGATAGAGGTTTGGTTAATCGGGGCTAAGGGGACCTCTAGTTTACCAGAATAGTTAATTGACGTTGCCATACAATGGTTATTGAGGATATTCTCACCCAAGTAGATCATGGACTGAAGCCTGGTGGTGGACGAGCTAGACCGGCGGCCCGGAGATGGTCGGCTCGTCCACAGTATAGGCAAAGTCATTGTCGTTCCTCTGGGCTCAGGGATTGCCTGCATGGGTTCCAGTCTTTCCTCTCCAGGGCTTGGCATCCGAGCTCCAGCCATAGCAGAAGCTTGGACAGGTCTCCGCTGTTCCCATTCACCCCCCCCTGCAGGCAAGCTTGGTTGGTACATGAGAATTTAGCCCCATACGGTAAGCATTGAGCAGGACAAACTCATTTCATCCACTTCCAGTGGCCATGCTACCTAACACTAAGGCAGAATTGGAAGTGAGGTGATTACCTTGTCTTATCCAGTATCAGCATTCACCGGCATCCTTCCCTAGGAGGGGTGATTGAGCCCCCGCTTTGGAGCCTCTAACAAGCTGGTGTCACAGTGACATACAGGGTTATTTTGATGTGACAATTTCCAAAGGTAACAGAGACATAATAAATTGCATCTTACGTTACATAATTTGGATGTTATCAGAATAGTGATCCAAATACACAGCACATTGCATCAAGAAGCCATTACAGCAATCAGGGTGTCCATCAAACTTATCGGGCAAAGGGAAAAGAGTTACTGGAGAGGTAGAAGACACAGAAGCTGCCACGGTGGCTTGGCTTGATGCAGGAAGGTGGGGCAGACCCTCACTAAATAAATGAACCAAATCATTTATCTGTTCCTCTTGCTGTGCCAGCCTTCTTTCCACCTCTGCTGGATCCATGAACAAGGCAAAGTATTCTGTAATGATGAGGATCCACGTGCAGAGTAGAAGGTGGGTTAATTAGATTAGAAGACAGGAGTTGTGGTTGAGCACAGGCTCAAAGATCTCGAACAATCCAATAGCAAAATGGAGGGACAGGCTCAACGTCGGTAATACGAAGGCAATCCACGAGGCAACCAGAACCAGAGAGACACAAAGGCAAGAATCGAAAATGCAGACCACGGAAACTACAGGTCATGAGCGAGAATACAAGCATGGTCATCCATAACACTCTGTATGCTACAAAACACTCAAGCATGTAATAATGTTCCAATCCGCACTTAAAAATATAGTCCCAATAAGGACTGAACGTCTGGTCAGACTGTTCACTGGAAGTGGCAAGTCTGTTAGGTTACCATAGAAGCCGTCAACAGACACTTGTATTATGAAAACCAAGGAGTTATGCTGATAAGAATGACTGCATATTTATGATTAAAAAGGCACACAAGTTATTATATGAACATATTTAATAAAACATTAAAACACCATAATATAAAAATGTTATTAGGCTGCTGGAACTGTCTGTGCAGTTGCAGGAAAACACCCGCATGACATCTCTGGACTAATAAGAAAACAGTATGTACCAAAGCCGGGGTTAATGTAAATGTAGCGATTGGGCAGGATCACTCGTGGCTGTTCATAACTCCGGGAAGACAATCAGTAAAGGCTGGGTTGTTCAGGAGAAGCTGGGTGTGGTTGCAGTTGATCTGGTGTGAGGGCGTGACACCTCATTTATGTTCATCTTCTTGGGACAAATTAAATCATCTTTCCAACATCATTAAAATTACCAGCATGAAAAATATAAAATGAAAAATCATGGATCTGCAAGCACTGAAGACTATTACCACAGAACTGAATTAACTTTTCCTTCACTAACTAAGGAGTTTTATTGTATCTGTATTGTACATTCAGACAGGGGTGCCCCTAGAGCAAGAGTGACCAATCTTATTTTTGCAATAACCTTTAGATCAGCAGTTAAAATCCAGGTGTGAGGATTCTTCAATCTATCAGTCGACTAATTAGTAATCTAATTAGGGAGATGCAGAGCAAACCCACATACACAGCGGCCCTTTCTGGACAAGCTTGGCCACCCCTGCCCTAGAGATTTTGACCACCATGCATTGGAGGTTCTAGACCATTTCACCCGAGGGGCCAGACTGGGGCAATTTGTTCTGTTGGGGGGGGGGACAGGTGCATTTGACCTTAATGTCCTCCAAGTATTATTTACATTAGATTGCCAGCATTAAGAAGCAAAAGTCAGTTTTGAACCAATGAGTTATTTATGTAATGCTTTGCAGTTACATTTTACAGTTTTTACAGATATGTAACTCACATTTCGTTAGACTGTCTTGCTTCCACAAGTTAATTCTTTTTTTCCTGTCATTATCTTCGCTTTTCACTAGCTTAAGCCATTCCACCACCCAGCACAGCCGGGCTTACATTTGTGTTCCCAGCGCACATATATAAATGTAAATAATAATAATGGTAATAATAATAATACATTTATTTCGGACCCAAGTACCAAACGTTTTTAGTGGGACCTCAGTGGGGAGCATGCATGTTGACCCCCCAGAACCACCATAAATGCATGGAGCCCCCAAACCAAACCAATCCAATTATGTTCCACATTGTAGGGTCCCATTTTAGGGTCCCCCTACTGCGGACCGTTCACCAGTAATCGAGGGCTTCCCACCTGGCAGCTGTGAGGAGCGGCAGCAGGCTCTGTAGCGGAGCCTAAAGGGCTCTTTGTTCTATGATCCCGTTATCTGCTGTCGTTCATTGGCTCGAATTAATTAATGGATAATGCATACATAATAGAGCTGTCACGATTACTCGAATTAAATTGACCATGTGTGGGGCTGAGTGTGCACCCTGCAATGTGTGGTTGGTACCTGCCTTGCGCAAAGTGCAACATTATATTATATTTTTTATAAAGCAAAAGTGTAAAAACGAACAACAACACAAGGGTTAACGTACCTGTGCTGTTTGGGATAGTCCCCGCTCCCCTCCCCCCCCCAAAAAAAATATACACAATCACATTCCTGTATCAGTTAAGTGTTTTGAAAACGGATCTCTTTCACATTTCACTTAACCTTCTGCCTGTTCCTTTTTTTCCTAAATTGCCGAAGCCTGCTCGCCTCGCGATACTCTTTTTTTCCCCTCGCGAGGTATGTTGAGGTTTAGCCAGTACTGCCAGTATGACGCAGCATTAAATATGAAGGCTAAAAATACAGTTAATTGGTAGATATCAAATCGCAACACTCGTAGAGTAACTAATATAATTCGCCTCACCTAAAACCCACATTTTTTTTAATTAAAAAAAATACGGATACAATTCATTAAATTGGCCTACCCTTGCCAAATGCACAGTTACAAATCATGGAAAACTGTCAAATACCATTTGTCATAGCTGCATATTTTTGGACTATGGGAGGAAACAGGCAAGACATGAGAAGAACATGCATACTCTGCACACAGGGTGTAACCCCATAACCCTGGAGGTGTAAGGTGACGGTGCTACCCAGTGGCACCCATGATTATAATCAAATGGTATGCATTTCATTTTACCCAAACTAAAAATTAAGCTTAAACCAGAAATTTAGCAAATATGCTCAGAATAGGTGTCAAATTCATCCATCCACCACAAAATATCGTATACAGAGAAGTATTGTGATATGCCATTTAATTCAAAATGTATTTTTTAATCAAATACGTTTAAGACGCCCCTCATTAAAATAATACGCATTTTACTTAAGTAAAATTATTTAGGCTGGATGGAAAATGGTTGACGATATGAAGACACAAAACATAACTTAGATATTTGATGACAACAGGCCTTAAAAGAGGCTTGTCATAAATACGTAGTTTGTGATGTATTATGTACTCGCCTTGCACTGCGCATTCGAAAAAAAAGCTTCAGTAAATAAATCTAAAATAACGTAAAAAAAAATCTTCGCGCAATAAAGGAGATGCGAACAGATGACGCGCGGAACAGGCTGCGTGCGGAGGGCGGGGCCTGGGGCTCTGTGACACGCTGACGGCTGCGCCGGACGCGCTGGGCGGCGGAAGTTGGTGAGCCCTCGGCCGGTGGTGGTGGTGCGGGAGCTCGGCTCTGACAAAGCGCTGGGCTCTTCATCTCTCTTTTCAGTTGTCAAGTGGACGCGAATAGCATAGAAGCTTCGGCCGACGGCTGTGGAAGCCGACCGGGTGCAAAATGGCGTGTGGCGGCTTTACGTGCTCGAAAAACGCCCTTTGTTCCCTGAATGTGGTTTACATGGTGAGTGATCGCCGGAGCCCCGTTAGCTGCCTCGGCCCGGTGTATGTGGGTCGTTCATCTGGGGCCGAGCCGGGGCATAAGCTGAGTACTGGCGCTTAGTCACACGGCGATGCCCGCTTAGCCTAGCCCGCTAGCAAGCTGCTTCGTACTGATTTTCTGAGGTAAACTTGAATGTATTTATATACGATGTTTTATCGTATGTTACAATATGTCGGCTTTATTTGGATGAGAAGTTGATCAGTGCAGTACCGTATACGCTCCATTAGCCTAATGTGGATAATCGCGACCACACTGCGTATGGTCTGGCGGGCGAGCCGCGTCACAGACATGCCGGCACTACTGGCCTGCTGGCGGCGCGTTTTATTGTATTTTATTGACTTTCTGTTGATCGTTGGTCGCCTTTTTTATTGGGCCGCGTGACTGAGGAAGCAGAAACGCGGAGGTGATGCGGGCAGCCAGGCCTCCGTCGGGCGCAGCGCTGTCTTCGTCTCTCTGCGTCTATTTAATGCGATTAATTAAGTCACACACAAAGCAAGATTGTACAGTGCTGCTGATTTATTGCTGCCTTATTTCTCCACTATTAAAAAAATGTGTTCTTCCTGAAAATAGGACGCAGTCTTATTTGCCGCTGTCATATGAAAGCGATGGCAGCATACATTTAGACGTGTTTAAATAGGTAATTAGAAAAGGAATTCCAGCAACTGTTTTCTTGCTAAGAGGCTGTCAGATTTTTTTTCCTTGGTGGGTGCAATGTGCCGTTATGTTTATTTCAACGCTTTGATAAAGTTGTCCTCAGTTGACATTTGTCAGAGTATTTGGACAGCTGGGCTGGTCTAGTGTTATCGGTAGATCTGCTGCTGGTACTGTAACAGATAGTTATTGGGCAAGTACTGTGAAAAATAAGTCACATCAGATCATTTGGCTTCAGTTCTCCTGGAGTTTGGAAAGAACAAAGAAGAAACAGGTAATTTTTTAAAAGGATATTTAATGCGAGGCTTGTTTTGCATGAGGCTTTTAATCTTATGACTTGCCCAGCTCTCAGTAATAAATTATGGCTTTACATGAGGTTAACTGGTGGTAATGTGTGTGTAAACCTAGCGCCGAAATCTCAAGCCAAAGAGGTATCGTCGAAGGGGCAGCTACAGCATTCTTGGCTGAAGAACAAGTACTGGATGCTGTTATTAGTTTGGTTTGTTAGCTGCTAGCCACCATCACTAAAGTGACCAGTAATATAGACTGTTTTCCATTGCTAAGCAAAAGTAACTCCCACTAATATACTGCCTCTATATCCAGGTGTGATTAAATCTGTGGATTCGTTAAGGATGCTACATATGAACACATATGTGTGTTCAGTCAGTTTGGTAGTCATTTGCTTTTATAGAGGATGTGCTCAGTACAGCTGGTGCTCCAATTTTGGCTTCATTTATCAGAATGCTTGTTTTAAGGGGTATAACTTCTCAGGTATTTTATTTAAGAGATACACAGTGTACCTCTTATTCTGTCTCTTCCCTAAATAATATCTGTTATATTCATTGAAGATGTTCCTATTACAGTTTGCATGTGGACCGAGCTTGTTTAAATCATGGAGTGCGCAGTATTTTTGTTGCATTTTGTTAACCTGCCATCGATGGAAAATGAATCATGGCATTTTGAATGCTTGGAGCCTTGTTTTGCTTGGATACTTTTCATGTTTTTGTGTGCCTGAAATTTGTAAAGGATTGCCAAGGATAGGGTGCTCACAGGGATGCCTTCAGGGAAGTAAGGGCAGGCTGACTGTATTTGGTGTATGTGGCACTGTATCTATAAATAGACAAACGTCATTTAGTGTGACCAATCCGGAATATAAGTTAGAGGTTAATTTGATGCTTAGCTGGAATGAAAATCAGCACATCCTTTAGCCTGCAAGTTTAATTAGTGTAACGTACCAGTTTTACATAGACTGCGCCTCGGTCACTTCTCCAAATATCAGCCATGTCTAAATTAGCATAAGTGCTCTCTGTCTATCGGTGCATTAGATTTCCTTTTGCAGCCTTACAGTCATGTCACACAATGCTTCATTGCTAATTTTTAGTTTATGCATGTATTATTTTTGAGGTTATTCTTCCTTTTAAACAGAACACAGGTTCCAAATGCTGCTCTTTTTTATTACTATTATTCTTATTCATATTCATGATGTCTCTGAATTTTTGCTTCAGTAGATATTGCACTCTGCGTTTCATACATGCCCTTCAGAGGATTCCCCCTGATTATAATTTAAATTATTTATATCGTTGTTTATGCTCTCTGTTTAGCTAGTGGGGCTGCTGCTGATTGGGGTGGCAGCCTGGGCCAAAGGATTTGGCATTGTCTTCAGCATCCACATCATTGGCGGGGTGATCGCTGTGGGTGTTTTCCTGCTGCTCATCGCCATCGTTGGCCTCATTGGAGCCCTCAATCATCACCAAGTCATGCTCTTCTTTGTATCTTTTCTGGCCCCAGCTGTAGTGTAAGGTAGCAAGAGCTGCCTGGCTTCCAGTTTAGATTATGTGCTGTTTTATAACATTACCTGTCACCATGAGTTTACTGGTCTTTTAATCAAAATTTGTTTTTGTGATTAATATTAGAGACAATGGTAAAACAACACATTACTGCTACACTGCCGGTGACATTTCCTTGACTGCTTTGTCAGTATATGGTCATTCTCCTCTTAGTATTCCTTTTCCAGTTTGGAGTATCCTGTTCTTGCTTGGCGATGAACCGTTCACAACAAGTGAGTATGTGGTAATATGTTGGATTTCTTCTTTGTAAAAATGTCTTTCACATTCTTCTTCTCTGGGTCATAGTGTCCCCACACCCCCTTCACTCATCTTTTTAATCATTTTTGCTGTCTGCCTTTCCCTCATCACCCATATCCTCATCCTTACTAATCGCCCACTTGCACCTCTGTCTCATACCTACAGGTGGCGCTCCTGAATGCCACCTGGAAGATGTTGCACAACGAAACAAAGGTTGAGCTGGAGATGAATCTGAACTGCTGCGGACTGCTGAACATCACAGCTGACTCTCAGCACTATCTGAGTGATGTTTCTTCCTGCCAAGCTGTAAGTAGCTCTACACTGAGACATGGGCTATTTTTCTGCATTAGTCATTAGGACTGGAAACCTCTAGCTGTGATTAAGAACATGGTTAATGAATCTAAACAAAAGGTTGTGTTAGTCTAATGTTTTTTTTTTGTTTTTTGGCAACGTCACAATCCAAAACTCTGACTGTGTCAAAACAGTTTTAATTGCATAGTGCTATAGTTGCATTCATTTGCCCCAAGACATTTAACAGGAATATGTGGCAGTACATCATTCATGAATGCTAAATTGTTAATGATACAGGAGAAATTGTATTTGAAATTTCACTAATAAATGAAAATTGAATTTTATTAAAAATCCTCTACCTCTCTAGAATCAAATGCTTACCCATGTGACTGAATATGTAGAAATATAGAAACTCCAACGTAAAGCAGGGGCGTGCAACCAGTGTGGCCAAAGCGTAGTTTCTGGCCTAGCGGTCTATTCCAGTCACCAGTTCTGTGCTTTAAAGAAAATGGAACTTGTCTAGAAATGCCAAAAAGCTTAAAATGCTAAGTTTCAGGCTCTACCTTTTCTGTTTTGGATTGTTTTGAAGTTCCCCTTTGCTTTTATTTAATATTTCACTCAATTCTTCATATATGGCATCCTCTGTTTCAGCAAACCTGTGGCCTCTCAAATGTCTTTTTTTTTAATAATACCTAGTATGGTCCCTTATACCTTAATACCTTATGGAGATTAATCATGTGTATTTTTGTTTTGATTTAAAGGTAAATGTTTTATATTTTTTTGAGTGGGACTGAATAAATCAGCAAATTCTCAGGACGCACCGAACGCCGCAACAATCAGCTTAGTTGAATGAGCAGGAGAGGCTTTGAATGATAGTGATTGGCTGGAAATCAGCTGTGGTTTGAGGCTTGAACTTGGAGACACAGGAAGAGTTCTGGTTGCCTGCTGTAACTATGGAAGGAGAGAACCTGGTGAAATGAGAATTAATTCATTAACCATGATGATTGGCAGGCTTAGAGTTCCCAGGAAAACTTTGAATAATCCTATGAAATTAAAGCAACTTGTTGATCTGTGCTTGGTATCTTTTGAGAACTGGATCTAACAGGTATGAACATGCCATCTGTGACTCTGTTTCCTTCCCAGCAATGTCGGAAGAATGTCTGCCAGACCTGCGGAGAAAAAATGCTTCTGCACTCAGCGGAAGCTCTGAAGATCCTGGGCGGGGTCGGCCTGTTCTTCAGTTTCACAGAGGTCAGCTTGTCTTACCTGGAGAGCAAGGCCAAAGTTCTCCTCCACATTATCACCACCACCCCCCGAGCTTCCCACCAGTTTGTCACATGGGTTTGTTGTTCGTTTCAGATCTTGGGTGTGTGGCTTGCTGCTCGATACAGGAACCAGAAGGACCCCAGGGCCAATCCCAGTGCTTTTCTATAGGGCTGCCGATGGGAATGCAGAGGGATGCGCACACACTCAGACACAGCGCAGCACAGACATGCACAGCCACACCACATGTGCCATGTAAACACACAGCAAGTACTCGCTCTACAATCCTTTCTCATTTTCTACTGAGCCATTTATCATATATGCACAGAAACGCATACACGAACATATGAAATATTATTGTTGACAAGCAGAGACTACAAAAAAGCATGTGGACACAACATTCGTAATCCATACAGTATTTTCTGGTGTTTGTACAGTAGTTCCTGAGGACTTTGGTTCCCTGTTTATAACTTTTTACCTTCTTTTGTCCTGCCTGACCTCCTCGGACTTTTGTTCCCACCAGACATAATTACCTTGTTCTGCCTTTTTCTTAACTGAGTGATCACCTGGTCTAGTCTGCCTTTCTCAAGTCCTTGTCCACATACGCAGTCTCCCCAGCGTGTGGCCAAGATGTCAATCTGTGAACTTGCCATGCCTCTTGCCCCCCCCCCGCCCCCATGGTCCCTCAGGGGATAGATACAGCTGAAACACCACATTCTCCATTTTAGCCACACAGTGAGATCCTGGCAGCGTGATGTCAGTGCTCTATGTTGACCAGGGGAACATCTGCTCCGAGCCTCAGAGTGGCTTAACCTTTTCTCTAACCTGCTCCCCTTTTAAGCCTGTTTTGGACATTACTAGGAGAAAGTCATGCCTTGATGTCAGTATACATGCCTTTTTAGTGTAGTGTATTATGATGAGTGTGCCACTTAGATAATGAAGTTCATATGGTATGTGCTAGTCTATTTTTGTGTCTTTTTTTGTATAAAAGTAGAGTATGGCTTTAAATGCTAAGGGACAGCAGTAGCCAATGTCGTATCTGAGATATGGCTAACCTGGATGATGGTGGAGATGTAAAAAATGTAAGCCAAACTCTGTGAATGGTAGGCATACAGGAAGCGTCTCATGATGTCAGCTGTAATATCCACGTGACAGGCATTGAGGCCAGATGGTCTCGACAGTCTCACTTTTTTATTCCGCCACCTCTGTGGACATGTGTTCCCGAAAAAATAATCAGGGTCTCTGACCTTTTGTGCCGAAGCAGATGAGATCCCTCTAGTGGGTGCAAGACAGACTACATTATCGGATTCCTGCATTGCAGAGGTCTCTTCACCTTAGCCAGGTATAATAATCATGAACCGTGTGAAAACCCTGCTCACTATATCCCAGCCATAACAAACTCCTTAAAATATATGCATAAAAATGCTCTTCATTATAAAAATTATATTCTGCACCTTAGTTTATGGTTTTTATAAATATTCTAATGGTAAGTGTCATTCGCACAATTCTATGTAGGTGAGATGGTGAAATCGGGTGATCACATATAATGGTACGTTATTGCATCACCATGTCAATAAATTGATCAGCAAGTTATCTATAAGTTATGTCCCTACAAATGAACTGCGTGGTGTGTGGTGTATATGACTTTAATGACTGCGGGATATTTTTGATGAGTTGTGTCTTAAGCTTATTGGAAATCTATGAAAACGGTTCCATTCGCTGGCATGTGGCAGGAGGGATTCCTGATCCATATGGGGAAGGGTATGTGCTCCGCTATGCCTGCTTCAGGATGTTCTCTGCAACATTTGTTGACACTTCTTTAAATGTAAATGGCGTACTTGTGATAATTTTAAAACAAGTCCAGTCCATATGCATGTTTTGATAGTTTTTATATGGAGTTAAACCAGAACGAGAACTCATCTCACGTATTTGTCGTGATGGTTGACTAGGATGTTCTATGTAGAGAAAAGACAAACCCATCACAGAATACTCAGGCCGGTGGCAGTATGGCTTCCGCTCTGGTTTAAAAGCGCAGACCTGCAATACGCCTATTTGTCACTGTAGGGTTCTTTTTGAGCTGTTTTTTTTTTGCCAAATGATCGGTTCGTGTCAAATTTTATTTTTTATTTACACATTTTAAGTATTACTTTATCCTTTTTCCCTTTGCTTCCTGAAGAAATGATTTGCAGAGATAGGAATTTAGTTCCATGCAGTTGCAGTTACTGTATGCTGACCCTAAAGCTCAGCTTCAAGGAGCGTCACCACAAAACCACATGATCTGTATTTCTGATTGTTAACTCTGATGTTACTCAAAGAGATGTAAATTTTTCTTAATATTGAAATAAAACTGCAAAGACCTTTAGGTAACTCCAATTTCATATCCTGCTGAAGCCCCTCAAGTTCTTTCCTGATTAAAGTTGCCAGTGACCCTTTGGGTGGCCCACTTCCTGCACCCACCGCTCACACCCCATAGACTCATACAGGCATGTGAGGACACGCCTTCTCGCAGAGCAGCGTTTATTTGTCATGACTATATTAATACAGTTACTGTACAGTAGTTTGTACTAATACTCATGTGTTGCATGTCTAAAGTTAGCATGGAAGGGTTAGAGCAGCAGAAACTGAAGTGAAGTCGAGGCAGAGGCACAGGTGACATGAAAACAGTGATATTCCCTACAGATGACCGTCTAACACACCCATAGGTTTTATTGACCCAAATACGAGTTTGTTTCTCTAACATCCTAAAGCCAGCTGTTGTCTTGTCCCTGTATCAGTATGTTGCTATCTATCAGTAAAGTAATGCTATTAGTTAGTGACGCTTATAGTCTGCTGGCAGAAGTATGTTTTGGGTCATTTGGTCCTGACAAAGGTACTGCCCCCCCCCCCCCCGAGCACTGGTCAAAATGTAATTTACTGTATAAACCATTAGTTACCAGCAGGCAAACCTAACAATTATGGGCTGAAATCTGGGGGTACAAATATATACTGGCATCAATGTCACACCACAAACCCCCCCCCCACCACATATTCCCACCCTGGATCCAGTGCCTGGATTGGCTGTTCAAAGTTCCATTTCCAATCAATGCCTTTAGTTATTTGCTCAGACCTACTGCAGACTCATCCTATGCCCAGAAAAAGTCCAGTTGTGGTCACAATATTCCTTGGCTCTGTGGGCCCTTCATCCCTCCTGAAAATAAGGATGTTCCAGAGCATTCAAGGCAGAGATTCTTCGTAGAGGGTCAAAGGTCAGCATCTCCTGTAGAAAAGAATATTTATTTTTACACATTAAAGTTAAATAAGAATACATTTTCTGAATTTGATACAGAACTTCTTGCCTGCAATGTGCTTGATATCACACTGACCTTTCCCCTAATTCTGCCAAGCCACATTCATCTTACCTTCAACAAATCTGCCCCCTGGTGGCTGATTTCAGGGACGCAATCTGTGATTGGACAGGGACCACAGAGGCTGAAAAGGCACCGTGAGAGCGTGACATCTGGCGGCCATTCTTCCTCTGACGGCAAGCCAATCACACTGCAGAAATTTTAGAAAAGAAGGTACAGAACTGTTCTGGAAACAAAAGCGAGGTTTAACTTCTACTTCCTAGATACCGCACTTAATACTCACTCGAAAATTTTCCGTAGCTGATCCACTTCTGAGTCACCACAGAACAAAGGCCTGAGGGGAGATTTGGAGTGATGAGAGAGCATGTCATTCCAGAAAGCAGTGTTCCCATAACGAGATGCAAAAGGGCGTTCCGAGCGTGTCACCGTGAGCTGTAAGGCACAGTGCCTGTTTTGTGTCAGGCCTACTGCCACTTGTCAGAGTGATTAGAAGTTCCTGCATCAACCCTCCCCTTACTTGCACACTGTGACAGTTGGTCTTGAGTCAGATTGATAAAAAGGAATTTGGATTTCCAACTTTATCAGTAAACCACAGGTTAGAGGGTGCACCGCTCCAATTAACCACATGATGTCAGCAAAAGACCTTTGCATAACAAAAGACACTTCAGGCCGATACATGTGGCGCTGCAGAGGGCCTAAAATGGACGGCTCTCCCATGTGTAAACAAACCCAGCTTGACTCACTTGCGTCGGAACATCTCTGCAAAGATGCAGCCTGTACTCCATATGTCAACTGGAGTCGCGTAGGAAGCCTGAAGCAGAACCTCTGGGGCACGATACCACAGTGTGACCACCTGAGAGAATGAAAATGTGCGGGGGGGGGTTTGTCATGGAGCGGGCCATGGATGTCAGGAATGGTGTGAACCGAGGGGAATTTGACTTTGAGCTCTATCACCCATCTGAACATCAATGGTCAGTATCCTGCTCATGGTGCACAATGGGGGGAAAAAAAGTTGACTCAAGGTGACCAGAAAGGTGACCTCTCTCACTTTATTTTAACAGTGCACCATTCTCCAAAAAGTGCTCTGTCGGCCCAGTGGCTGAAAAGCATGCAAGCTGGGGCACATCCTTACCACCGGGGTGAGCGCCATGTGACAGCTGTAGATGCGAGCCAGACCAAAATCAGCCAGCTTGACCTGCCCTCGGCTGGTCACCAGGATGTTCTCTGGCTTCAGGTCCCGGTGCAGGACGCAGTTGGAGTGAAGAAACGCCAATCCGTGCAACAACTGATGCATCAGGTCCTATCAAAGCGTGGAACTAATTAGTTCTTTGAACGGTTTGAACGAACTACAAAGGGCAGCAGTATACAAAACTGCTGGATTTAAAACACCTAGAAATCCAAAGGTGGGGGAGGGGGCACATGCTTACTCGTATCCGGTCTGCGGGGAGTCCTGGAGCAGGGGCCTTGCTCAGGTAGGTCTTGAGATCTTGATCCACATGCTCAAACACCAGAGTTACCTTGGTCTCCTGGTCTGTCCGCAGGGTGGCGCACACATCCATGAGCCTGGGTCACAACACCCACACATTGACACTTCAGATGACACTACTCCCAAGCCTCACGGTCACCGAGACCTGCTCAATGTGGGCATAGCGTCGTCTTACTTGACCACGTTCGGATGTTCAAACTGCTCCAGTCGCTTGAGCAAGGCCACTTCTCTGACTGTGGACAATGGTAGGCCATCCTGGTTGGTCTGCACACGCACGCTCTTCAGAGCCACAAACTGGCCGCTCTGGCGGTCCCGTGCTTTGTACACCGTCCCATAGGCACCGCCGCCGATCTCGGCGACACGCTCGTACTGCCGACCGCACTCCTGCGCCATCGCCCAGCCCGCCAGCTACACAAGTCAGGATGGAATTAAAAATACCGTCAATTACATGCCTTATGATGCTCATTTATTTATTTTGAACAATAACACCAACAACATTTAAATATAAAAAGAGTGGGGTCTTCCTCCCAGAAATAATCTTATAATTTGTAAGGTTGTGAAGTCACAACATCACTGTTTTTAAGTTTGAAATTCATACCCATATATCGGCCCCATCTCCACTCTTTTCATATTTATGCCCCTGGTCACGAAACCCCAGTCAGCCGAATTCCTGAGCAGGGGCTGAAGTGAAGGAGGTGTTGGAATCTGACCTGATATTCAATGAAACAAGAGTCGAGTCAAAAAGGCATTCCTGAGGCAGACCACACAGCCTCAGGCACCCTGTCGACGGTGAAAGAAAGGGAAAATTAATAGGAAACAACTTGGATATATTTCCATATTTCAGCTGTGTCACAGCATCAAGAAGCAGCCTGTCCCTGGAAAAACTTTTTTTTAAAGTAATCACCCTGTTGGGGGTAAACCTCAGCTTTGCGCTGTCTGGGGTAGGCGGCACGCCTCCCAGAACCCTGACCAAATAAGCCGGAAGATGGATGGATTGTCATTTTTTGTTCAAGATCACATCCACTGCAGTTATATTTAAATATTAAAAAATAACTGACAAAACTCATTTATTGGTTGATAACGACAATTATATTTTATATTAAAAAAATAATCTTGAAATATATTTACGTCTTGGGGGGAGAGAATGGAGAGGTTAATGTGTCTATATTGCTGCTCTTTTCATGGTTTACGATTAATCACCTTTTGCATACATTTATGAATCGTCAAGTAAAGGGACGTGGTAGATGATTTCTGTGCGATGTACAAACACTGTATGCATTCCGCAAATAAGAAAGCATTCTTCAATCGTATTTGAAATTAGAAACCCAACATTTCGTAGAATCGACTCAAAATGGAATGAAGGGCTAGCAGCCCCCACAGCTCCGTCTGCGGCATGCGGATATCCTGTAGAACTGCAAGCGACACGCAGGCCTTCCTGAGAACCAGCGGGCTGTCAGCACGAGCCGACAAGTTCAGCTCTGGGGCGGAGGACGTTCGTTATTAGCAGCTCCGGTGTTTTAATAAAGCATGCATCACTTTAGTTTCGGACGTCTTTTAAAGCGAGTTCGATGTGGCCACTGTCACCTGGGGTGGCGGGGGGGTCGGGGGGGGGGGGGAGCGGAAGGCCAAGCGCGGCAGATGATGACTCGGCCGGGGCGAAGCGAAACCGCTTCCCGCGAACACGTGGTGCATAATAAAAGCGCTCTTTTCTTTGTTAATTAATCGCTAAAGAGCACACTTCGGAGGGTCCCTGAACCTCCAGCCCCTCGATACTGCGTCCCTAAAGCCAATACGGGATGATCGATCCCGACTTTGGCAGCCAAGAAGCCAATATGGGACGAAGGGGATACAATGTAAACAAATAAACTTTAAAAGTAATTAAGAAAGTAACGTTTCACGTAGATGCAAAATGGGAAAGTAATCGAAGCAGCACTAACATGACCAAACATTTAAAAAAATAACACCTTACGTATCAACAACATGCCGGCCTAATAAATACCCATTTTAAAACTCAAATATGCATGAAATGGATAAGACACCTCACTCACCACGCTTTTTTACTTCTTTATACAGCAGCCGAGTTGCTCTAATTCACCAACAAAATCATCTCCCGCATCGACTCCTTTTTGCCCCCGATAAGTCTGATCTGCGGCAGCTCGGGGTCTTTCTCTGCTTATATTACCGCACAAAATGTTTTCCTTTTAAAAACACACAAAACTTTGACCTGACTTCACTTTTTCCAAACATTTCTAGCGAATACCATACTTAAAGTCCTTCCTGCGGCGCCAAAGGCGGGGCTGGCACGCCCTTTTACGTTGGTACAGCCAATCAGCTTCTTCCCACTGAAAAAAACCCGCCTGACTTGGATAGTCACTCCCACCAGTTTTGACCGCTAAAATATATAAATTAAGCTTAAAATGTTTAATGTATATTTAGAAGATGCAAATACTGCCTGCAGGCCTTCCGTTAGTTTCATTTATAACAATAACTGCCAGTTGTATGCATTATATTGTGTATGAAAATATAGATTACGAGTAGTGCCTTTCGTAATAGTTGTAGGATATCAAATGGGTGTCTGTTGTCGACAATAGAGAAACGACTATTATTTAGCATTATAGCTTTTAACACGTTTGTATATGTCCTAGGTTGTTATTTTTAAAAAAGTTTGAATGCATTTGTGTGCAACTTATCAGACAGGGCTAGCTTTGCACGTCAGTGCAGACTGTGACAGCCTCCCCTCCGCCTCCACGACGCGCTCCGAGAGATTAGTGTCGTGGCGCTGGCTGAGCCCGCGGATCCTCCCTTCCTTCTGTAATACTGCAATTGGTCGAAAACCGCTGTTGCTAGGCTCGCCTGCTGCTCTGCCTGGCCGGGAGAACCCCTACATTCCGGAGTAAAGTGGGAGAGACGACGCCATGCGTTTAACACAAATGATGCATTCTTCAATTCATGGCTCCTCAAAGATAGCAGAGATGAATGCTAGCGCCAAAAAAGGCTGCGCAGTTTGTCTTCTGCTTTTTTATCAAGAAAGTGCAGCTGTGTAAATTGTGTATAGGGAATATTTTAGTGACCCACAAATTGGTCACTACGATGCAATAATTCTTTGGGTTCTGGCCAAGAATGATGGTATTCATACGATTAAGACTTCCGATAAAAAATCAACAACAAAAAAAATCTCCAAACACAATAATGTCATCTGTAACGTTTTTTTTCCAGCGTGATTGCAAAGGTATTTATTGTGTGTGTGTGTGTGTGTGTGTGTGTGTGTGTGTGTTTGGGGGATCCTTATTGTACTCCAAAAAAGAAAATCCCTTATATGTGTTTATTATTGTTAAGGAACGAAGCTACGTTAGATGGGAGACGGCTTTTTCTGGTGGCTGCCTCTGATTATTTTAAACCCACAGGAGGTCACATATGGTGGGAAAATGAAATTTATTGCAAAATTACGATAAACAATACATGTATCCGTGTATTGGATACATATATGTGTGTACTGGAGTATTGGTTAAGTTACTGAACTGCTCTGTTCGCGATGGATTCAGATAGTATGATGCGTGAATCAGATCATTGTTTTCCAAAATGATAAAAATGAGCAATCAATACATAAGAAATAGCGAGGACACAGACAATGAAAGGTACAAGAATGTGTCAGTTTCAGGTGTTTTATTTGTTTTATATTTATTTATTGGTAGGTCAACATTATAAAAAGCAGTTGTATATCAGTCTGCCTGTTACAGCGGCCATTATCTGGCTGGTTGGATCAGGGGCGCTGCTAGAGATTTTGGGCCCCATGAAAGCATATTATATTAGGCCCCCCAGTCTAAACCAATCCAGTTATTTTCCTAATTTTTTAGGGCCCCTGTCGCTCAGGGGCCCTTGGAATCGTCCTAGCTTTCCTCCCCCTTACGGCGCCCCTGGGTTGGATTAATAAGGTGTGAGGTTTCTCATATGGGTGCTTGGTTGTGTAGTGATTGTGGGTTTTTCATGTGCTGGTTATGGGTTCAAATACCAAGAAACTCTCCACTATAGTGTATTTCAGCAACATAATACATTCAGGTCCTTAAATGATTAAATGAAAGCAGCAGACAAGCAAAATGTTCTGTCAGAGCATACTGAGAATTAAAACTTTAAGTAATCTATCCAGATAACAGGCAGGCAATGTTTTCCCATACAATCATTACAGCTGTTCGTTAACAATTAGCTAGCTAACTTTGGATATAATGTGCACTATGCTTAATTGTGCCTCCAAATTCCTTAAACAAGCTTTCACTTAATTCTAGTCTCAGAAGACTGTAGTCAAGGCTTGTTTCACCTACATACAAGTCCAGAGTTATTTGTGTTTGTTTCAGCATTTGTTGAAGAGAAGCTAAGCATCTAATGGCTTTTTTCTTGCATACAAATATGCATGGTTAAATGTCTTTGCAGATACATATGTGTGTGTGTGTGTGTGTGTGTGTTTGTGTGTGTGTGTGTGTGTATGTGTGTGTGTGCAAGCAAAATTTGACTTTCTGGATGAAAACACATTTTTAAATTTAATTATAAATGTAAATAAGCAAAGGCCGGGGGCCTGGAGCTTCTCTTAAGCAGCAGAGAGCACAAGGTTGGGTTACACCCTGGTCAGGATGCAGTCCATCGCAGACCAGGATAGATGGATGGATGGATTGATGGATGAAATAAGCAATACTAAATGATACCCATATGATTTTACAATCAAAATAAAGGACGATTTTCAGGTCTACTTTAGTGGTAGCTGTGTGGCAGGGCACTAAGTCGGGGGACGGTGCCCTCTTGTGATCGAATTGCAGCATGCGACACTAAACAAGGTCTCAGATCCAGTAGGTGAAGCCTACTAATAGAGAATTTAAAAATGTACTGATACAAATGAAGTACCGCTGTTAAATTGTGGGGTGGCATGGTGGCTCACACCTGCACGGTTCGTGATTCGAATGCCACCTCTGTTCTGTATGTGTGGAATATGCACATTCTCCATATCATGCTGGTTTCCTCCCACCAACCAAAGACCCATATGACACTTTTCCACTGGCACACTGGAACCGACCCATACCACAAAGAGAGACTAGTTCCAGCGCGGTTCCAGCTCGCTTCAGTTTTCCACTGCAGAAGGGTCGGCCGGTAAAGGCGTTGCTGAGTCTGGAGAGCGACAGTTACATAAATCAGAAGAGACGCTTATTTACTGTTCACAAGGTGTACATCATGATTGACCATGTGTTGTTATTTTTATTTACTTTTACTGTGTGTTAATTTCCACTAGTACATCTGTGAGAATGGCAGTGTTGTGCAAGTATCAAACGCTAGGAGAATTTGCTTGCGTAAATTTGCATTCCAAATGCAGTCTGTTCAGCTCTTCTATAGTACTTTTTAAATAGGAGGTTGGAAATGTTCAAGTTTTGAATTTTTGGGAATGCACCATTACATCACGATGTGTAATAATACTAATAATATATAATAATATATAGAACATGTGCTTTTTCCCTCATATAATCCATGTGCATTTCGACCAATCAGATGGTCACGCTTTTGGTCTTGCTAGTAAGCAGGGTCATGTCAGAGCCGTTACAGCTGGGGTACGGTTCGCCGTACTTTGCAATGAAAAACCGCCAGGTCGCGGTACAACGTGGTTCTTGGGGGCAGTGGAAAAGCACCAAAGTGAACCCAATTGGTGCCTTTAAATTGTTCGAAGCATGAGTGTGTATATACATGTTCTGCCATGGAGCACCTTGGGGATGCTGCTTGGGATAGGTGTTAAATCCTTCAGGATAAATGGAAGATAGAGTGATGGACTTTGGGCTGCGTCAAAGCTCACAGAATACAGCATGACGGTTAGTCACAATGTGGCATCATTTTGTTAGATAAATCAACAAGAACGTGGTTTGTTTTTTTTTCCCACACATTCTCTGTTGCAGTGGGCCTAATCCCAAAATGATTTAAAAGACGCCGGTATTCAAATAGTCCCGTCAGTGATGTATGGACAGGTCAGCGACGAACACAGCACGTTTCCGGTCCTTGGACATATCCAGGCAAGCGTGGCCTTCCACCCTGGCAGCCGGCTTTCTGGGGAATGCATGCCAGCCCCCCCCCCCCCCTCCCCGTGAAGTATGCCCATATGCCCCGTATATTTTCTTGGAGTGGCTGCAGAACGGCGCTGACTGGGGTGACCATCTGTCCACCAGCAGATATAGCACGATGTCCGCAGCCTCGGCCTGGTGGGGGCCCAGCAGATGCAGGCAGCGCCGAGAGGTTTGTCTTGTCTGTGTGGAGGCAGAACGCTAAATGCTATAGCCAGAGCCCCTGAAATTTATATAAGGGTGGTGTCAATAATGACTAAGCAATTATATTTCATTAGGGAAACATCCAAACAGTCTCCGAGTTACTGCACTGTTTCTGATAATACTTTGGTGTTTTGACGGACCATTATCGAAAGCTGTGTCACAATCCCCAGGGCAGTTTACTCTCCTGGTAACTTTCCTAGACATCATCCACTGCCAAATTTGTTTAATAGCAAGTCATGATGATAACGCCCATTAATTGACATAGATTTAATTAAGTACAAGGATGAGGGATGTTTTGTCTGGGATGAGGACCGTCTACTCTAAGCGGCATTTAAAGTAGCCTGATCCTGTCGGCCGGCGAACACGAGGGAGACACTGAGAGGAGTTTGGAGACGGTTCTTTTTGTACTTTGGAGTTGCTGCCAGCACAGCCTGTTTGCAGTCGGCGCGGTGACGTGTCGGGGCGCGCTGAGCACACGGTCGGGTCGTGCTGCCGCGCGCCACGCGCCACTCTCCTCGTAACGCTTGAGTGGCCACGCCGCGGAGCTCGGTACTAACCCGTGCGCCATATGGCGCGACCTCCATCTTGAGTGCTGGCCAGTGTTGCCCGCATTCCCGTCACACGCCCCACAACCCTCGTTCCCGCTTCTGGAAGCTTCTTCATCCACCTCTCCTCACCGTTTTAGGAAAACAAAAAAAAGGGGGGGGGGGGGCCTGAAATAGGCAACTCGCCTGCCTGCCTGCCTCCATGTGTCAGAGCAAACTGAACATTTATTCCAATTTCTGCCAGCATCACTTGACTGTTTCAAATTCCCCCATTAGTCAAAACAACATTTTTTTTTTGTTAAACACAAATAAAAATAGGCTGCAGATGGATTGCTGTCCCATTCAGGGTACATGATGCCTTGTGCCCTGTGCCTCCAGATCTCCATGACCCTGATTGGTTGAGCAGTTCTTGAAAATTTATCTATGGGAATAAAGAATTGGCAATCATACTACTCATGAAGACAGAGATTTATCTATAGCATGGCAATAAATAGTAGATAGACATCAGCTGAGTGTGCTCCTCATAATTAACCTATGCACCACTGTCAGCCGCCCCCCCCCTCATTCTAAATGTACTATTTAACCCATTGACATGCACTTCCAGCACTGCTGTTTGTGACACTTGTACGTCCTGTAGTACAGTTAGCAAAACAAAGAGGATTCAAGACATCCTAAGATCACGTGATGAAGATATTCTCGTTTTCTGCCTCATTCTTGTGCCCGCATGTTTGTGGCCCATCTTGTGCCTTCATTGTTCACCTCTTCATTACTTTGTTTTCCTTTCTCAATCCCTTCCTGCTGTCACGTGAATTGCACTCCGAATTAAAAATGAATAACGCCTTATCGACATCCTGAGCGATATGATTTTGTCTGCCTGACAGGCTTCTCAGCATCCCGGCCGCAAACAATGTCTAATGACACCATACATTTCAGCACCCAGGACAGCAACATCATCTAGTTTTGGTATTGTCTTGCGGCACATGGTACAAAACAACGGCAGCAGCTATTGGAGCATGTAGCCTGTTTATATACTACATCATACATTAGCTTTGATAGCATATGGACTAGAGATACTCAGGCGCAACAAATCCATTCCATTTTTAAGAGCTTGTTTTGTTTTGTAGAGACCAGGTGGCCAGGCAGGGATGGCACTGTACCTTATGCCATCATAACGCTGTTTCATGCCTCTGGAGTTTCAGGTTCGAAATTTGCAATTGACAAGGTCATGTATAGCAATGAGGGATATCAGTTTCCATCCACAGTTCAAAGACATGCTATCAAGGTGACTCAACTGCTCTGAGATGAATGTAGCATGTAAGCATTTAGATTCCCCTACAAAGAGATGATATCCCATCCAGCCTATGTTGCAACCTGTACTTCTCTCAATGGACTCAAGACCAATACGGCTCTGACTAAAAGCACTGAGCTAGCAGGTGGACACATGCTAAGTATATTTACAGAACTTAATCATGGATTTTTATCATTTATTTGGGGGGGGGGGCAGGTATTTACAGGTGTGCAGGCAACACCAAGTGAATAGCGGTTTAAAACCATTGGATGTGTCCCTCAGAGACACGCAGTGTTTTCTGTACTCAAACAGATCGACTGTGATTTTCAGGCAAACGAGATTTCCAGCAATGTAGTCAGTTCTGCTGACCAGAAATATACGAATAAGCAATGACGGCAGACACATCATACAGTTCATATTGTACTTGTATTTAAAATGCTGCCACACGTCGACCTTCAAAGATTGTGTATTTATGGAATGTCGATTATCAGCTATTTATTGCATATTAACACGTTTAGAACAATGGTACCAAATCGTAGGGTAGCCAGACATGCTTTTGACATTTTGTTGTAGTTAGTAACATAATATCTAAGCAACATATGACTTGCATGTATACGATGCCAGTGTAGAGGACAGAGTTTGATATGGGGGGGGGGGGACAAAACTTGATCATTTAAATACAAAGTTCTATTAATTGGGGGCGATGAATGAATCCAAATTAAATTTTGGGGGTACATGCCCCCCGCCTCCTTCTTTCTACGTCCCTGCGTGTACACAAAGCATATTGAGATGTGAAATCATTAAGACTATACAAAATTCTATATGTTGCACTTACTGTAAAAGTATAATTTAAAACGTAGAGTGCCGTTCCACGTTTGTGACTTGATTGCCGCTCCCGTAAGCGCTGCAGGACACCTGACCATTTTGGCCCGTCCAGGTGACACCAAGGTTTGCTTCAGATTTCCCGGGTTAGGCTGTCTAACACGTGGCCCCGCGTCACGCAGAGATCAGCACCTTGGACAGCGGCGCCTGCCAATACGCAGCAAATCGGCCGATTTTATTCTCACCGTGAAAAAAAACATTACGACCGTGAAAGCGAAAGGCGGACAACATCACTGGTAAACATATTTCATTTTTATTATTAAAATGCCGCTACTGAAGAAGGAGCATTTATTGTGGTCCTCGGCGTCCCTGTCGACGAGGGATCTGCTTTCGCACTAATATTTCCTCCAGAGCTATTCTAAAATCGTTTTTTATTATTTTCATTGGACCGATTGACGTTTTTTTTTTTGTACATCAAATCTGTGTTTCATCATGTCTATCTGAACGGGGAAATCGCTGCATCCTTTTTTTCTCCATTCCCGGTACATGGTCTGCAGGAATCGTTGCAGACGGAAAGATCAGCATGGATGCTCGATGGAAGACGGATGTGTGTTTTCATGCATATTTTGGCAGCATTTTAAGATTTGATGTAAAATGCGAACACGTTGGATTGTAAAACGGATTTCGGCGGTGTTCGGAGGGGGGACGGAGAGGGACATATTTTTGAGGCATCAACCAGAAAACATACAGTAAAGAAACGAAAAAAAAACAAAATGATCTGATAGCTGGGATGGCATTGAGGGACAAAAAGAGAGACGATTTTGAATAACAACTGATTTGAAACGACCTTTTCCTCTTTATAATTCTGGATTATATCAACGGACGAGACATACACATGGAGGGGAGTTTCTGATTTTGTAATATCTTCTGATTTTTAAATGTCATTTCATGTGATCCCTCTCCCTCTATCGCCGTCCGCTCGATAGGATTCCGATTTTCCCTTGTAGTCCCAGGACGACACATCTCCAAATCTAATGTCCTCCGAAACCATATGCAATTGCCAGTGAAACGTTCCGGTATTTTTTGCGGTCCGGTTTTGTTTGTCGCTCCAATATACATATTGCCTTTATTGTTTCGGCAGCCTATTAACGGTACCAGAGAGCTTCGGCCCGTTCACGAAAGCAACCCTTTATTCCGCATCGGTTAAAGAAAACATACAGTCACCAGGGTGGTAATCACCGCGACCAAATGTGTTTTCTTCTATTTAATATTATTGAAATGTTTTTTGATATTTATTGAATGTTTATTTTTGAGTATTTATTCGAGTATTTGCTCGGCAGTCATGTTTTTTTCTTACTTTGACATTTTATCTTGATAGTCCCATGCCCTCTAGCTGGACGGTAATTGTAATAATATAATTAATAATATCACAGCATTTTATTTCCATCATTTCAACTACAAATAATCGTTATTATTATTATTATAAGCCACACCTGGCTTGCAAAACGTGCATCCGGAATGAATCACTTTTTGCACTTATACTGATCATTTTTTTCTCATCTTACAGCCACATTTGCATATGTAGTAAATGATGTTTAAGTATCGGATCCGCATGTTTTTTAACGAACTCAAAGTATTGGTTTTGATGCGATCCGGTTCGAGACGGGCCGATCCAGACGCAGACGCAGACAGGCGAAGCAGCATGCGGGGACTCGGCATGGGCGGTTGCGGGTGGCCGCCTTTCGACTGTTCCTCCCGGGACGACGAGGAAGAGTACTATGGGACGGATCCTCGACCACGTAGCCTGGCCTTCGAGGAGAAGGAGGCCAGACTGCAGGGCGGCCTGGACGCCGTGTCGCTCACCAGCAGCATGGAGAGCGGGATACGCTCACCGCAGTGTCGGATCTGCTTCCAGGGACCGGAGCAGGTAAATTCGCTCCTCCGCCTTTTCACGCTGCTTCTCACGCCCGTTTTGCGCGACTTAGGCTCTTGCGCTTATTTATGTTGCCCTCATTTACATGATCAGTTACTATGTCTAATATGATATTTTTGCGTACACGCAACAATACTCTGGAGAACCCCAGCAGCCTATCTGAGCACCGTCTGGCATGTACGCTGTTTGTGCTATTATAAGCCAGCCACTGGGCCTACTATTTAACTAAGACTGATGGAGTTCGTGTGTAACAATTTATCTGGACGTACTGCCGGGGCGCGTTCACGTTTAATAAGTATTTAGACGGGTTACAACCATTGTTTTTAATCGCTTTTAGATACTGGGCCCCAGGCAAAGTAGCTAGGCACCTCCTAAGCCAGGAAGGGTGCCTGTTTTACGCATCCACGCCTGAAGTAATATGCACTTTTACTTTAATTCCATTACATTCATGACAGCTCTGATGAGAATTTACCTGCCTCCCAAATGGCAGGACAACTGCCCTTTTGGGAGATGCAAGGTGGCTTGAATTGGTTTTGCTTTAGAGTATAAACTCTTGGCCTTTTTCCAAGAAGGACAGATAAATAAATCCATTTACCACAGAAGATGCTTCCTTGGAAATGTTTCAGAAGGGATGAGGGGTTTCCCCCGAGCCGCTAAGGTCCTGGCCAGAACGTAGCTCCCAGCTGGCCAAGGCACCAGTCACGTCAACATTTTCAGCCCCAAATCTCAAACCATCTGCAACGGAAGGCCGATTTCAAAGCAAACTTCATTCTGACCAACCAGCCATCTTGAGATGCTCATCATAAACTGGCTACGCTATGAGTGATGAGTCTGGCCTGATCGAAGAAAATACTAAGAGTATTAGTAAAATGTGAGCAGTTGTAAAACATGTTCCTGGGTATTTTAGGCACTTAGCAATCTGTGAGCGATGCAGTACAGATACATCCACTGGCACAGCTATTTACCGCAATATGAGTCCGATTATGATGACTGCAGTTATTATTATTATTGATGATGTTATTAATATCATTATTGTTGTTGTCGTTGTCGTCACTTCAGCGCTTATATGGTAACATGAATGTCAACAAAATGTATTGAAATTTAAGTTAAGGTGTCTGGTCTACAGCGTCATCCAAAGGCTGACGAAGATCTTTCGATGTATACCACGGTATGTGATGTCATAGACCAGGGACAGGGTCACAGTCTTCCTTTATAGCATCATTTTTCACCAATCAAATCACAGTATTTACTGTTAATTCTCTGCGCATGTGATAACAGTATTCCTGCTTCAGTCACATGCAGTCCATATATATTCTGCTTTAGATACATTTGGAAGCATAGCAGCACAATAGCCGTTCAGAACTGTTTTGGTGCTATATTTATCGTTTGGTTTTGATTTATGAGCTAAATTTGCTTTTGACATGCAGGCCTGCAAGATCACATCTGTAACACTTCACTTTTCAGCCGAAGAGGTGAATTTGTGGGGGGAAAAGAATCATTCTGTACTAGTTAACCAATAACTGGTTTCTCATTACAGCTACAAAAATATTTTGATGAAAAATCATTCCAAATGAAATGCAAATTTGTAGTGGTTGAAAAAGAACCTTTTTCGATGTCTTGTTCACTGAAACACCCTGCAGACTTTATGTCTGCGCGGCTTTTTAAATTTTACATTTACTTTTACCATTAATTCATTTAGCAGATGCTATTGTCCAAAGTGACATAGATGTGAGGCAAATAGTACATTGCAAGCATAATTGAATTCACTGCCTTTTCCAATGGATGCAACTGTGTCTCTTGCTGCCAACTCTATTTGTTTATTAATTCTATAGCCCATTGCCCTTGATCGTTTAGGAAAAGGAATTAACATGTCAAGCTGAGTGTACTAAGGTTTGGGACACACAATAGAAGGACATGAAATGGATTAAAAATAATATGCCTGGGATTTTTTCCTACTTGTTTTAGCTTTGCAGAGGAGCCGTTACTTATTAGTCTAAATGAGTAGGTTATCATGCATATATTACTAGACTGGTAGCAAAGGGTGATGTTCATGTGACACAGGTCTGGCAGTGTGCTGCGGAAGGTTCTGCTTTGCTCTTTGCACTCTCTTCTCTGAAATGTGTTTAACCAATATGTGAAGCATAAGCAATAATTACTGCACGTCCGACCAGCCTCGGCTGTGGGATTCAGGTGTTGTGTCTGGTGACTCCATCCAGGTCGCCTCTAAATTTGGGCTCCTGAGGTCATCGCTAATTTAACTCTTTCTGTGGCTTATGGTATGAGGGACTCTGCAGAGGTTTTCCACAAGGTGCTTAATCCCAGTGGCTTCTACACCACATGCAGTTATGCACATAGGTGCTGGCTGGGAGTAGCATGGTGTAGGTCTGTCCTACACACTTCTGTCAATGCAGAAGTTTTCTGCTCAAGTTACAGTCTGCTCTCCTGCTATGAAAAAGGTAGTGAGATACCTTAAATAATGTTTGCTGGTTTCTTATCCCAGGAGGGGGTCCGCTGTAGGGTCCTCGAGTTTAACCCAAACCTCTCAGATAAACACATTTGGCTTCATCAATGGCTGAAGTGAATGACTGAACTTGGTGCAGGTATATACGTATATTTACACCTGGGAGTTGGCAGTATTACTGATGATACTTGCACACATTGCTGTGAAACGTAGGACACAGCGTGGGAATTCGGCCACCATCATCTGCATAAGTAGTGTTTGGGCAGAAGAACAGACTGCCATTTGGCTCCCAGCCAAGTTCTCAAACGATGGTATATGGACAGACCTTTCCTGCATTGCTTGGTCAGATAACCTTGGGCTGGAGTTAATTGATGCTTTTTTCTTCCAAGGTGTTTATAAACTCTGTCTGAACACACAGCCAGTGATGACCTTTTCTGTCACCATGTGAGAGTAGCAGGAATGGAGTGATTATTGCATGTGTGCATGTGTGTGTGTGTGTGTGTGCATGTGTGTGTGTGTGTGTGTGTGTGTGTGTTTCCGCCTGTGTGGTCCAAGTGAATGACACATTACCCTGAGCAAGTTAATGCAGGGAGAGAGAGAATGTACAAGAACCGGGGAGATGGAGAGGGATGAAAGGGGGGGGGGGGAGGGTATCAGACAAAGAGACACTTCAGGGGAAACCAGGAGGCTGAGAAGAAAGTGACGAAAAAACCAGTGAACAACGGGAACAATTTCATATGAGTGATGTTTAACGCTTTTTAAGGTCACGCCTGTTCGACTTCGGGTTTGCAGTTTTTTTTGTTATTGCTCTTATTGTCGTCGGGTTGCCATTTCCCAGAGCAATAAAAAATCCAGTTCAGTAACATTTCCTTTTTCCAAAGGCGAACCTACGCGCGCTTTAATTTTACAAGTAAACTACTTACATTTAAATTAAAATAGATAATTAAGGATAAATAACATTTAACGTGAGAAGAAGGCGTGTTTTTCAAATGTAAATTTTTAAATGACGTTCAGACGGTGTTACATAGTTATAAGACACTATAATCCCCTGTGCTACACTGATCAAAAATAGCAAATGTGTACTAAAATTTAACAGACTAACAGAATATGGTGACAATTGCTTATTTATGTCACACCTCTAAGCAAATTGCAAACTGCTCACTTCAGATCTAAATGAAATTATTCTGAATTTTTAAGACATAAACATTGCACCATAAGCTTAGTGTATATGATAACAAGACAGGCACAGTAATGACAGGTCATTTTATCAATGTACTATGGAAAAACCCGTGAGTTTGGCTTATACCATTTGGAATACACACCTCAGAATCTAGTGCAGATCTCTCTTACCTCTGTATTGTAAGATCATGCCATTCAGGTGCATGTCAAATTTGCGTTTGACATGCAAACTGTGTTTAACTTGTGTGTAAGACAAGCATTTGCTTCAACCAGCGATTCACAGCTAGCAGACAGCTCGTTCTCCAGTTAGCGCTACAAAAATAGTTTGGAGAAAAGAATCTTACCAAAGTCTTACCAGAATAACATGCAAATCTGTAATGGGTGAAATTATAAGCAAACCTTTTCTTGGCCTGTGGTTAAATGAGACACCACATAGACACAAATGGTTTAGTTCACAGCTCTCATGGTTTTGTGAAGCGTATTCACAGACAGTGGCATTAATCACAGTCAAGTGCAGTGATAGAAAAACTTTTCCATAGATGCTGACAGTTTTGTACTTAGTCATAGTTATATTTGCAAAAAAAGTCTTTATTCTAGCAAAAATAATAAAGTATTCATGCATTCCCAGCAGAATGAAAAATATATACTGTACTGTACTTAAAGTTAAAAAAAGAGAATTAAGCTTTAGTGTTTTATATTGTGATCTGAAAAAAACAATATTCAGATACAGAAACAGATGACAATGTAGTATCCAATACAGTATCCAATACAGTATCCAATACAGTATCCAATACAGTATTCCCTGACCTAATGATGAACTCATCCTAGGCATTAGACACTTAGCTCAGGCTGATTACCACCAAATTCAATAATTCAACTAATTAATTTTTTCTGATGTCAGTCTATGATAATCTCTTCAAGTCTCTGTTATGTTGGGGTGGGGGGGGTGGGGGTGCTGCATAGAATAGACAGAATTTTTTAATCGTTTGTAGGTAAGTGCCGGTTAGCAGGCGACAGCTTCACTTTTCCGCTATTTGTCCAATGAAGCAGAACAAACACAATTAGCCACCTTGTCAGGACAGATGACACATTTGTCCCTGATAGTGACACGTCACATATGTTGGGTTGCTGTCTATTGGCAGCTGTCCTGACAGCGCTTCTTGACTGGGTGAGGCTGTGGGCTTCTCCTGCTGGGCCAGCCTGTGCATCTGGCAGTGATGTAGGCGTTTCGGCCTCTTTGCTCTGACTGCCACGGCTCCCTGCCTCTGTCCTGCTTACCTGCATCTTTTTCATTGGCCCTCTATTGTCCCTGACTTGAGGCTGTCAGCACGGTGCTCAGGTCTCCCCTGCACCGCTGCCCCCGTACAGCTGTTATCGGGAGTGTCGCAGCCATGCTGTCGGCGTTCGGCTGACAGAATCGTTGCAGGTAACAGCGTCACAGTCGCATGCATTGTCTGAGCTTGCAAATCAGCAGGACAGGGGAATGCTCACCTCTCTTCTACCTGCTAGTTCCCACGATCCCCTTCTGCCGACACCTGTGCCGTATTTGGACAGCTGCAAAGCCGTAAAGGTCACACCCATTCTGTGGAAGAATGAGTAGCTATCGGAGATAAGGAGATAAACCTCACAGTCGCCACTGTTCTCATTTTTATCTTGCTGTCGCCGTGATCTTGGTAGCCGAGGCAGGCGGATACAGTTCTGGGGTAGATTTTGCAATAAATTCCACGTTAATAAATAATTCCTTATGAAGAATCACTGAAACCGCGGGGAGAAACAGGAGCACACAGAATTGTCCATGTTCAGAGGAGAGTAGCAGTGTAGGGACAGATCTGAGTGGGCTGACTGTACTCTCACACCTGTGAAAGAAACAGGACATGGGGCAAAAAATGTGGCCTTCCTTTTTTACGTACAATAAATATTTTTTAAAAGGCCCATGACTGCTAACTAGCACCACTTAATTGTACACAAATTAGCCCCCCATATAATTAGCTAGTTAGCTTCATTCCAAAATAAAACTAAAACAATTAACAATTGGCTGGTTCAAATGTAGTTGATAGAGCTGCACAGAATTAATTTTTCGACATTGTTTGCCATGCCTACAAAGTAAATCCGATGAACAGAAACACACAATTTCCCCACATTTCCACACAGACGGAAATCTATTTTTAGAAGAAGATAAGGTTAGTCCATCACAGTAACGCTGTAGTCTTCACATCTCTGACGTGTGCGTGTGCGTGGCACTAGATGTCACCCCAGTGTAGTGCGGCAGCGGTGAACTCGTAATGGCCGTGTTACGTGAGTCACCTCCAGAAGCCCCACCCCACGCCACCCCCCTCCCGGCTCTCGCATGCAGACACGTGTGCATCTCCAGCACAGGAAATGCATACACACACCCCTGCAGCACCTCCGATGAAGAATGGGGTTAGGGTTAGCCTGCTAGGGACACGACAAGCTGTCACTTAAGGCGTTTATTAAAGACTGCAAATGAGAAAGGAGCAGGAGTCAGTGCATTTACCATAAATCTAGCCAAAAATGGGCATGATTTCTCACTTCTATGCATCGCGTGGTGTGTGCAAAATCTTCTCAGCAAAGCCTTGCAGTAGCAGTAGTCACACTGTTCGCACCATACAGGGCAAATAAAACGCAGTAAGAAATATGGACAAGGAGTCAAATGTGTCCCCATTTTAAACACCCTCAAGCTGTAAATGAGACTGTAAAACTGTAATACTTATGTAGATTTTTCCACCCCTGAAATGCAATAAAAGTCTAGTATAAACATTTATCCTATTAAAAATTGACCCCCTATAAACGATTCCCTACAGGGAACACGTGTAGTGGAAAATAAATCTTAAATGCAGAACCTGGTGATTTGTTAATGTTTATCTTGATGATTTTAGTTCCCCTTTTCCTTGTATCAATGTTTATACATTCTTGTTTTCATGCAAACTGTCATTTTTTTGGCATTTTTAAATGTGATTTAGATTTGAAAGCAGAACGGGGGAGTGCGTGGCTCACGAGGTTTGGACGCTTATGCCTGTGATCGAAATGTTGCCAGTCAATAGACTGATGTCACTGTTGGGCCTTTGATCAAGGCCATTAAAGCCTAATGACTTCAGGTACCGCCTGACCCTGTTACCTTAAAAAGGTAGATTGGTTTGGATAAAAGCATCTAACAAAACAAACATTGATATCGTAGAATAGGAACCATATATTTAGCATTTATCAAAATCCATCAGTATATTTGAGGATGGGTATTTGGTCTACTTAGGGTGATGGTAATTTACAGCAGGAAGCATGCGGCACAATCCTGACCCCGGTTCCCACAAACAGCGTGTCTTCAGGCAGAGGGAGAACATGTGGACCACATATGGATGGAGATCCCACAGCGGTGGCGAGACGAGGCGGCAGCAATGCGCCCTGAGCCTCCGAGCCAGCCAGCCCTCCCACGCGCCGAGGGCAACGCCCAACAGGCCGCGCCACGGCTGGATGGCGGAGACAGCTTCACGTAGTGTCTGCTCGCGACACAGACTTTATTTCATGAATGATGGGAGGCAGGAAACACTTCACAATGAGAGCCGGAGAGAGAGTTTCTATATATATACTACAGCATGTTTGTGTGTGTTTGTCTGAGGGAACAGAAGCAGATTTGGAGCAGATGTTAGTGCTGATAGCTGACAGCAGTAGCTGGACCTGAATGTAGGTGGAGCTGCCGTTCCGTGACCATCTCCTACTGCCCCTGTTCTGCACCCCCGTTCCTGTCTCCCGGTGTCCTTTCGCCGCCTTCGTCCAGTCGCGTCACTTTCTGTACCTCTCAGCTTGCACAGCTGTGCGCACATCTGCACTGCAGTGCCCCGCACAGCTGGCCCTGCAGTGGGGTCTGTGTCTGCTCACTCCCAGTGAGTGTCCCAATTGTGCTTTACACACTGATGGGAATACTGATAGAGTTACTGTCTCTCAGGATAAATGCCTCTTATACTGTGATTGTCAGCTGTCACCCCCTGCTTTTCCAATGTTATTCTAGGCTTGGGTGTTATCTGATTTTTCATACTGTTGTACCTTCCAGTAGGGATGTCCTGATCCACTTTTTTAGTACCTCAATCTGATCCATTCAATATTTATATCTGCCTATTTCGAGTCCCAATCTGATCTTTTAATAAATATTTAAATATACATATGCATACAGTAGGTGTTGGTACCTTCTTCAACTAAGTAAGCCTTGTGATTTTGCAGTATTCTTCATTATGATGTCTCTGCAAGTCCCTAATTAGATTTGTTACATTAAATGACACTGTCTTGCAAACATTGCAGGTAGTTGTTGGGCTACTTTGTGCTTCCAGTTTAAAGAATTTCCACATGGCTGACATCTTGACAAGTTGTAGTTTGAAGCCACGTACCTTTAGCTTCCTGTAGCATGTGATGGAACCTTACAATCTGTGGAACTGATGTAAATTATTACAGTCTGCACAAATGATGATGGAGATTAAATTGATTGGGCTGTGGTGGCCGATAATGAAATGAAATTGAGACATTATACCACAATATACGGTATTTTGAAAAATAAAATTCCAATGGCAGATTTTATCATGGGGAAACCTCCATCACATTGGCTCAGTTAATGTCGTGGGCAAGATTTCAAAATACCATAGTATATCCAGAATACCTTGGTATACCACCTATTCCTCTGTTCCATTGTCATTCCTACCCATTTGGCTTCCTAATGCTGGCCAAAGGGATGTGTTTACACAGCTGAAACAACAGCTTGAGTGGCAAGAAAAAAATATGCACAGCTCTGACAAAAGAAATACATTTAACGATGAGATTTTAGAAAATGTTTATAAAATGAAACAATTATGATCAGAATTTGGCTCCAGCTAAGGAAAGAGAGTGTGCATTTGCATCCAAATTGTGTCACAGAACAAGCCATTCAGCAGAATGCAAACACAGACCAAGCTTAGCATAAACCTGGAGCGTTAAAGGCCGTTCTGCCTCTCAGTGTAGGTATGCAGTATCATTTTATATGTTCAGTTTAGGTAAAAGTTATATTAAGAAGATATTGGTTCATGTGGTTAGTGTCAGTGGTCTTTTGTCAATAGTTGCAGTCAACGTATGACATTTCTGCAAGTGACTAAGCGCACTGCTTCAGCTAAGACCATTTGCTCAATGAATAAAATGTAAAATATAAGCCTTGCTCAGATTCAGAAAGTTGGTGCCAATCGTATTGAAACTCCCCAGACAAACCACTGAGAAAAGCGGTGGAGACATAGCACAATAAAAGCAGAAACAGGCCTTTCAGCATCTCTAAATGAGGGAGTCAGCCATAGCACGGCTGAGTTCATAACATGTATGACATTTCAATTATATGTGAATGAATCATGGGGAAAACTCCAGTTTCTGATCTCAGAAGCATGGACGTTAAACCCATCACCGCTAACACTAAATCTGGCCATTTTACAAAGGCACAATTTAAGGGCGATTAATGGTTCCTTCAGAAAAACATTAATCACATAGAACTTGTGTAAGTGTGCATGTGAATATGCTGGCAGAGCAGACTTATTGCTGAGTGTCAGCAGCACAGCAGCGTGAGCAGGCGCCATGGCGACAGGAGGCGTCACTCAGCAACAACAAGCCAGCGATTAAAAAGGCAGGGCCGAGTAAAGGGCCATGATGAACTTCCAGCACTCAAGGGATCACGTCAAATTTGTGAAATTCCAGTGAAATTGTTCTGTGAGAACACATGTAAAACATGAGATCTAGCTGAATTTTCTGGCCGATTGAAGAAAAAAAGAATAAGCGTTTTAAAAGGACAGATTTGGTGGGCAAAGGATTACTGATGACAGGGAATGCCATAGTGACAGATTTCTGGAGACTAAGCTACATGCGTTTGCTTTGTCAGGTGTTATTGTGCGGCTCTCCTTATTTTCTATGCATGTAGCAATTACCTTCTCTCTCCTGCAGGGGGAGCTATTGAGCCCTTGCCGCTGTGACGGCTCAGTGCGCTGCACCCACCAGCCCTGCCTTATCCGCTGGATCAGCGAACGCGGCTCCTGGAGCTGCGAGCTGTGCTACTTCAAGTATCAGGTGCTGGCCATCAGCACCAAGAACCCACTACAGGTAACACACTCTGCCAGCTCTTCAGGACGCTGCACACACGTACACACGCACACACGTACACACGCACACTCACAAGCATACAAGCACTATGACACAGGGCACAGATTGGCAATTTTTATTTGATTTCTTAATGTCTCAAAGACAAATGTATCTTCTTGTAATGCTAGGAAATATATGTGTTTATAGCTAATAGCGATATTAAGATATTTCACACATATCCGAGTTCCTTCCATTGATATTTAACCATTCACGAGTCAGACACATGAGCATAACACACATTGAATTATAGCATGGTCTGACTCACTAACCTGTCACAATCCATCACCCCCCTCCCTTTCCAGTGGCAGGCCATCTCCCTCACGGTGATCGAGAAGGTGCAGATCGCAGCCATCATCCTGGGCTCCCTCTTCCTAATTGCCAGCATCTCCTGGCTCATCTGGTCCTCGTTGAGCCCCTCGGCCAAGTGGCAGCGCCAGGACCTGCTCTTCCAGATCTGCTACGGCATGTACGGCTTCATGGACATAGTGTGCATCGGTGAGCGCGTTTCCTGTGCCTGTGCTGAACCCTACCCTTACTAACCTGCTTTTGTTTTGCACTCAGGTGCGATCGTTCAGAAATGCCTATTCAGTTTAGGCGAAGAAAACAAGAACTGTTTGAGCGTGTCGGCTTTTGTCTTGAAAAGATATTTAGGTTATGGTGGCCCTTGTTTGTTTTCAGTATACTTGTTCTCATTATTGTCTACCAAATGCATCTTTTCCAGGCCTTATCGTCCACGAGGGCTCTTCTGTGTACCGAATATTCAAGCGGTGGCAGGCTGTAAACCAGCAATGGAAGGTACTGAATTACGAAAAGGCCAAGGACCTGGAGGACCCAATGAACTCGGCGGGCAAGGGAGGGGGGCGTGCCTCTCGGAACAACCCACATGGCTCAGCCAATGGTGTCAGGGGAGGGAGGCGGGGCCAGCGTGTCAGGACTATTCTGAACCACCACTGTGGCTACACCCTCCTGCACATTCTGAGTCAGCTGCGGCCGAACGATCACCGCATCAGCGCCACGGCGAACCGTGAGGTGGTGATGAGGGTCACCACTGTATGAAACTGGAGGCCCACTGTACGGACCACTGCCAAAATGGCCTCCCTCACTGACTACGGCATAGCAACGAATGCATGGCGCAGCAGTAACGAAGAAATACAGACAAACTGAACCTGAGTTCTTATACAAAAAAATGCATTTTTAACAGCAAATAAACAGATGAACAGAACATAAAAAATACAAACAGCTCCACGACAAACTTAAATGCTGGAATTTTTTTTCTTTTCCCAGCAAGAAAATACATTTCCATGGCTACTGTTGTTTTTGTTTTTTATTAAACTGTTACTTGTTACTTGTTACTGATTTTGGTTTTATAAGAGAACACACTGTAAAACGATTATAAAATTTCCAAAAGCCGTTCCCATGCTGCTGGGTTCCGTGTGGAATCGCGTCACACTTCCGCCCCATAGCAAGGGGGTCATTGACGACCCCTGAACTCTCCCCGCGCAAAGGCAGCTGAGGAGTCTGAAAAACAATAACTTAACCTACAATAAAATTACAGAAGTCCTGAACAATAACACCGATATTCCACAAACAAAAAACGTGTGAACCAACCTGGCAATAAGGGGTATCTGTACATCTCACCGTGAATTCTGTCCGAGGGGGGTGGCTACTTTCTTGTTTTCTTCTCATCCCTCTCTCTCTCTCTGTCTTTCTCTCTCTGCCAATTTGCTGTTTTTCAGATTCATGCTCGCCGACACAGAGGGGCGGGCTGCAGGAAAATAATTGCCGAATCAATGAATCATCGCTGTAGCTTACAATACCTTCAAAGCAGTGTCTTTCTTTCTTCTCTTTTTTGATTTGGAAGACTTCACTCTTATAGCCTGAAGCTGTAAAGTACCCTGAATATAACCCAAACTATCCTGGGATGAAACAAAGCTCAAAGGTGCTTGATACAAATATTTGTATCCGGAATTTATTCATTTACATGTCAGCTAATAACAAGCACTTATGACATGATAAATAAAAATGCCATCTTGACCTGACTGTACTGTGTGCCCCCTGTACTGAGGCATCTTTAGCCTTGACTGTTTGTGTTTCAGAATGTTCCAGGGTGCTGTCTTGTTTACTTTAAGAGTATAAACCCCATATGGTAAGAATTATCAGTTGACAAACTGAAACTACTGGCTGATTGGATATGCACATAAATGACATATAATTCCAGCATATAATCTACTTTAACATAATTATCTTACGATTATTTAGGTGCTGATTAGGTAAGACCATTTAAATGTATACCTCAAGCAAAAGTCAGCACTTATTACAGTTTGGAGTATTATAACCAATGAAAACCACTGCAGCAGATCCTGAGAAGAAGATCAAAATATATAAATTTGCAGTTGCTTGCAGTATTTGCCATGTTCTGCTGTAAATCCTAAATTTGTGACGAAACATTTCCTTTAATGTGGATGGAGTACAAAGAACCACAGTGTGTCGGATGTTATGGGGGGTTTTTAACTTAAGACAAATACCTGAGTTTATGTTATTTGCAATGTTCAATAACTTTTGTCAAAACAGTGTTTGCTTTGAATTAAACATGCATTATATACCCAAAATGTCCTAATTCCTACTCAAATTTATGCCCAAATTGTCCTCATTTCAGTCTCTAACCTGATTACGGCTATAAACATGATTGTACTATGTACATTGTTACAGCTGTCATTGTCCTTATTATTAATATGGTATGAACTTCAGATATAATAAAAAAAACCAATATGCACAGACCAGTGTGTATAACTCAGTGGTACACGTGGTATGTGATGTCGTTCACTCAGCACACGTACACCCTGAACCTCAGTCGAAGCCATGAGTGTGTAGAACCATACTGGCCAGGTCTAGTACAGAGGCGTACAGGACCCAGAGTTCTAAGACATAACAGGGCTAGTGAACCTGTTCATTCAGGTGGTAGAACAGAATTTCCCATGCTGACTGAGGAGGTCTATGTTAACATCATAATTCAGATAAGAAAATAAATGTGTACACAGAACTACAGTTCTGTTCCACAATATGCTGTTGGAAACTGCTTTGTGTGGAATTTTAGGGATATCTGTAGAATTTCTGTAAGGTTGATGCTATATTACCTCCACAAACAATATCAGAATGTTGTTATTAAACTAATCACAAAACAAATGTGATACCTGCATTCACAGCTTGATCAGCACAAAATAACCTCAATTTAGCACCTGCCAACATCAATGGGCTGCTACCTTGGCAGGGGATGGAGTCATGCACACCAAGTAAATCATTTGCTCCAGTCATTACCCAAAATTTAAGGCTGTGGATTGTCCTGTGATCACAACAATAACAACACATAATTTGTTTCACTAACTTTCATCATGCTTCCAGCTTTATTTGCTTTTCAGACTATTTACATTTTGATTGATTAAATCCACAAGATTGCTTTTTGAAGGCGTTATTATCCCGCACTTCAAAGAATTGCCTCAGACCACGGAGTATCTCATGCTCAAGCATAGACATTCAGAATTACAAATACATTTTAAAGCCATTCTTGTGCCAAGTCATCTAGATGGATGGTGACCCTGAAAAAGGAAAGTGACATCAGTATTACCGTTAATATTAAACCGAACAGCCTCAGCGAATTGTACACGATCTCAAAGATAGACAAAGCTATGATAAACAAAGCCAAAACCATTTTTTGAATATCTGATTGCCAAAAGCAACGTGAGAGGCAATTACGGTTTCATGTTTTGAAATATAAATTTCAGAGGACTAAACGTACGTAATATTTACCGTAATTATGAGAACACCATAAGCAAGCTTAGGTACATCAAGATCAGAGTCAGCTATGAGTCATTTTGTAACAGATTTCAGGACCAGTAAACTCACATCTTGTAACAGTGCCTAAAATAAAGAAGTACACAGGGACAAAAAGAAAATCTCCCCAGAGATGCCACGGTTAATGCATCATTACATAAAACAATTATGCGCATGCATACTTAAAGTAAAATTACGTAAATGTAAAATGATAATTTATATCGAACAATTCTATTTCTGTTGTGTTTTGTGTTTCTCAAGTATGCGTTTTTTGAAGCTGTAGTCTAATACACTAGTGACCTTAGAAGGTTTTTTTTCCCATCAGTACTGCAATATCCGTTACACAAACCGCTTATCTGGGTGAGATCATAAATCTTTTGGCTTGGATGTTACAGATCAGGTATGAAAAAAGAATTATCGCAATTATTCTTGTGCCAAGGCCAAGCCGCATCAATTTTCTCAGAAAAAAAGGTTTATTTTTCTCCCATCTGTTCACTATGCTTAGCCTACCGGATCTTAGTGCAATATTACGTTAAATGCAAGATAATTAAGAGCAGTAATTTCAATATGTTACTGAAATCTACCAGACATATTTTTAACATTAATAACAAAGCATGTAATATATGCATAATATTTTCGCCTTGAAAATACATGGAGATATAAACTCAGTATTAAAGTGTAGAAAGTAGCCAATCAGAGGAAAGGAGGCCGGACATTGGCCCGTCTACGTTACGTCATTAATGAGCGACACAATGCAGCAGCGTGCTGCCTAGAGTGTGGTCTGGGTGGTTGTTGCCGTATTTATTTTTTAATACTTTTATTCAAAACTTAGGTAAAAAAGGTACTTTCCCCCCATATAAAAAATGAGCGTGTCAATGCCACAGAAGCGTTACTACAGACAACGAGCCCATTCCAATCCCATGGCTGATCACACCTTTGACTAGTGAGTTGTTCGTGGGTACATTTTTTGCTCCGTTCTGAAACGGAATGAAAAGTTGCTATGGAGTTCTCTCCCATTTGATTTTTTTTCTTAATTGATATTCATAATACGATATTAGCTCGTAAATTTAAAAACATTGTCCTCTTTTGGCGGTTTTATAGCAATTTAAAACCATTTAACATTTTACTAATAAATTTCTGACCCATTCTAAGTCATATACCCCAGGTTTGTAAAATTTCCACTTTGGTTGTGAATTTGTGCACAGTGTGTTTTGTTTGCCTTCGCTGTTTTTAGTCCGCTGTGCCCAGAAGAGATGGACTGGTCTCAACTGTACCCGGAGTTTTTCAGTGGTCCTGGAAACGCCAGCGCAAAAGCAGGCGCTCGTGTGGAGTTTGCTGATATTGGATGCGGTTACGGCGGACTTCTTGGTAAATAATTTTCTTCCGTCTTATGCCTTACATTAAATTTAGATTCAGTGCTAAAACTAAGCGTTTTATGAAAATGATACTGGTATGATCATTCCTACCGTAATCCTAGATGGAGTTTTGAACAACGTTTAAGTGTGAACGTGTTGATGAAAACCGTGTTACTGTGGGTCATGGACCTCTAAGTTTCTTTTTTATTCAGACCACCAACAGAGGGAGCCGATGGTTTGACTATAAACAGGAACCGTGGCTGTTTTACTCGCATCATTTCAAATTTGGCTGCCACCCATGTCCAGTTTTGTTAACATTTTGGCTCACGTTTGAAATATCTAGCTAAAATTTTGCCTTTCAGCATAAAAGTACCTCATTTAGAAGAGTTATTAAAATGTGGTAATTTGCTGATATTACTTGTACAGGACTGTTCTTATGCAAATTGCACTTTGAGCATATTGGTCACATGGTTTGTATGCATATTAAACCTCTACTAGTTATTACTGGTTAGGTTTGTCAGAGAGTCTCGTGTTAAAAACCTTTGTCTGTCCGCAGAGACCTGGCTGTGATGTTTTATGGACTATTTGTTTATAACTGCATGATAATTACTCTCAAATTGTTAACATAGTCTGGTATGCTTAAAGTTTCACCATTTTACCACACATCAGCTTTAGAGTCAGTGGTTGGCTAACTATATTTCAACATTATTATGAAATCATTTTCACTTTTCTTCAGTTTATAGCAAAACTTTTAAATAAGCTTACTTATCAGATTTTCTTAACTGTCGAAACATGAATTATTTAGTCCTATAATGAGCTGTCAGGTTTGGGCTCCTCAGACTAATTGTCTTTCTGATGCTCTCTCCAGTGGAGCTCTCCCTGCTCTTCCCTAACCAGCTGATTCTGGGTCTGGAAATTCGAGTCAAGGTCTCAGATTATGTTCAAGACCGGATCCGCTCGCTCCGTGTGGCAGAATCCGGTCGGTACCAGAACATCGCTTGTCTGCGGAGCAACGCTATGAAGTACCTGCCGAACTACTTTGCTAAGGGACAGGTGAGGCCCAGACCTGCTAATGCTTTTTCCTTCACGATGGTGTCTTATGCCAAACCAGTGTTTCTCAATCCCCTCCACAATGCCCTCCCACCACCACCCAGTCCACATTTTTGTTCTGTTCCTACATCCACACACCCAGTTTTTATCACCTGATCATAAAACCCTTGAATACCTGACTGAGAAATGCAGACTGAGTAGTATACTGAAAACGTGGACTGGGACCGGGTGTTGAAGCATTGCTTAAGTGCTAACTGCGCAGCTAAGGACTTTGCTAAAGAAGAGTGGTGATGCGGATGGGTTTGACCAAAGTGAAGCACAGTTTATGTGGCGGAAGTCAGCTTCCTGTTCCTGTTGAGGTTGGTCAACAGCATTGATGAGTCTTTTGGAAATGCTGCACTTCTGTCACAGAGAATCATGCCTGTATTGCCCAACAGAATATACGCTTAGCAGAATTATGCCAAAAGAGAATTTCCCATTTGCCATCATTTTTCTAATTGATACGGGCGTGATATAGGCAGCTTTGCATCCACTGTATAAGCAGATATTTAAAACATTATCTTAATCTGGAATCAGAATCAGGTTTATTTGGCCCAGTATGTTCTCACACACAGGGAATCTGTCTCTGGTTGTCAATGCTAACATACTTGCAGTAGGTACAGACATAGTCAAGACAAGACAACGATCACATACAGTTCTGTTGATATATAACTAGCTTAAAGTAAAGGGCATGTTTGCTAACAGTCTGTACTTAAAACTGTGATTCCTCACTATGTAATATCTCGGAAATGATGATCCGAGTCTTCACAGCAGCCCAGAGCTGTGGGTATTACGGCACTGCTGTTCCTGTAATTAAGGATGAGGTGGTTCTCGTAGCTTTGGTGCGCCTCTCCAGATCTGATGCTAAATCAATATATGTCTGAAGACCGATGAACAGAATAGCCTCAGATAAGTGTGACCTCGTGGTCTGGAGGATTAGCCCTGCCTCTGCCTTGTTTGCCCTGGACCCATGAGTCCAGCCCTTCCTGTTAATGTGTAATTGGTTCAGACCTCTAGACCCAGTTACAACATTCTGAGCTTTTAATTCCAAATAGAGCTTCATAAGCGTTGAGCAGAATGCTTCCCATGCTCGATAAACGGAAAAGTTGATTATCCATTGGGATTTTGGAAAACTGTTAGATAAACAGACCTCTTTGCAATATGTAGGTTAATGCTCCAGTTTTCAGTCTGAATGGGGGGATGGTGCTTTGTGGAAGGAGAAGGATATTTAACTTTTGCTGACTTGTGATTTTTTCCCCCCCCATTGGAAACTGTATGAGTGAATCGAATCGAAACAGATACGTTTAAATTGGTAAATGCATAAAGTTACTGGAATTTAAAATGACCTCATTTCTTTTCCCTTAACATCCTGTATCCAGTGTTTAATGAATAAAGAGCCTGCAGATGGAAGCAGCCTTAAGTTCTGTGGTTATACGTTTCGCTGCTTAGATGAAGCTGTTATCAGCAATGAGCTGCCAGTTTGACCTGTTTTGCTGTCATGGGTCACTGTGCAGTACTGTGGCATCACATCTGCAGGGTGGTTTGTGTGATTCCTGTCGTGTGTGATTCCTGTCGTGTGTGATTCCTGTCGTGTGTGATTCCTGTCGTGTGTGATTCCTGTCGTGTGTGATTCCTGTCGTGTGTGTATGTGAGAGAGAGAGAGAGAGAGAGAGAGAGAGAGATGGAGGGGTGCCGACATGCAGGTTAGCCCCTGTGTTTTCTGTGGGAGTCTCCAGACTTGCCCTCACCTTGGATTGAATAGGCGCTGTGGAGGATGGATGGGTCTTGCCTGAGAAACCCAGGTTAAGTTCCTCACTCACGGAACCACAGCAGATTCACCTGAGTGGAATTAAACTTGCAGGTTATGGCTGCATGTCCTTTTCTTTCACCTGCTGCCTTTCGGTTTGCTCGGCGCTGTGCTTGACGGTCCAGTTTTGAGCCCGGACTGCTGAAGTGGCTTTGGAAGGGAGCTGGCTGGTGCTTCATCTTCCACTGGGGTGAGAATGTCAGGCCTTCCTGGACAGTGAGCCACAGCAGCCTGATATGACAACTCTCCAGCACAACTGCACCTCCAGATCAGCCCCTGATTGGTTTGGGATCCCCAGGGAAGGTCTTCTAAGCTCAATATAGATGTATTCAGATTTGCTTAACACAGGTTAGCCTTTCATATATTGCAGCCAACGTCTGTTGTCTGTTCCACCATTAGTGGGAATCTTCTTCCAAGAAGACCAGAAACTGCCGTTCCTGTGCCATTCGCCACTTGCTTCCATGTGTAGGTGGTTGTGGTGGTTTTCTTTCTTTCTTTTTTTTTTTTTTTAACAGAAGACCAAATTACCTGCACGTCTTTCTGCTGTCCTCCCAGAACTGAAACAGCTGTAAGGTATAATGCATCCATCACTTAGATCTTTTCTCTGTTCGTCAGTGGCGGCGGGATTCTGTTTCTCTCCGCGGCCGTCAGCTGTCGCTTAGCCTTAGCGCTGTCTCACAGTGTTCGCATTGTTCCAGCGGCCCGTCTCATACGGCTCCAGCCACCTTGGGGCGTAAACACAGAAGCCGCACCACAAGCCCGTCACTCCTCTTCCTTTGCTTTTTCAGAAGATTAACAGCTTTGGATGGGAGAACGCCCTTTAGCGGAATTACTCATGGAAAGTATAGAAGTGTGATACAGTTTCTATCTCTTTCTTTTCCCCGACAAACTGGTACTCAATACCCCCCCCCCCACACACACACACACACACACACCTGATGAAGTTGGGCCAGTTCAGATGTTAATGGCTTAATGCCTCTGTTACTCCTAGTTGATTGTATGTTTTTCATGCATGGATTTTTGTTGGCCAATGCCTGTAAAATCCAAGAATGAAGTTTTCAGAACATCCAACGTACAGATAACTTATGAACGGACTGCCGTAAAACCTCTTACTTTAAACGTTGAGTTAAATACGATGGTTTGTAATAACAAACGCACACTACATTGTCACATGAAAACATTGCATAGCTTCAGTGGATTGTCAGCTTGACGTACAGTACTGTATTTTGTTACTTTTAATGATTATTATTGTACTGTTTTGTTTTGACTTACCTACAAATTTGGCGTAAAGACAGACTTAGGGAACAGATCTCATTCGTAACATGAGGACTGCCTGTATATATTTTTTACACCAATCGGTCATGCAGATTTTGTGGTGAGTTTACTTTCCAGTTGCAGATGGTAAGTAAGTGGGGCTGTCTGGTTTATTCCTGCTTAGATCAGATTCCCCAGGCTTGTGTTTGCTCTGAGGGCCGCCTCAGCCTTGTGGAATTAGAGATTCTCTTTGACTTGGGGGTCCCGGACCCCAATTCCTATCATCTCAGCTCTAATGCTTCTAGGCAGGCAAACTGGGAAAACCGGAGATCAGTCCTACTGGTTCTGGGCGAAGAGCACCTTTCAGAGTGGGGAGGGGGCAAGACGTGATGTCACACGTATACCAGGGATCACGGAGCGCTTCTGTGATGATGTTTTGGCTCTTGTTCATTTCCTTCTGTGACTCTTGTGCATGTCGCCCAGCTCAGTAAGATGTTCTTCCTGTTCCCGGATCCTCATTTCAAAAAGACGAAGCACAAGTGGAGGATCATCAGTCCCACGCTGCTGGCCGAGTACGCTTACACGCTACGAGTCGGGGTAAGGGGGCCCGGGGGGGGGGGGCATGCCGTGCCAGTGCCAGTGCACTTAAGTACCATCGGCGGGTAGATGTGCCCTGATGGGTCCACTCTCAGGTTTCCCCATGAGGCACACTGCCAGAAAGCTCTTCCAGGTGGAATGAGGTGGTAGCACTGGGGGGGGGGGTCCAGAACAATGGGTCATTTGTGTTTATGGACACAGGTTATGGACGTGTGCTGACTGTGCACTCAGCAGGAGAGAGAGAGAGGTTCTCCTGCCGGGGGGTGGGAGGGAGGGGTCCCGCTAACACAGGTATTCTGCTGCATCAAGGGCAAGAGCGAGGGGGCGGAGCACTGCCCCCCACTCTTTGTTTTATTGAAAAAAGCTGAGCCAACATACCAAGCTCTGTCCATTTAAGAGCACTTATTATGTTCTTAGAAAATGATCTCTTAATAATACTCTGTAGAAGCAAAGTAAACTACAGAGACACCAGTGATAAATTTCAGGTTGTTTGCTGGTGGTTATTTCTGTCCTGTTCGCCCTCTTTAAAGAAAGAAAAAAACCTTTGTACTGTTACGTATATAAGGGAGCACCAGGGCACTGGAGAACATCGTGCTGCACGCACACCTGCACAGACGCACACGTGGAAATGCACACAGGCACACAAATGCAGAAATGCACACTCACACGCAAAGATACGCAGACACAGAAGTGCATAGACACACAGAGAAGTGCACACAGCCTCGATATATAGACACCAACACAGAAATACGCGCACAGAAATGCACACGCTCACATGCACAGATTTGCAGACCCACACACAGAAATGCACACAAATGTGCAGACACACGCAGAAATGCACACAGAGGCGCAGACACTCACACGCTCCCTGCGGCACTCTGCATTCACAGTGTCCCCCCCCCCCCCCCCGCAGGCTTTGGTGTACACCATGACCGACGTGGAGGAGGTTCACCTGTGGATGGTGAAGCACTTCAGTGAACACCCTCTCTTTACCAGGGTCACGGAGGAAGAGCTGGTGAGGAAGCTACTCTACAACCCATCCCCCTCCCCGCCCCTCAAAACCCCAACCCTCAATTTTTTTTTTTTACAAGTTCCCATCGCTGACTGTAAAATGTCTCTACATGACACTGACACCAAAAGAGCAGTGTGGCGTGGTCTAGTGCTCCTTGTACCGCATCTCGCCCAGTCATTTGTTCAGCATGTGCTCTGCTTGGCAGGCCGATGACATCATCGTGAGCCGGCTCGGCACGTGCACGGAGGAGGGCAAGAAGGTGCAGAGGAACGGCGGGAAGAATCATCTCGCCGTCTTCCGAAGGGTGGAAGACTAAACTGTGCCATTTCAACTTCAGGAAGGTGGACTGTGGGGCTCCACTGGAAAGCGACAGGGGAGCCGTCAGGGACAGAGCAAAACCAAGGGGGGGCGGGGGGGGGACTTGTTCAGTTGTGTCCAGTCTTTTTATACTGAGCTCCTGGTTGCATGGAAGCAAAGGATATGTAGGTCAGTCCTGCACATCGGTACCACAGCAGGCAAAGATGACCCAGGAATGTGCTGAGCACTCATCTTATGTTTATTTAATCTGTACGTTGGCCCCAATTTTTTATTTGAAAGAAGTTTTTATTGTTTTTTTTCCCCTGCAGGCAATGCAGGTCTTAATTAACCTTATATCAACATTTTACTGCTCCACCCGCCTTTCATCTCCGGCACTCTGAGCGTTTATGCAAATCTCTGTTCTGACTTGACACCCAGTGAGCGGGAAGAGTTTTGGCTCGCTGCCTTGAATGTTTCTGGCTGGAGCACGGCCACGGGGCTCACGGCGCGACGGGTGCGGGGCCGCGTCGCCTTGGCTCTGCCTGTGGGGGTGTCGGCTCGCCGTGCCTGGGCCACACCCCCTCTGTGTGGGCGGGGGCCATTTCCGTCACTGTGCCAATGGACAGCAGCACCAGCGGCGCGTGTTAAGTACTTAGGACTGCGACGCCAATTCTCCATTATCCTCTCCCAGCAAAACCATTAGATTTTTTCCGTCATTCTGGGCTCTTTATGCAGGTTTCAGCAGGTTGTGCCTTTTGCTGCTGCAATATCAGTGCAGTTGCTTTTCAGTATTAACATTTTAATTTTTGTTTTGGCGCGATGCACTGAGGTACCAGATCATGGAATAATGCTAGTAATAATATTACTAGAAAATAGTGAGCCCCCCCCCCCCAATATATTAAGCTTGATATGTACTGAAAATGCAATGCAGCCTTCAGGATTTGGTTGGTTCATTGTGGTTTTGTTTGTATATGAATCAATGCACTGCTGCAGACATAGTGGCCGATACATTCCGGCCTTCTGAGTTGAAAGCGTCTCGCTGGCTGAATTCTTCCACTGCAGACCTGAATGATCATAGTCTGTCCCGGTAAAGGGTTTTGTTTAGCCTGCAGAAATTGCAGACTGGGGCAAGACCACACATGTATCCAAAGAAGAAACAGAAGTCGAGATATTAGAGTGCTTTTGTTTTAAAAATATATTAAAATAAAAGGATCATTGTTTCAAAGCGTGATTCGTCAGTCTACACATTGTCTCATTCTGTGTAATTAGGGGTTAGGACTTGTTTTATGTTAACGAGTATTGACAGGTGAACGGAAGAGCCCGTTTCCCTTCCATTGTCACGGTGCCTAAGAGTAATATTCCCCTTTTTTGGGGATGGGTATTGAAGCTTTGTGCGCCGAATTGTCTTCAGATGTGAGCACGCGGCTGATCCTTTTCACTGAAATGCAGTGTCAAATCAGTAGGAGTTTTCTGTTCTGTTAGAGTGGGTTTTTAAAAACCAGCACCAAGCCAAATGTGCTCACTATACAAGCTGATAGACGTCTAACAAAGGGCTTTTCGGAGGGATGGCTTCACTTGAAACGAATCTTGATATTAAATACTAAGTGCCCTTTTTCTTTGTGTTTTTTTTTTTTTTCCCTCCAAAGGCTTTAACAGTAATAGTGATGATGCACATCGCAGTTCTGCACTGGGTGGTTCGCTTCGGTTGCACATGTTCCTACTGTCTTGCCAGTAGCCCTTTCAGCAGAAATATTTTGCATGCATTAGTTACAGGAGATGATTGCAGTTGGTGCTGGAAAGGCATCAATCATTGCGATGAGTAACGATTCCAAGGGCGGGGCCCCTGTCCTCATGCGGGATGGTATCGCACATCGCGTCCTAATCGCCACCCTTTCCTTTCTGCTCGCTCCCTCCGAAACAAATTCATAGGTGCTTTATAAATCCATAAAAGCTGTCATTTTTTGAGCATTTTAATTTGACAAATAACCCAAATGAATGTCAGTTATGTGGCTTCTGTTTTCTTTAACAATAACTTTTGGCCGTTTTAATATATTTATCGGCTTTGTATTGTGAGTCATCGTGTCATGCGATGAGCGGCATACGTGCCATCGTCATCCGTTGGGTATCGAGCTCTGTGACGTCAAACGGCAGCTTGCAGCGTCTTCTCCTTTCCCCTTGGGTTTCTCGGGAGTGTCACTGGAGCTCATATAATCGACAGGTAGCACGGTACCTGCTACGGTACGGAGTCACATCCCAGGGTGGGCCCCTGCTTGAACGTGAGACTGGACGGACCTCGGTGTGGTCATTTCTGATGTCCTTTTAGCCCTTGTGCACGCAGGGGTGTGTCTTGCAGATGATGGGCCAGTGCAGCCCAAGTCGCACGTACGTTCCTGTAATGTGCCCGGCGCTTCCCAGAATATGGAATAATTTATCAAGCATGTGTGTTATATCACAGGGCTTGCTGTGTGAACCGCTGCCAACTGTATACTCAATCTAGAGCAGTTGCTGTATCAGTGGGGGGGGAGTTTGCTACATGAGCATTTACTGCTTAAACCTCGTCTCCCAGTGTTGTCACTAGTTCTGTCAGCAGACAACATGTAAAGCCCCGGAATCTGAATTCTCAAAATTCCCTTTTACTCTGGATTTGCATGCAAGCAAATTCCATGAGACAGTTTCTGCAAAAAATTACTGTTTGTACCCAATTCTGAACAAATCTACTCTATAGCCCCTTATGGTGACTCCTACCTATCTCTTGCAATGCTTTGTTTATATGACTCCTTAATTATTTTACCTGGGATCCAGGTACCAGGTATGTCATCGTTCAACATTTTTGAGCGGGGAATCCTCGGCCTCCTGGAGCTGGTGATGCAGGAGTGATATGGGAAGATCGAAGGCTGCGATGAACTTTCAGCCACAATGTCTTTATAGAGATATCTTTGCATTTTTTTAAAATCCGCTACACTAATCAGTCAAGGTATTTCTTCAGATCATCGGATGGATGGTGGTTGCTCACGTAGCCCGCATTTTCTGAAAGTTGCATCGGCAGTGGAACTCTGCTCTTACTGGCTTTACAGGCTTACAAAAAAAAAGTGAATGTCATGGTTTCTTTGTATCGGCGAATGATTAAAATTGCAACTGTGTTTTATTTTCTGTTTAAATGCGCCTCTAAGAACTAATCAGTTCTTGCTTTATTTGTTTTGGGTATAATCCTCCTGTCTGTTTGACTACTGGCCTGCTTGTCATTCTGGTGCATTGCCAGTGGATTGGGGAGTTTGTTTTATCCATCCGTCTATTCGTATATCCACCTGGTTTAATATATTAATTAGTCAATTAGCTCGTTAAGTCCTTGGGAAAAGTATGAGTCCCCACCCCGTGCCTGTCAGAAAAGACGTGGGCGAACCCTGAGTGCCCATGAAGAGACGGGAGATGGTCTTGCCGTTCATCGCTATTCATAGCTCTGCCAAGTGGCCGGTCATCTCACAGTTACACAGCTGACCAACGATCACAAGAATTTGCAGCGCTTTGCCAAACATTACTCACTGAAAACACAGTGTACTCAAGCAAAAAGCCTTGTTTTTCTATTGCTGTTTATTTTTGCTTATCAGAAATGACAGGCCAACTGCTTCATTAGCATGCGAGTCCTCAGAGCCGTGATGTAAGAATCTGCTGCGTTGCCTCAGTGTGTTTTCTTAGAATTTGTTTATTAAACAGAACTGTAAGTTCCCCAATCACACCAGATCAGTTATAGCAAATGTAATTTTCCATTGTTAATGCCTGTTTCAAAATGCTATGTGTATCAGTGTGTTTTTAATGCACTGTTTGTTTAACTGTTATTTGGCATATAGAGCAAACTTTTAAAAGTGTGCTCTATAGCTCAGGAATGTGGTCCAAGGGTGTAAATTTTGGTATGGACAGTAGGACCCTACTAATTCCCATATTTTCCCATTAATTCCCATGGAATGTTTCCAACTTGGAAAATTTCCAAAAAATCCCCAGCTTCACTTCCCATGGAATGGAAAGTTTCTGAAAATGTTCCGCCCCTTTGCAACCCTAGACTACCTATTAATATTTTGGTATTACCCTGTGTGTTTAGGAAGGTGGGGGATTCGGGGCTAATTTGGGGCCCTACCAATGTTTAATATCAAGACTACCAATATGTTTCCATTAATTACCTAATAGTTAATTATTACACTTCATATGGGTAGTCAAAAAGATTTTCACCCTCTTCTTACAAGCTAACACATTACTCTTTTTATTTATTTTTTTTACACCTGTTGGTTATTAAATAACTATGACAAAATGCCTTGAAATGGTCAGCAACGGCAGCCATGTACATTGATTTAAAACATTTAATGATAAAGAAAGTCCATGTGTAAGAAAGGGCCCCTTTGCAAACTAACCTTATGCACATGGTGACCTTGTACATATGGCACTGATGTTAGCTTGCATTTACAGACATAAGGACCTGGTTTGTTCTCCATAAATGGCATGTCTGACCATATATCTGCCTCACACATCATAAGTGTAAATGTCATTTCCAAAGCTTGTATCTGTTCAATATTTCTGTTACAGATTTCCTCTTAACTGCACACAGCAGAAGTGAGGATGTTGCTGATTAATGGGGAACGCCTAAAGGCTTTGACGCTTTGCTGGACCATTAAAATGGCTTGACCTCCATTGACCGTGTTGTTCCAAGGGCAAGGAGACCTATCATGTTCCACTTTCAGGCACACGTATGCCACAGCCTGAATATGTAAGCTGTGGGCTTGACCTTTGCCGTACTGGGCACCGACCAGGTCCTGTGGGCTTGCGGCCAATCAAACTGCATAGGGTTTGACAAGAGTGCTAGTCCTGGTCTATTCCATGCTATGATAATTCTTTTATTTTCCTTTTGCACAAGTACAGGTACATTGGAATTCTTCTCTTTGCCGACACCATCTTGCTCTCCATAGGTTGGGGGTCAGCGCAGGGACACAACATGTAGCAGCCCTGGAGCTGGGGGGGGTTAAGGGCCTCGTTCAAGGGCCCACAGACATGTGATTGTTCTGCTCAAGGGCCCACAGACATGTGACTGTTCTGCTGAGGCTGGGACTCAGACCAGCCATCTTCCAGTCACGCGCACAGAGACTTAACCCCCTGAACCACTCAACACCCCCTCTGCAAGTACATATTTACTGAAGGCAACCAAGGAAAATCTTCACACAAGTATGATAACCAGCATCCTGTGCTGTTGTTCTGAAAGTGTTTTTGACAGTTTTGAAGTTGTAAATACTTTTCTGAATACAAAATCCTACATCAGTCTCCTGACCATTAGAGTTAAGCAGCATTTTGTTACAGTTATTAAGGCAAGCTGTCTATGACATTAATTTCATGTCCTGATTAATTCATGTCCTGTCTCTGTGATTGGACGGTCAGTTAGGGCCTCAGCAGATTAGGCAAATGGGCGCAGGGCCTCTAACTCTCACAAAGCTCCAGGCGAGCCAGATTATTGGCTCAGACCCCGGTCAGCTCCGACCCCAAGCTTCACTCTCAGCTGTATATATGTAAGTGTATGTCTTAAAGAAGAGCCAATATACCAGTACTTGTAAATGTGCAAAAGGCAAGTAAAATACCATTTCATTGTGATGAATGAAAAACATCTTGTGGTAAATTGTAACCTTTCAATAAACGTGCATCCAGAGCTTCTGATGACGATGATGACAATATTACATTAAATTGTTGGTTTAAGACATTAATTACTGCCCAATGCACACTGGAGATGAAGTGTCTTGAGGAATTGCTACAAACACATTCTCTTCATCCGCAGGTCATATCTCCAGCTCCTGCACATTCATCTAACATCCAAGGGTGGTCTCTGCATTCAAACTGACATGACCTTTGACTTTAGGTGACATTTCCCCTATATAGCTCTCTTTGGTGAACCTTCACCCATTTAAGGAAATCTCTGCCTGATGTGCAATTTTAATAACTTAGCTTTGCTAAATTGTCAGGTGTTGGGTCCTAAGTTTCATGAACTTAAATACATTTTTGAAAAATAAAGTGACCTTTTGCTTATTTCTGTTATGATATTATGAGATGGTTGGAATTTTAATATCTGCAGTCGCATTCTGTCTGGAAAAACTGTGGTATATCCTGGTTCTTATGAAGTTTTATGTAGGCCAGTCTACAGTATGGGGGAAAGGATACTCCATCTATGTCGATTTGTTTTTCAAATGAAAAAAGTTTCTTTTTCTGTCTTGGTCATACCTTACGGAATTCACATCGCAACTACACTGGGGTATTGGAGGGGCATGTACACCCTATTCAGGGGACCCAGCACTATATAGGAGCCCCCTCATTTATACACATAAAAAATAACATACATCTGCTCGGTAAATTCTACTGTAGGGTAATTTCTATGGTGCCCCCCCCCCCTCCCCCTGTTCAGGGTCCAATGTGACGTTTTGTCAGGGGGTCCAGAATTTCTAGGTATGCCCCTGTCACTACATGATTTAATTCTATTTTTAAACTTTTGTTTAACCTGACCAACAACTGCGTTCCACGCTTTTATATTGATTCGCTTGCGGTCTGATCTTTCTGTACCTGTCCTTTCTCAGGACTTGGGTGGAGAATTAGTCCAGGACGCCTTAGGCCCAGATACTAGGTGGAATAAACATAAATCACTCAACCCCGGATCAGCTTCATTCAGATCTGTCTTAATTCACCAATTTTAATTTGGTTCCATTACAAGGAAGTGTGTTGGTTTCATGAGCTTTATGACTCACAATGGCCAGCGAGGTATTTTTACATTATTCTTGCATGTGGCTTTTGTTTCGGATGCGTCAGGCTGATTTGGCAAGTGAGGCAAAATCACAGGGGTCCAGTGTAACAGTGGCCCCTGGGCCATTAAGTTAAAGTACGTTGCTCCTAAACATCAGCCGCCAAATCAAGCAATACACCCCCACCTACCCTTTATAAATCTCCAAACCTGTTTATAGTAGTCATATTGGAAAATTATCATTTCCAAATGTTGCACAATAGTGAAAGGTACTCGGGTAATTTGAGCTTTAAATACACATAAAAGATAAAAGGTAAAGTAAAACCAAATTCTAAGTAGAAGCATTATTTCACTGGACAGGCTGGGAGTTTGGCTGTCTTCCAGTTCAGTTGGAATCCGGTCAGCTGTCTATCTTTCTCTTTCTCTCTATGACATTTTCACTTGTTGGGGCAGAGATCTAGGCTTTGTTTCATACAGTCTAATTGAAAACTCATTTTAAACATGGCAAAGTACATCGAATTTTCCAGTGTATCCAATATAAACCCAGCAATGCCATCCAGACTGGTTTAGGGGGATTATAGCATCCCCCCCCCCCATAAATTAATGTACATTAAGTACATTACGTAGTGCATTCTCATTCATTTTCATTGAAAGCAGACCCACTATTAAATGCTTACCCCCGATTCCTTAACTCTTTAGTGACACTCCTGCATCAACCTTTAACCACACTAGCGTTTCTAAAAGCATATAGACTTTTTTTGAAAGCTGTTGTAGTGAAAAAACTTGGTAAAAACAATTGTCTGCTCTGGTGTTTTGAAGGCTGAAGTTTTGCTGATCGTCCTTTCCCCGGCTTATCTTAGCGGGGACCGCATTTAAGCTATTGAATACCACCCGACCTCCACGTGCGCGACTCCGCAGTGTTTGCTTCGCTTCTAGCAGCTGATTGGACGCGCCCACCGCCTCGTCGGCGTCTCTGGATCCTGCCTCCTCGCTAATGGGCGGGGCCAATGTCCAGACGCAATCCAATTGGTCTTTCCGAGAACGTAAAATTATTAAGTGTCAAGAGCGCTGGAGTAAGGCGCGCATCGGACGATATAAATACTGTACCGGGCATTCGGGAGAAAATGAGCATCGCAGTTGGTCGGTGTAAGAAGCCGATATATGCCACTAAGAAAAAGAATGCTGCAAGCTCTCAGGGTGTCTGCCCGAAGCATCTCACACCTGATGAAGTGGACGGAAAAGTGGACTTACAGCGTCGATTGCCTGGGCAAGCATACGGAGATGCAAAAGATTAAAAACTTGGATGAGATGCCCGGACCGTCTGCCTTTGGATTCGTGTGGGACCTTATAGCCAGGAGGGGTCTGTCCCGCCTACACGAGTTACAGGTGAGTGTCTTGTAGTGTAAGTTTAAGTTAATGAAATTTTTTATTTTTCATTCTAATTGCAAATCTGGAAGCTTGTCTTTACGTTTTATTTTGGTGTGGAGTTGCACTAAGTTTGGAGGTTGAGCCGCCGTTAGAGAGGGGTATTTTAAACTAGATGTGTGGTCTTTACTAAGCTTATTAAAGTGACTCATTGGAAATTAACTGAAAGTAATAAATCCATAGCACACAAGCATGCTGAAGAGTTTAAGATAAAAAAAATATCAAGATATTTCTCTTTGAACATGAACGTCATTGTTACTCTGCTAGGATGGATGCCGACCAAAACATATTAACCGCAAAGCTCTCTAAGTGTTTTTTTTTCCTGGATGGAAGAAAATACCCTTAAATGATATCATGTTACATTACTGGTGTGAATCGTATGTGCAGTGTGGTCATTTTAATTTGATGATGAAAATGCTTTTATATCTGCTACTAACATCCTACGGTATCATTTTCTCATTGAATTCTGAATTATTAACCTTTGGAAAGCGACTTACACATGTGTTCTCCTCAGCTGGAGGGACGCCAGCGGTATGGACCAATGTGGAAGGCCAGTTTCGGGCCGATCCTGACGGTCCACATAGCAGAGCCGGCCCTGATAGAGCAGGTACTCAGGCAAGAGGGCCAGCATCCCATTCGCTCTGACCTTTCCTCCTGGAAGGACTACCGACGGCTCCGAGGACACGGCTTTGGGCTGTTGACGGCGTGAGTGCCATTTCCACCCCCTGTCAATATAAAGAAATGCGATACCATGATGCCATGCTGCTTCAAGCGCACATTTTTAAGCTTAGAGAGGAATGATCAAATTTTAGAGACTCACCCCTCCTGATTGCCTTCCCTGCGTTAATGATAGTAGATAGGATAGGATAAGATAAGACAGAGACATATCGGGGGGGAATAAATCCAAGCATGATAGCAACACTTCAGAGAAATAAGCAATAATATAGATTAGTATCCAACAAGCAGAGTAAGGTTATGGACATGGAGACCGGAAGCACTGAACATACGTAATGTACTCAGCTGTGCAGATGATTCTGTAGCTGAAGGAGTACCTGCACTCATCATCCATTATTCAGAATGTAGTGCAGGTTGTAGCAAATTTTTGCAGGGAAGTCTGAATGGCATTACATACCCTCAAGAAGCCAACGAAGGGGATCCTCGTGATGTTTCTCAGCTTGTCTTTATGTGAGAAGGCGTCGTGAAAGCGAGTACAGAATAGATCTTCCACAGCCGGTATGCACGTTGAAGTAGGTCTAGGATGTCCTGAGATGCTGGGGAACCCGGCTATCATTATTATATGGGATGTCAGTACCACTGATCTGTAGTCATTAGGGGGTATAGGGATTATGCGTGAGATTTTCTAGAGGGGAGCAGAGGGACAGGATAATCATGTATGTGATGTCACATGGTTTCTCACTTAGTGATGTATTCCTGGATTATGGTTATGCACACTTGCCATCTTTGCACATTATACACATATACCACTATCACTATCCATTGCAATCCGCAGTTGTTGCCCTGTAAGGATTGTTGTATGTACCGTATTGCCCATATGCTCTGTATGTTATTTTTAACCCTATTGTACTCTGTTGTGCTGGCACTAGACAGTGGTCCTTCACTCCTGTTTCCACTGTATCCTGCTAGTCTATAGACAAGTGCATTGGGCACCCAGTAGTGGCAAACTGTATCCAGAATCTATGCATTCCTATGTACTTTGTACCTAAACTAAAGCCCAACTCAGTGGGAGCCAACCCCGCTTTTCCTCCGTGTTCACAGTGAGGGGGAGGAGTGGCAGTTTGTGCGCAGCCTCCTGGCCAAGCACATGCTGAGGCCTCACGCGGTGGAGGCCTACGACACTGTCCTGAACAGCGTGGTGAGCGACCTGCTTGCCAAGCTTCGCCTGCGGAGCTCTCAGAACGCCCAGGGCCTCGTCACTGATATCGCCAACGAGTTCTACCGCTTCGGCCTGGAGGGTGAGTGGACTTCACCACGTCTCCCTTGTTTCTGCAAACCAGATGTCGTCTAATCTGTAACTTCTGTGCTGTTTGGCATCCAGGTGCTATGTTGTCAGCCAAGGGTATGTTTCCCAAAAGCTCCTGTTAGCAACCTACATAGCTGGAACTGTTCAGTTGCATGGTTCAAACTATGCAAGTTGCTAATGCCGTTAGCGATTATGCTTGTGGGAAAGGTACCCTAGGAAGAGAGTGATGTGAGATACTAATGGAGCAATAAAACTTGGTGCCTTCTTGTGGACCTTCTGTTTCTAGGAATTTCCTCTGTGCTGTTTGAGTCCAGGATTGGCTGCCTGGAGCCACACATCCCCCCGGAGACGGACCGCTTCATCCAGTCCATCAACACCATGTTTGTCCTCACCCTGCTCACCATGGCCATGCCAGCCTGGCTGCACTCCATCTTCTCCAAGCCATGGGACACCTTTTGTCAGTGCTGGGACTATATGTTTCACTTTGGTGAGTCATGATTTGAAGTATCTCCTTAGTTTGCTCTTGACCGGTTCGCTCTGAGTCTGAGCGGGAAAAACGCTGAGATTCGCACTAGACTGAAGCTCAAGATGAGAGATAACTGTCGTGATGAAAAGGCATGTGCCGTTATATATGAGTTTGGCACACACTTTAATGATATTCATTTCTTAATCGAATAATTATTTCATAATACACAATATAAATTTATGGGAGACATTTTGTAGAGATACCATTAGGCTAGTCATTTGGATTAGGTTAATTAAAGTAGCAAAAATGTGAATAGGCAAAAATGAGCAATCATCACATAGACACATTAGCCATTGTTCATAGCTGGCCAGTAGGGACGTCATGATTAATACTCAGTGTATTAAAAATCACTTACTCTCCATGTCTCTCTCCCTCCCTCTTTCCCCCTCTCTCTCTCTCTCTCTCTCTCTCCAGCAAAAGGTCACATTGATCAACGGCTGGAGGAGGAAGCAAAAAAGCTGGCCCATGGAGAGAAGGTGGAAGGAAGGTACCTGACTTATTTCCTGTCCAAGCAGGAACTGCCCATGAAGACCATCTACAGCAACGTGACCGAGTTGCTGCTGGCTGGTGTAGATACGGTGAGGCCGTTTCTCTTTCTGCCCCCTAATGTTTCTTACAGCCATTAGAAGCATTTGCTCTAACACCTTTCATACATATTTTAATAATGATTCTTCTTCGGTATTTAGATATCATTGTTATTTTCAGAGGACAGACGGGGGCATTGCAGTGATTAACACCTTTCATGAAAGTCAAGCAGTTGATTTTGTGTGACATGTACTGTATACGGTGATCCCCTGTAATATCACGGTTCAGCTATCGTGCCCGCTGCTATATCGCGGATTTTTCCCTGACGCATCACAGTTCTCTGCATGTTGCATACCTTGCTTGTGGTCCGATTGCTGTGAGCAAACTTTTTGTGAACTTTTCGTTTTGTTTTAAGCCCCACGATGGCTCCCAAGTGCCCTGCCTCTTCTAAGCCTTCTGGTAGTAGTGAGCCTAAGCGCCAGAGGAAGACCTTGACCATTTTTACATATTCCATTACATATACAGAGAGAGAGAGTATATATATAAAAAATATTTATTTATATGGTCTTTCTATATTGCGGATTTTCACGTATCGCTGATGTGTCTGGAACGTAACTTCCATGACAGGCGGGGATTACTGTATATATTGTTACATTAAGGTACAAGTCTTTAAAATAATCCTATATATTAAATGGATACATAAATTTTATGTAAAAACACTTTAAAAAGTCCATATCTCGGATTATTGTACAGACTCTAAGTGAGATCACATTTGTTTTGACACAAATGTATGAGAAGATTCTGTAATTCTAGTGAGAATGAAAAACCTTGTATTCTTCAGAGCCCCTAGGGGGACAGGTTTGGAGAATAATAATCGTCAAAACCGTTGCGTTCACCCACAATTGTTTTTCCGCTCCCTCACAAATGTTTCCAACTCTGTCCCCTTAGAAGCTCTGTAGTATTGTTTGATAAGGAAGTTTATCATTTTATTGTGTGAAAGTGGAATAATAGATAGGATCTCTTCAGCAAAGAAATGAGGTGAGTCCTACTCACCCCCCCGCCAGAGTAACTCCTACTGTTATTTCAGCAGACATTCTGACCTGCTTTGTGAAACCCGGCCCAGAACTTGGCCCAGAACCATCATTGCTTCTGCTAACCGGCGCTCTTCTGGTTTCAGATTTCCGGCACCATGTCCTGGTCCTTGTACGAGCTGTCCCGCCACCCTGATGTGCAGGACGCCCTGCGAGATGAAGTCCTGGCTGTGCTGGGGGGCCGGCAAATCCCTAATGCAGCTGACGTGAGCAAGATGCCGCTGATGAAGGCTGTGGTGAAGGAAGTGCTCAGGTGAGGCCAGTCCTAGGAAGTGATTACTAGTAAGTAATTCAAGATGACTTAATGTAACTTTTGTGGTAATCACATTAAAACGTGAATTTGTGAGACGTAAAAACTGCTTTCCTTTAGTTTCCATTACAAGTCAGAAGGTCTACACTCTCAGAAAAAAGGGTAAAAAAATTTGCCTTTCTTTGTCACTGGGGCTGTACCCTCAAGGGCTGGCCAATTGTACCCCTTAGCTGTAGGTAAATGTACCTTTCAAGGTACCAAAATGGACTCTGAGGAACATTTCTGTACCATCGATGATACATTAATGCTGTTTGTACCTTTGAGTTCTTAAAAGGTATATTTACAAGGGTACAGCCCCAGTGACAAGCAAAAATACTTTTACCCATTTTTCTGAGAGTTTATGAAGAAAACCGTAAAAAAAAAACCTGTATTACTAACATAGTGAACTTTCTGCATTCACACTCTAATTTGCTCAAAGTGAACGACAAAAGTCTGTAGTAGCCTTGAAGGTCAAATGAACCGCTGCTTTATTTAGAGTTAGTAGTTCAAACAAGACCCAATGAAATCAGTGAGATGTTATTGGAGTATTTTGCAGTCTGCTCCATCTTCACCGCTTCACTGTCTGCTATATGCCACATCCACGTTGATATGGCGGGTAAATGCAGTTTGTGCTGATTGGTGATTTGCAGTCACATGTTTCCTGGTGTGTGTCAAGGCAGCTCAGTTCATATAAAACACAATGCTGGTCAATGCTGATACAGCGTTGGGGGCTTTTTTTCCCCAGACTGTATCCAGTAATTCCTGGAAATGCCAGAGTTATTGCTGAGAGAGATATCGAGGTTGGAGGCTACCTCATCCCGAGAAATGTAAGGCTTTTCTCCTGTTACCTGCACACGTTTCAGGTTTTGCTTGCTTTAAAAATGAAAAGGTGTCTTACTGCTACCTCAACAACATTTTCTGTTTCTCTCTCTCCCTCTCACAATCCCTCTTTCTTTCTCCCTCTCTCTGTCTCCCTCTACCTATATGCCTCTCTTTCTCTCTCACTCACGCTCTCTCTCCTTCCCTCCCTCTTTCCCTCTGTCTCCCTCTCCTTCCTCCAGACACTCATTACCCTATGCCAGTACGCAACGTCACGTGACCCCCAGACATTCTCTGAGCCGGACAGCTTCCTTCCCCGGCGCTGGCTGAGCCGGGAGCAGAATCACCACCCCTATGCCTCTCTGCCCTTTGGCGTGGGCAAGCGCAGCTGCGTCGGGCGCCGCATCGCGGAGCTGGAGCTCTACCTGGCATTGGCACGGGTGCGAGCCGGGTTTTCATTGGGGGGGGGAGGGGGGTGCTTTAAAACCGTTGCATGCTCCGCACATACATTCACACTCACCTCTACTTATCGCTTCCTCATCTGTTGTAGATTCTAATCCACTTCGAGGTCAAACCTGATCCACGTGGCTCAACCGTCCAGCCCATGACCAGGACCTTGCTGGTGCCACAGGGCGAGATCAACCTGCAGTTCGTAGAGCGCTGACTGGAGGATGGCCGTGGACATTGCAAGACTGGCCTACGTCAAGGAGCAGATGCCTGGAACGAATAGGCCTGTGAATGGAGCCCGCCTTGGGCACAGGACTGTCCAGGGTGATCTTAGGGGCCTTTTTTTGGTGCCTGCTGAAACTGCACCATCGTTTGCATTTCTGCCTCCAGTTGGGGCTGGGAGACAGAGCCCAGTGATGCACAGCTTGGGGGAAACGGCATCCTAATCAGGTGAAATCAGGTTTGCTCCTAATCTTGGAGCAAGGTGTGTGTGTGTGTGTGGGAGGGGCATCGTGTATCAGTTACAGTGTCTCTGACATACAGAGTCACTGTAGTTTCCACTTTTAATCAAACAGGCAGAACTTTCTGGCTAAAACTAGCCTCCATGTTTACAGACATCATGATGATGCTTCAGGAACCTAGACAGGGTTAAAAACTATGAATCTTTAAAAAAACCAATACAAGAAAGAGGAACTCCCCTCAAAGTGTCCGGGCTCTAGTCCACGAGCAGATGGATTGCCAAACATCGTTGGGATTTTAGCAGAAAGTGCTAAAGTACTACTACTATCTGCCAATACCAACAGTCTATTTATAGGCTGATGTAATCAGCTGAACCCTTTTAAAAGAAATTATTAAAGGTACGGTGCATAGTTTCTCTAACTGTGTCAAAGAAATGTTAGTCCAGACCTGTGGAACCCAGAGTGTGCGTTTCCAGTGTCCTGAGTGTTATGTGGGTATTGGGGATCTGTATGTCTCACGAAGGCAGGGCATTCGCTATAAGGAATTTCAGGTCCTCAGTTCAGCTGAACTGCAGGGATGTAAGTCTTTTGACGAAATGAACCTATATCCACTGTTATAAACAAGTTTTGTAACATGAGAGTGTGTTTTAGATTTTGTACAGCTTTACTCACATTGTCTCTCAGGCGATATTGACACTGTAAACCTTTGATTAACTGTACACCTTTGAGGAGCCGTTAACTGCAATCATTTACATCCTTTGTGTATTTATGACCCAAATCCCACTGTGATGTTTCCATGAAATGCAGTCCAGCCAGGATTACTGTTAATTCTTTTTTATCTTGACATTTCTGGATAAAAATGACCGAAAATGAATGAAAATGTAAGTCATGTGGAAATAATTATGTTAGCAACTGTGCGTAATTATTCCATAACGTGACGTTTTCGCAGTATTTTATTTTGCATTGTATCAATGTTAGGACATTTTAATATTTATGCCATTTAATAAAACATGTGACTGTCTCTTTCGATTTCATTTTAAAAGCTGTTTTGACCTTTGGTTGTCTTAACTATAAATGGACGTTTTTTTGGACAGTAACACTAGTAATCATTGTACTTTGTTGCTTAGCTGGCTCCTCTGAAGTAAATTTCAGGTTTACCCCTTTGGTACAGCTATATATTTTAACGGAATTATTTCAGGTTAAATGCCTTCCTCAAGGCTACTACAGCTGGCCTCGTTGTGGGACGTGAACCGACCACCAATCAGGTTTTAAGTTCATGTCCCAACTCGCCCCTGCTGCTGCTTCAGGTTACAATTTGTTTTGCATAGCTGAGCCAGTGTGGACTAATAATCTTTTCAGTAATAACTCTCCTGAAAATAGCTCAGTCACATTTCCTTGTCTTATGGCTGAAAAGGTTTCTGCCCCCAGTCTCTTCTCTTGGCACTGGCAATAAACCTTTGGACTTCAGTGCTTACATTTGACTCAATTAAACTTCACTCTGTGTGGGTTTCTTCCATGGCCCAGCTATGTGAGTGTGTGTGTGTGTGTGTAGTTTTAAGGTGCAGGTATCCTACAGTTACTCCTATTCCAGTGCATAAACCGGCAGTTAGAACTACTAGCATGGTTAAAATGGCTGTAGTAGGTGTCTATGTGCATGTACACTATATTGTCAAAAGTATGTGGATGCCGCAATTAATCAGAGGAATTTCCTATTTAATCCACACCCACTGCTGACACAGATGTATGATTAAACCCACAGTTATGCAAAATCTCCGGGAACAATCAATATCAGCAGGGTGGTTGTTGTACAGGAAAGGTTAGTGGCTTCCCCCTTGGCACCATCACAGGACACTTTCCCATCAAGTCAGTTTGCCACATTTCTGCCTTGCTAGAGCTCTCCTAGTGAAGTGATTGTGACAAAACATCTGGGAACAAGTTCCCTTGTGAAGTGGTCGGCCACACAAACTCACTGAAAGGGGCCTGATCACCCAACACCGATACCCAAGCTGAATGGCAGCAAATCCGGCAGTGTTCCAACGTCTAACGGAAAGCTTTGCTGGAAGAGTAGAGGCTGTTAAAGCCACAATGAGCTGACCAACTTCATATTAATACGGTTGGTTTTGTAATGAGATGCTGGACAAGCTGGTATCCACATACTTTTGGTCATATAGTGGTTGTGCCCTGCAATGGACTGGCACCTCATCCAGGGTGGCCGCTGTCTTATGCCTTGTGCTCCTGGGGTGGCCTCCAGACTCACTATAGTTCTGTACTGGAAAAGTGGTATGGAAAATGGATGAATGCCTGTGTGTGTATTTTTTTTTTCATCAAATCATTTAAAATATATAAAACTCCTGTTAAACTGAGCCCTGAATATTACCCAATACACTGACCTGTTTTTTTGTACATCACTGGTACGATATTGAGAGGCTCTGCTGTTTTCATTCCTAAATGCACTATAGGTTCTGCAGTGCATGCCTTCAACATCCAAATAAGCATGCAGTGCATGTCTTTAGCATTCAATCAAACATGCGATCACTGCATTTAACATTCAAAACTGCAATGCATGCCTATAACATTCAAACAAGTATGCAATGTATGTCTTTCGTATTCAAACAGGCATGCAATGTGAGCCTTTGAAATTCAAACAAGTATGTAATGCATGCCCTTAACATTTAAACAAACATGCAATGAATACCATCAAGGGCTTAGGCTTGATTTCAGCACTGAAATCCTTCACCCCTCCATACACATGCAGTACTCCCACAATATTGGTAGGACCCTATCCCTTCCATCTACACCCAAATCTATGCTCTTGTATGCTTTTTACATTCAAACAAACATGCGATGTGTCCCCATGACATTCAAACAAATATGCGATGTGTCCCCATGACATTCAAACAAATAAGCTATGTGTCCCCATGACATTCAAACAAACAGGCTATGTATCCCCATGACATTCAAACAAACAGGCTATGTTTGCCTTTAACATTCAAACCAGTGGTCAGAGCAGGTCCAACGTCTCCCTCCTTTTTTATTCACCCCTCAGTCCTGAGCCACAAACCCCATAAGTGCTACTGTGCTACAGCAGTCGACCATGGGCCCTGACTCTGGGTCAGTTTCTAAACAGCCATGAGCTCTATGTGAGAAGCTGGAGAGGTGTTAAGAGAGGATGTGGTGGAGAGGTGTGAAGGAGGAGATGTGGTGGAGAGGTGTGAAGGAGGAGATGTGGTGGAGAGGTGTGAAGGAGGAGATGTGGTGGAGAGGTGTGAAGGAGGAGATGTGGCGATCCAGCACAGGTAAATGTGGGCTGACAGACATACAGTGTATGGGTCAACCATCCAAGAGACAGTCTGTCTTTCTTCCAAATATGTAACTTAGAAGTAAACAATTACATAATCAAATGATTCAGTAAAAATGTCTTCCTTTAGAATTATACTGAAGTGACACATTAGGACCAAGCAGGAAAGAAATGAACAAGGAATTTGCAATGTTAGCACAATGTTTGAACTGATCCATCCTGAACATTTAACAAAGCATTATCTGAGATATTTAAATACTTTTAAATACTTTTTCCGTTACAGAATTCTTATAATTATTCGAATTTAACTTGATGTATGATTAGATAGCATCCTACCGAAGATCTGTTTAATGTTCAAGATCCGCTGTTGCTATCGCCATCTGCTGGGAGAAATAAATTGTAACTTAAATAATAAGAGCATATCTACTGTGTTTCAGTTTCATTGTCCAACTCCTGTATGCCACCTCTTGTTGACATTATACTGCCAATAGGCTTAGGGCGACCAGATAATCCATGTCAGGGAGGACACTTTGAGATACTTCAGGTTTTACAAACTACTTTACAAATGAAACGTTGTTCTGCTTGGCTAAAAACTTTGACTGGTTTGTTTCCTTGACCGCTGTTACACATTAAACGTAGTGACACGTGCATGATTATAGGAGTCAGACCACTCAATATATAGCGAATCCTGTCCAATATCAATGTGCCCTGACATGGATTATCTGGTCACCCTAAATAGGGTACACAAAACATTCATATCGGCGATCAAGTCATCCATACATTAATCCACTTTAAATATCCGTTTATCCAATTACAATGAAAGTGTAAAATAAAGTGCGTGATATTATCGCATGGGCTATATACACACTTCTGCTAAATAAAGAATCCGGCTAATATCAAGCGCTGGCCTTGATTATGTATAAACAAAGCGACGATTTAGGGAAGTACGGATTTCTACCTGACGTCATTAAAGTGTGACGCGCGTGTATGCGTGATCGAAATTTTAAGGTGATCTGGCCCTTTATAACGAACGTACTGCCATTTCAGCGGTAAAAATGTACGGTCATTGTTATGCGAATGTAACCTGTGCTCAAAGTATATGACGGATGACAGAATTTCGTGACCAAATATTCACATATTACCTTCAAGTGATTGCAAGCGAAGTAAAAACACTGTGACACGTGAGGACATTTACCCACGGGCCTCTCCGTTCTAACATTACAATGAACCTCACGGAAGATCAGGAAGGGTATATGTTTCCCGTTTGTGACGGATTGTTTGCTGAAACTTTCTCCGAGGATAGTTCTTACATGTTCGGAAAACAGGAGTTAAAGATAAGACAGCTGTTCGGCGCTAATCTCGGCGTGGCCGCGCCGGTGTGGGACGCTGTGAGTTCACAGTTGCATCAGTTAAAAATGTAATACTGTCGATTAAAACTCTAGAATGACTTGTACTAAGTATGTTTTTGTACCTGACAGGCACTATGTCTCTGTCGCTACTTGGAAGAAAAAATGCTTGACTTGAAGGGAAAGAGAGTAATTGAGCTGGGAGCCGGAACTGGTATTGTGGGCATCTTGGCAGCACGCTTGGGTACGTTAGATCAGCGTTTTCCAAACCAGTCCTCAGGGCACACTGGACGGATTCACATTTTTGTTTTATCCCAGCTCCCAGAACACCTAACCCAAGCTATCAGCAGCTCTGAATACCTTACAGGTGTGCTGAGAACTGAGATAAAACAAAAATGTGGATCCGTCCAGTGTGCTCTGACGACTGGTTTGGGAAACACCACGTTAGATATTTAATTTTTGTTTCTGTCCAACAGCGATCATACCTGTTTAAAGAGAGGTGATGCTTTGAAACTGATAAATAATGCTGTTTTCCTATGGTGACTTGCCTTGACAATATGCTCAATATGGTGACATGAAATAGTTGTATGAGATTTAAATGTGTGGGGAATTTAATTTTAATGTTTCCTTGCTTGTGACCCATTAAGCAAATATAATAATGTTTAAATGTTTCATTTTTAAAGTGCATTTTGCATCACTGCCTAATTTTGACAGTGTCTGTACTGTTTAATTACAGGAGCATCCGTGACTTTGACTGATCTTCCTCATGCCATTCCTCAACTGGAAAGCAATGTGTCCACAAACATGCCCCAGTGCGGCTGGCCCTCTGCCACCCCCACAGTAATTCCTCTGTCCTGGGGATTGGATCATCGTCAGTTTGCCACAGACTGGGATCTCGTTCTGGGTGCTGACATTGTGTACTTATCAGAAACCTATACTTTACTGCTGGACACACTGACTCATCTGTGCGATGGGGGGGCAGCCTTGTACCTTTCATCTAAGATGCGCAGGGAGCACGGCACCCCTGACTTCTTTGAGAACATTCTGCCACAGAGGTTTGACTGCCAGCTGGTGTATAGTGACACAGGGCAGAATATAAGCATCTACTGTGCCACCCTGAGAAAGGATGGAAATAAACTATGAAGTCTTGCCGATGATGTGGTACAAAGGCAGTACAATATGAAACAACACGTGTGAGTCACACTTAATTGTCAGCAGCACTCGGTGGTCTAGAAGCAAGAGTCCCAAAATAATAGAATGCAACCTGTAAACATTTTTTGACAATTGTAATTGCTGTTTAAAGTCTTCCATATATAGTGGACTTTTAACAACATATTTAGATAATTCAAACTTTTTATTGATTTTGTATTTGTTTTTCAGAAGTAATATTTTCATGCTACAACACCAATAAGTGGACTTAAGTCTTTAAAGCTTCTTTCTGTACAAATTGATCTACGAATTATGTAGAAATAAAGAGATAAAAGACCACATTGCAATTTTATCGATCTGAAAAACGTTTTGTTAGCACCAACAATTTTTTTGCCTTCCGCCGCCTCATTTTCCCGTCCAGGTTTTTGCTGATGTGCAGAGTTGCTGTTCAGTGTGAAAAGCCTGTTTGTTCCGCTGGAGAGTTTTGAAGAAAAAGAAATTGTTGCCCCCTAGCTGTGCTTGTGCTCACCCGACAAAACAGATGCCTATCACTTCTGTCTGTGTCTCAGCCCCTCTCCCCACAATCATTTTACATTGTCAACAATTATAGGTTGTTTTTTTTTCTTTTTTTGCTGTTCCAGTTCTTGATTATCTGTTAAAGGGGAAATGGCACTTTTTCAGCAGAACTCTCTTTAATTAGGAGAAACAAACATAAAACTGACACCTTCTATGTAGCTCTGTGGGATCTGGACCAAGATAGATGCCTCTTAGGTGTCTAGTTGGTAGCAGACGTTTTTCCTGGGTTTCACCTATACCTTTAAACCATGACATCTCTTTTTTTATTGACTTGTGGCCTTCTGCCAAATACCAAACCATATAATGCATTTGTGTCCACAATCAGAAGAGTAATAAAAAAATTATGTGTATGAGTGGATGGATGGATGAATGTAACACTTGTTAGAGTCAAACTTTGCATGTTTTTTAAGAGTGGGAGGTGAATGCTTTGTTAGTTCAAGCCAGGAGGTACTAGGGAGAAGACTTAAGTTGGATGACGTTCTGTTTGGACTTAATTAAAAAAGTGTTTTAGTAGGAACTTTAGCATTAACAGGGAGGCTCCTAGCTGTGATGGATGGGGAGGAGGGAGGGGGTAGAAAATGGGACTTTTAATAACAGACTGCTGCTCAGTGGTGTTGGGCAGCACCATTCCCTCCCCAGCATCGACAGAGACACATTCATCCTGCCTTGAGGTATGGACTATTTCATTTTTTTTTTAAACAAGTTTTTTTTCTTACCAGAACTATTGTGCAAATTTGAAACCGATGACCAGTGATTGTGTGCAATTGTAACAAACAGAATATTTGTCCATTTGTGACACCTAGCTTTAGGTTATATGATTGAGTTTGACATTGAAGTGAAAGTGACATTGTTTAAAGTTTTAATCACGAGAAATTTATTTTGAGCACCATTAGTACGTTATGGCTTTAATTTGACAATATACCGTATGATTTGAATTAAGTTAATGTTTTCTTAGACAACAATAAATTAGTAATGTTTTAGTTCACATTAAGGATATTCAATGCAGAAATAACATTTAAGTTAATATTAAGACAACAGGAACTCCAAAGTATTTTCAAGCTGTACATTTTCAAGAGATGTATGTTTCCTAGCAAGGTCCTTGGCTGCCAGATTACTATGATGGAATTCACAAGAAGCAAAAGGCAGCCACCCCCATATAACAAATTTTGGACTCTTCCAAGACAACATGTCCCACATATGTAAGTCCTTTCAGAATCAGAATTACAGAATGCAGTATGCCAATTTTGACCAATTAAAATAAAACCAACAAAATTATCAGTATATGTAATTATGTTAATTTCTAAAAAATATTTTTGGATAGATTGATGGGTATTTTGGCAATACCAAAATAATACATTCAAAAACATTTTTATACGTAACATGGGGTAGGGCTATGAAACCATAGTGGTAGAGCAGTATGACTTAGATCCCAGATTGAAAGTTTTTGCTGATGAGTTATTTAAATGACATCATCTGAATCAGGACAGGACTCCTAGGAATCGATAGATGTCTTGCAGCTGAAAATTACAGTTCACTGCAGGATGGTAGTACACTATTAGCGGAATACAGAGTAATATAAAAGAAAGTGCTGTTATATATTTTTCCACAGGTACCAAGACAAACGACATACATCATATTTCCAGCATGCACCAGCCTACCAGCAGCAGCAGACATGCACACAAAATTTCAGCCGTGAATGTGACAAGTGGACAGCTCCGAGCTCCAGCATGGGTGGAGTTTTGCAGGATAACACCAACTGGACCAACCAGCCAGTGTCATATACCCCGGGTGCTCTGAATGATGAATCTCACTCCAAAGACTACAGTAAGTATCAGAAACAGGGAATGGAGTGGAGGAAAACTGAGATAGAGAGAGCACGGAAACAGCAAATCAGTGAAAGTAGGAGGCAAATTGAAGAGTGGAGGAAGAGGTGGGAGCGAAAGACCCCTCCTAACTACAAGGGAGATGTAAAGGCAAACCAGAGCTATGGCAGCCACCTTGAGATGGAGGCCTGGGCAGCCCGATACAGCCAATCACCACCCAGAAAGAAACACACGGATGCCAGAATATGGGGGACATACGGTGCCCAGGGAGTGCAGGATTGGGTGAAGATCCCAGATGGAATAAGCAGACCTAGGAGCAATGATGCTCAAAGAATATTCCATTCATTTGAACAATATAATCACATTAGAGGATGGGAACAGAGATATCATAGACAACTTATGGTGCCCCATACTTTGCCTCAGCCACCAATTCTTGGAAAAAACTGGAGGCAGGATAGAAAGGAAAACAATCCATGTTTACAGCAAAGAGGTTTTAATCAACCTCCGCGGTACATTCCACCACCACCCTACCATGCCCCTCATACGATCAAGCATCAAGAAAGTGTCTACAAGTATCCCACACTCCCATTCTCCAGAAGACAAGGATTTTATGGAGGTTTACGAGAAGAGAGGGAAGCTTATGAAAAGTGGAAGAGAACAAAGTGGATGGATATTGACAGCAGTCAGGGACAAGTTGGCAGCAGAACATGGGAAGAACCCATGGCTGCATTACAATTGCCTCCAGAAGGTTTTGCTCAGCTGGTTCCTTCTAAACATTCAGAGATGATGGCGGAACCTGGAAAAGTGGTGTCAGCTCCATCTCTTGCTAGTTCTAGAACTACGTTTAAGAAAAAGAGAGTGTCACAGTCTCAGGGTGTAGCCAGGTTGACTGCTTCCCCTAAAGAACACTTACAGTCGTCTTTGCAACGGTTGAGTGATGCACCACTTACCCACAAAGAAGATGTCGGGACGGACATATCTAAGAGAGCATGGATAGAGAGCATCTGTGGTTCCCAGACAGAGGTTGATTCTGGAGTGACACAATCTAAACAGCCAAATAAGCCTCCTACTTATACTGCAAGTCAGACTTCTCACCTGAATGTGGGCTGTGACTCTAGGCAGTACTCTATTCCATACTGGCTGCAGAACAAGCAGGTAACTTCATACAGAGAAGACCTGGTCAGTGTTGTTCAAGGTAGACCAAAGAACATCGCAGGCAAAATGAAAAATCCAACAGACCGGGATGAGACTATGGTGATGTGCTCTAAGATTCAAGTGCCTCCTGTAATGAAAAAGAAAACACTGCAACCCTGTAGTGCAACCTCTAGTGAGTTTCCTTTATGGAAAGTGCCAAGTCATATGACCAGATCCAGAAATATATCTTCAATTCAGTGCATTAAAAGTAATTTGGAACAACAAAGTGAAGTGGACCATTATGAAAAGCAAAGAGACAATAGTCGTTTCATCAATAAACACATGGCTAAAGAAAAGGAAGGTACTGCATCCAACAGGGGTGATGGCACTCTGGTTATAGATGCTACCTGTGTTGTTGTCAGAGCGGAATTTATTCCTCCTCCAAAAAAAGAACAAGTACAGTACATATACCCACCTCAGGGTGGGAATTATGAGGTTTGTAGAGGTCCAAGCAGTGCTATTTCTCAACACGATTTGGATATTTCACAACGAAGTATCATTATGCAATGTGGAACAGATGTATCACCAGAGATACCTCTAGAAGAACCAAAAAGTGAAGATGATCAAAAGCACATCTCTGAATTGCCCCAGAGTAATGGAGATGCTGATATGGAAGATGTGAGGAAGACCAGCCTGCTCTCTTCAGCAGCTTTTGAAAATGAGAGACTGGTGGAGAGGCCTTTGAGAATTCTGGGGGGCACTGTCCACAAATCCAATGACAAGGCAACAAACAGAGATCAGACACATGTATTAACACATGGTACAACTCAAAGATTATCTGTAGATCAGTTTTTGACAGATCTAGGGAAAAGTCTTGATCTGGAAGCAATGACCTCGAAACAAACAATGCAAAATCTGTCTGAGAATGATATAAGAGTTAGTCAATTTGAAAACTGTGATGTCTATAGGCATGAAATTATCCACCATGAAGAACCTTCTCTGTCTCCTCATACTAATCATGAAGCTTCCAGCCAACCTGAGGTAGTTGGCTTGTCAAATGCATCTGTTTGCATACAGCCTGCTCCATCCCCTCCTCAGGCATGTTCCAGCTCTCTGTACCCAAGTGACAATTTTGAAGGAACTGATTCTATCTTCGATGACCAGTTTTTATCAGATTTGGATAGAGCTACTGCTTTGGGACAAAATCTGAGAATCAGCAAAGAAAAAGAGTTAAATGACATAGGGCACTCAATGCCACATGTGTCTGAAAAGTATACAGTTATTTATCATGCTGAAAAACAAGACATCGTTGTGACTGAGAAAATTTGCAGCGAAGAATCTTTACCCATTCCTCATACCGAACAGGAAGTGTCTCATTATACAGAGGACATTCCTTTCTCACCACCTAGATTTCACTCTGTCTCAAGTCTGCTGTTGCCTTCTGTATCCTACTCTCTCTCTCCTTCCCTGTCACACACTCCCCCCTACATCAACCTTGAATCACTTTCATGTGTTCCCTCCCTTAGCTTAGATACAACAGATACAGATTGTATCTCCCTCCCTCCTCCCCTCTGTCATCCAATTACCATCTCTCCAAATTCAGAGAGAAAAGTTGCTGCATCTCCTCATTCTTCAGAGGGTCATTCATTACCTTGTTCCCTCTGGGATGCCGTCAGTCGAATCCGTAGACATACAGCCCCGGACTCTGAGAATGAAGAAGAAGAAGCCTGTGAAACATGGAACAATCAAGAAAACGTGAGGAAGGAAGCAGAAATTAACGGGACATTGTTTGACCTGGGTAGCCGCCAGGAAGTAGACAAGTGCAGTGAGAAAAAAAATGCGTCACAGAGTCAAGAGGATTTAGCTTTGGTGGAAAATGGATCAAATAGGAGATCAGGAGATCAGAATAAAGAACCTGTCCCTGCAGATGGAGCAAGTGGTTTGCAGGTGGTGGAGAATGTTTCACTTAGTGAAAAGACAGGGTTAAAAGACATAGAACGGTATGAGAATGAACTGCAGAGACAATGTGAGGATGACACACTGTCCTGGAGCAGCTCTGACAGTCACACTTCAACAGGCACTGTGATTATGGGTCAAGAAACACAGGAGATCAGTGAGGAAATGATGCCAAAGGCAAGAGACTATGTGTCATGGATGGAAGCAATAGGCAGTCCAAAGTCTACTGCATGAGTAAAGGTGAGGTGTTAAGGGACTGTATGTAGCAGTGGAAAGTCCAGAGTGGACATGATTAGTAGACATACATTTTACTCCTTGGATCCATGAATGTGTGATTCAAGGTCTCTAAATAAATGAAAAAGGGGAAATTAACAACTAGAGAAGTACTGAAGAAAATTGTGTTTGGAGTGATGGCATAGAAGGTGCTCTGTACTTTGAGGTGGCATGTGACCAAACTAAAACTGAAGAAAAAAGGAAAGACGTTTTCCATGAAAGGTGAAGTTTAAATGGAAAGTGCTTACTGAAGAAACCCATTGTTTGGAAGATATGCAAGCCAAGAGTTGTACACTAGAACATTTGTTGGAGATTAGAAAGTAACAATAGTGAAATGAAAGCAGACATGTCCAGACTTAATTTTGCCTCTGGAACAGGAAAAGGGAAGACAGTTGAGGCAGTTAAGACCCAGGACAAGACCTCATGAACTGAATGGGAAAACTCTGAACGAGGACAATTTGTATAGATGGCTATTGTTCCGGATCAGGGAAATTTAAAAGGAGACTGCTTTAATTTAGGTTAATTCACACTGCCCCCTAATACACAGACCTGTATTTTAATTAAGTTGTGCCCCCCAGTGCTTGAACTGGGGAAAAACATGTGCCAGTACTCCCCTCGTTAGTTAGTACCAGCAGATATTGAGAAGTGCCAGTACTCTGAAGAGAAAAACAAAGAGGTGCTGGAACTGTGTACTGAGGAGTACCAGCCTACTTCAAGCTCCAGTATCCCCCCTCTGGTATCCCCACTCCGGTATCCCCCCTCCGGTATCCCCACTCCGGTATCCCCCCTCTGGTATCCCCACTCCGGTATCCCCCCTCTGGTATCCCACCTCTGGTATCCCCACTCCGGTATCCCTCCTCTGGTATCCCCCCTCTGGTATCCCCACTCCGGTATCCCCCCTCTGATATCCCCACTCTGGTATCCCCACTCCGGTATCAAATTCTCTCCTCCACCGTTACCTGTTTTTTAGATGTATTTTTTAGATGTATTTTTAAGTATTACGATTATTCTAGGTTTGCATTAGTGCAAGTTATGATTATTGGAACGCACAGAATATGGAATGATTGCTGATTTTGTTATTGGATATATCTGAATATAACACACATGTTATTCAAATAAAAATATATGATTATCACTGATATAGCACTTATTTTTTTTTGTAAATATGCTTTGCTGTGCCATCCACTTTTATATCTGACCCATCAGTTTCCTAAACAGTGTTCGCAAAACAACTGGCATTCTGTCCAAAGGGTAAGATCAAGGCCCACAACAACCCTGATAAGGTTAAAAGGTTGGAATATGTTGGAATAATTTTTGTAGCCATTTATAATTATACAGTGCTGCGCAGTCACAAATTATGTGTAAATGATCTTTACGTTGGTGTAAAACTATGTCTGTCAAAGTGTGTTAGGTTAGACATTTAAAAACCACTCCTCACCTCAGTATTTCCAGTAATCATCTGATACACCATGTCCTTTTTGAGTCAACACACCATGTTTGATTAATCAATACCTTGTTGACTTATGTAACTAATTAAATTGATGAGTTAATTTAGCTGGTGGTATAATTCATTGAATATATGGAATGGCTGGGGCGCTGTCAAGAGAGTTTTGGGAACTGAAGCAATGACCTTCTGGCCATCCAACAAGATATCAGTAGCTTTTTGGAGAACAGAAAAAAGAATTGTTAGTTTTATTGCGTTCCTGTTAATTTACATATATTATAATATTACATTAAGTGTTTTCATGAGCAAATATGCGTACTACTCAAATAAACAACTTTAAGCATTTCGTTTGATTGCCTAAGATTTTTGCACATTAATGTATTTTAAATGTCTTTGTATGTCTTGCAAACAGGACGAAGGCAATGTACATCTGTAGAGCAATATGTTTGTATTGAAACTTTTATAGAACTGAAAATGTATGGTGACCTTGTAGAAATATTGTCCAGGCAAAATATTTTGAAATATCTCCTATAAATTTATCATAAATAAATAAAATAAATATGACATATTTATAAACATTTTATATCATTCCATTTAGTGCGCTGTAACTATAACTTATTAAGTGTTTATTTAAGTGACCTTATATAGAAATGTTTTTTTGTTTGTTTCAAATGGTAAGGAAGCCGCTGTCACGATTGCACTACCAGTAGGTGGCATTTGTCGGAATCCACACTTGTTTCCAAAGACGCCATTTCGCCGGCATTTTACAGCTTCCGGTTTTGTACATGACTGACATAAGACAATAGCCAATGGCGGGAACTCTGCAAACCTTGTAGCCAATACGCAGAAAGTGGGTGTGTTTTCCGAATACAATGTGTGACATTGTATGATTATGTTGTAGTCCGTGTACTGATGTCCTGTCTTCTTATTTATCTGTTTAACATTTTATTTAACATATAAATTAACTTGTCGCGCATTTATGTACAGAAAATAAAGCTGTGGAGGTAAGATTTTGAACTAATGTTGCATTCTCTGAACAGTATTTCCGTTTATAAAATTTCCATACATCCGAGTTAGAGTATACAGTAAGCGGCGCCAATCAAACTTTGGCTACTCGTGGTTAGTCGCATTCTCGTGTGACTGATCAAACCATTAGGGGGTTAAAGGATGTCAGTCAAATCAGAGGTTGATTATTCAGTTAGAATGTAACCACTGCTTCGGTTTGGATTAACACTCGTAAATTAAAATAAAAAGTGCACACTGCGGTTAATGTTACGTACTGTACTAAACGGTCTGGTGACTCTCCTGTCACTCGCTCCTGTTTCCCAGGAGTACGATGGCGTCAGATTCGCCGATTTACGGGGTTGATCTTTGACGTTTGGTATTTTATATACTATAATACGTTAATAAATTGCCTGTTTTCACAGAGTTTTTGGTATGTTGGTAGTAAAGTTATAAATAGCATTTGATAAGTGTCATCACGCCTTGAAGCCAGGGGCCCCAACTATTTTTTTCCAGGGGGGTCTGCGCGGTCCAGATATAATTGTTGTTCGGTCCAGTTGCGGACTGAAGTCCGCCAGGTGGTGATCGCCGCTATGTCCAGTGTAGTTATGCATCCAACCATTTTCCATACCCGCTTGTCCTGTGCAAGGTTGTCTGGGTCCGGAGACAGTCCCGGAAGCTACGGAGTCAAGGCAGGGAACGGCGCGAGACGGGGTGCCAAACCCGTCAGGACACACACACACACACACACACACGGGCACACACGGACACATATTCAGTGTAGGTATACCTCGATTAATTACCTTGGGTATGTTACTTTGAGGAGGGGGTGTAGCAAGAAGCTTTGGCCCACCGGACAAAATGTCACCTTGCCCCCCCTCGGTATATTTTGCCGACGGAAAGGCTTCCCTTCCAGGGCCATCCCCCACCTCGTCGTCGACGGCCCGACATTAAGGAGTTAGTTAAGGAGTTACCTTGATATTATACTGGGTAACAAAAAAAAACACGTTTTGTTCAATTTGGATGATTGTGTGCTTCTGCTTTCGTTTTGACCATGTACAAATGTAACTGACATGCTTTGAATATTTTTCATTATGAGTCATAAATTGTAGAAGTCAGTATTGCTACAAGAACTTTGATCACTTTAAGTCCCAGTGTCTATTTTTTCGTAACGTCCGGTTCGCATTATGAAATAGGTTTGGTTTCCTACTATGCAATACAGTATTATGCAATTTCCTTTGGGATTATCTATCTATCTATCTATCTATCTATCTATCTATCTATCTATCTATCTATCTATCTATCTGTCGTCTATTCGTCTGTCTGTCTAATGGAGTTCATGAACTAATACATTCATTTATTTGAATTACTTGAAAGTTGCACTGTTCTCACACTCCATCCCCCATCCTGCTAAAATGTCATGATGCCTCGAATTATACTGAAGGTTCAATGAATGGCTAAATAAAGTGTTAAGGTGACTTGTTTTTTTAGATCCTTGCTGGGGAATATGGCTATAGACATTTGGCAGTAACTGTGCATATATAACAGTTATTTTCCTTGCAATTGAGTATACGTTTTTATATTGAAAATCAGCCGTCTTATGTAGAGGGCAAGGGCATCTCAGACTCACTTGAATTAAACTAGATGCTTCAGCTCTAGATTGCAAGTCTTTTTCTTTTTTGTGACATGCATTTGGGTGTGTGAGAGGGTTTTGTTCAGTTAGGCTGGCAAAGGAGATAGATTGTGATGGAGTGTACTGCTGCTTAGAGATTAGGAGGCGATGAAGGCAGGGAGAGTTTAAAAACTGTACATGCTGCCTTTGTGAGTTTCCAGTATTGTTATTCCTTCGGTTTCATTTTTTTTTCTGCACATTATTGGACTAACAGACAGATTAATGCTGTTAACTTTATGCTTTCACTGTAATAGTAAGTATAAAAGGTGAGAAGCAATGACCGTTGCATTTAAACTTCTTTAGAAAAAGCATGTTTTTTTAGAACAAGACCTTAACTGAAATTCATAGGAAATTAGTACCAGCCAAATACAGATAAATGTTGTTTGTAGAGGGTAACTGGTTTGATCTGTCTGGTGTGAAGGTAGCAGGCAATTGGTTGCTACCATACACTTATTCAAAATTTGAGCAATTAACTAGTGGTTAGTATATAATCTGCATGGTGTGTCTAGAGCTGAGTCGTGCCGATTATGTTCTATGTTTGGCTATTATTAAAATTATGATATAGTTTCAAAGAACAAACAAGTGCAGTTTGTGTGAAACACTGTAAAAAGCATTATGTTTGCTGGTTTTGTGCACATTTAGAAGTTAGTTTGGATTATTTTACATAGAGTTGAGGAAATTTGCTCTACAGGGCAGTACCAAATGAGTGGGACATAGTCAAAATAACCCAACAAACTTCCTCTTGAACAAGGACAGCATCTGGGCAGTACCATTAAGAGGTATCTAAGAGTACTTTAATAATATGATTCTCTATAAGGATTGGTACCATTAAAAGGTAGCAATAAACAGACTCTCATTTTTACAATAAGAGTCGGTGTTCATTAACTACCAAAACACACATTTAATGCTTTTTGAAATTCTGGTGAAATGCTGAGGAACAGATATGTGCGAAAAATATTTGTGCTCCTCCAATGTCATATGATTCTGATTCAAAACATCTGCCTTCCAAAAATAAATACGTACATTGAAACTGAGGTGAAATAAATGACACAGTGGCTTTCAAATGCATGTAACGGTTTATTAATGTGGATTACACTGAGGAGGTGAGTTTGAGTTGCTTCTTTTTTTGACACCTAAAAAGTTTGATTGTTTGTCAGTTTTGTTTTGATGCACCTCAAATGAATGGATAGCCAATGCATTGGTTTATGGCCTTGTCCCAAACTACAGGCTGTAGCCTACATACTCATAATTTCTCACAATCCTCTATATATCATTGTGGAGCCCACAAGTGTGTAGTGGCGTGTGGTTGCAATGTGATGTCCACTCTGGCAAGTTAGAACACAGCCTTGTTGGTTGTGACCTTTGTCACAATTTAGCATTTGTACTTCTGAAAGCACAAATAATATTAATACTCTCTTTCCAATGGCAGTTACAGTTGAGAAAAATGGAAGCTTTGTTTTATTTTTTTCTTATATAATGTATTAAATATATACTGTTTATGTAATAAAATGTATTATCATCAAGTACACTATCGGTCAAAAGTTTTAGAACACCCCAGTTTTTCCAGTTATTTATTGCAATTGAAGTCGTTCAAGTCCAATGAATAGTTTGAAATGGTACAAAGGTAAGTGGTGAACTGCCAGAGGTTAAAAAAAAGGTAAGGTTGCCCAAAACTGAAAAAATAATGTACATTTCAGAATTATACAAAAAGACCTTTTTCAGGGAACACAAAATGAGTTAACAATTTAAAGCTGTTCTCTAGCAATGGAGGTTGATCAAGCCTTGAAAGCTTGAAACCAACTTTTCTGGATTACTTACAGCCGCCTCTGTCTGCAGTGTTGGACCACACTGTGGTATCAGGAACACACTGTGGTATCAGGAACACACTGTGGTATCAGGAACACACTGTGGTATCAGGAACACACTGTGGTACCAGGAACACACTGTGGTATCATATCCTCATGAGCATCAGTTGAACAGTATTGTACCTGCAGAAAGTAGCGTGTTGCTACAAAAATGGCGAGAAAAAGGCAATTAACAATGGAAGAGAGACAGACCATCATAACACTTAAAAATGCAGGTCTTTCCTACAGAGAAACTGCAAAGAAAGTCAAGGTGTCAATGAGTACAGTTTCCTTCACCATCAAAAGGCACTGAGAAACTGGGGCAAACTCTACAGGAAGAGGTCTGACAGACCCAAAGCCACAACTGCATCAGAGGACAAGTTTCTGAGAGTTAACAGCTTGCGTGATAGGCGGCTCACAGGACCATAGCTTCAAGCACAGCTTAATAGTGGTCATAGTAAGCAAGTCTCATTTTCAACTGTGAAGAGAAGACTTCGAGCTGCAGGTCTGACAGGACAAGTTGCAGCAAGAAAGCCATTGCTAAGACGTCAGAATAAGACAAAGAGGCTTGCCTGGGCCATGAAACACCGCCACTGGACTACTGACGACTGGAAGAAGGTATTATGGACTGATGAACCCAAATCTGAAATCTTCGGTTCATCACGCAGGATCTTTGTATGCCGTCGAATAGGGGAAAGGATGGTTCCACAGTGTATGGCATCAACTGTCAAACATGGAGGAGGACGTGTGATGGTCTGGGGCTGTTTTTCTGGATCCAGGGTTGGTGACTTGTACAGAGTGAGAGGCACCCTGAACCAAAACAGCTACCACAGCACTCTGCAGCGCCATGCAATACCCTCTGGTATGTGCCTAGTTGGTCAGGGGTTCATCTTGCAGCAAGATAATGACCAAAAAAAAAGTCCAAGCTATGCCAGAACTACCTCAGGAAAAAAGAACAAGATGGTAAGCTTGAAAACATGGAGTGGCCAGCACAGTCTCCAGACTTAAACCCCATCGAGCAGGTTTGGGATGAACTGGACAGAAGAGTGAAAGCAAACCAACCTACAAGTGCCACACATTTATGGGAACTTCTGCAACAGATATGGGAAGAACTTTCTGAAGAATATTTCATTTCTATTGCAGAATGAATGCCACGAGTGTGTTCAGCTGTTATATCTGCCAAAGGTGGCTACTTTGAGTCAGAAGTTTAGAATACATTTTGGTCTATAAATTGATTCCATGATTTCTTTTTTAACTCCAATTGCTTATTTGTACTATGCTTTCATTTCAGAGTGCAATGAGACATTAAACTGCATAATTTTCAATAAAAAAACGGAAAAATTGGGGAAACGGAAAAAACTTTTGACCGGTAGTGTATGATATCAAATTCATAATCACTGCTTAGTAAGAAACATAAATTACTTGGTTTTGTCTTGGATACTCGTCTTTATTGAATACAGTATAATACATTAATCACCTAAAGGAATGATAATGTTACAATGAAGTGTGTTTGTGTTGCCGAAAGTCTGCAGTGGTTTAAAATTTTGCTGACAAAGTCATGCGGTGCGTGATGTTAAAATAGAGTCTCGTGAGACAGCACTTCCCATGACATTCTCCCAGTATCATGCACTGAAGGCCACAGACCACAGACACCATAGAAAAAAAGGGGGAGTGAAGAGCAGGGGAGCAAAACAAATTTTTTGTGGTGTTAATGTGTTGAAAGTGTATTGCAAAGGTGCTGAATGGCTGAGCTTTGACCGTAAGTCCGCAAAAGTAACTTTAGTGTGACCTTGAGACTGGCATAATCAGTAAGACCCTCTGATACTGTAATAGTAGACGCTGTCCCACCACAAGAACTTTTTTTTTAGGAACCAGAATCTTTTACAGGAATCGGGAACTTCTGTCGCATTCCCACCTCAGGAACTCAGCCCGACTGGAGTTCCTCGGAGGTAGTTACAGAACCCATTTGTTTAGTATCTTATCTGGAGTATGTACTTTTCACTGGACTGTGAATAACTGGGTGGGGCTTTTAGTGAGGAAATAGATAGAAGTAGTGGAGCAAAAATTAAGCAGATGGTTTTTATTTTCCTATTTCAATTAAATTAAATACATTAATGAATACATTTCGCCTGTTTTTTCAGATTTGTTAGCTGATGTATTTTTGTCTAGTAATGCTGGTGCTGGCAGTGAAAGTTGTCAGCGCTTATTAATGAAACAATGTTACAGCATTTTTATTCAGTGGAAAATTAAAAATCAATCTGCTGGCCAGATTGAATAAAGAACTATAAACATGTCCCAGGCTCTATAAATAAAATATAAATAAAATGCTGTGTCCTGTTTTGAACTTGTATTTTTGGACCGATCCCCCCAATATCTAGCCAGAACTAACAAAATAATCTGTTCATCCTCCATTGTTTTTGGGTAGCGGTGTAGTTCCATGAGAAATTGAATGTGAAGTTTAACCTACAAGTTTTTTGGGTCTCCCATGCTTATTTGGCATAAAGGTCATGGTTCCTGTTATGCGGTGAGACAGCCCAAGAACCTAAGTGGGAAAGTGCCTCTTGTGTACTTTTCACTAGTTACGTATGTGATACTGTAGCAGTTCCCCCACAACCCCATTCAAGAAGAGTGGTTAGAAGATGAATGTATAGATATAACAGTTTAACTACAGTGAAATACAGTAGATTGCTGGGTAGTTGCTGAATTCTTCTTGGCTAGGCCTATAACATCAGAGATGATTCAGAGTTTGCTTTAATGACAGCAGCAAGTAACCCTGTCATGAAGCATCTGCAATGTGAGTGAAAGCTTATTCTCTTCCATTCCATCCCTGAAAAAAGGTTGCTATATAAGTATGTCTCAATAATTCATTTATGTCTCTCCTTTTAAAGTATGTGGGTTTTTTTAATTGGTCACGGTGGCTGCTTCACTAAAATGTTACTTTCATACTATAATGAACTGAATGCGATGTGAAAGTGTCTGGGTATTCTGCATTCAGGGAAGTGAAATTTGCCAGTAAAGGAACCAAGGCTTTCTAACCACAAAGTCGACTCTGCTATCCACAGATTCCCTTTTTCTGAATTCATTATTTTTTGTTTTGTAAATGTATCACATTCTTCCGATTTTTGCAGCATCATAATGATGGTGCAGATTTTCCCTTCTGCTGTGTCACACCATGTTTTTTGTTCGTTTGTTTTTGTCTTGCCTTAAAAAAACTTGTGTGTCATCAATATTCTCCAACCTTTTACCTCTATCTCTTGACTTCTCTACTGAGGTTTGAACCCCCCCCAGCTCCAATTAAAATGCTGTATTTGGAGAAATGAATGCATTTTTGTTTTCTGCACCTTGATTGTTGTTTGTTTCCCTTTGGTGAAGCCTTCGTCCCCTTGAGTATTGGCCCGTTTGTCCTCTGTCTTCATGACCACAAACCAGGAGCCGGATCTCCTAGAAGGTAAAAGACTTCAGTGTTATCGTTCAAGACACAATCATGTTGGCTTGTTGATAAGGACTGGGGAAGACATTCAGAGCAACAGACATTTTAATTGAATAATGCTGTCAGCACCATGGAAATTTAGTATTGGATTTCTTTGAAATATGTATAACTTGAAATAAAGCAATTTCTATTTTTCTATGTCATTTTTAATTGGATATGATAAGTTGTGCTATGCAGTTCCTTTGACAAAAGGCTGTTTTGTATAGACAATACTTTATTTTTTTATATATAATTATAATTTTTATTGGTATGACACATACACCAAATCTTTCCAGGATTTACCTATCAAAATCATACTTCATACTTTTTATATTGTACAATATAATAGGCATCCCATTATTTATCAAAAATACAAATACAGAATAAAAGAAAGAAAAAAAAACTATATATAGGTAGGGAGTGATCTTTGCCTTACAACTTTACCACCATTAATTTACAAAAGTCCAATTGGGCCTATGGGGTGCCACATAGTGAATCCATTTTTCCCAGTATGAAACAAATTGTTCTAATTTATGGTTAACAAATGCTGTTATCCTCTCCATTTTGTAAATGTCCATTGTAATTTCCATCCATGAATTTAAAGTTGGCCTTTCATGTGACAACCATTTCCTGTTTTTTTGCCAGCAATCAGTAATATGTTCATTAAGTATTTATCTCCTAGACAATACTTTATAAACACATGTAGCATCCAGTTATGGTAATAGTATGATTATGGTAATATGTGATCACATGCAGTATGTTTCAGTGCCCAACTGAAATAGTTCACTTCCTGAAAGAGACAGTTTAATTTACTGCATATGCTACATATAACCAAACAACATAAATATAAATAAAGCTGTATGAGGCTTCAATACATTTTTTTGAATATTTCTGCAGAGTAAATTGGTCTTGATTTAATTCTACAAGAAAGAGGTCAAAGGTTCTGATGCAGGAATGTGTGAGAGTGCATGCAGACAGAGTTCAGCACGCGGTGGGCTGTTGAAACAGGAAGTGGGTGGCAACTCTGCTTGTGGCTAGGCGGGCCTTAAATATAGAGCTGCCCGAGGGCTGAGGCTGGAGGCAGAAAGCATGAGACGAGCAGAGGGAGAGCTGAGAGGCAGGTGGCGATCGGTGGAGGCCGACGCATAGCCGTGCTCGCCTGTCGGAGGGAGTTGCCAGCTTAGGAGCTCAGGATGGGCGAGCGCTCCAGGCTCAGTGAGTAACTGGGTGGCTCAGGTGGTTAAATTCAGGCCAGTGGGCTTTGTGATTAACAGTCGACACCTATTAAGCTTCTCAGTTGGAGCATGGGACCATTATTTAAAGGTTTTCTAAACTTTGCTTTCCAATTGGAATGCAATACTTATTAGCCTCACTTTGGCATGTTGATGGTCACTCTATTTAGTAAAAGTTGTTACTATGAAAGTCAGGGCAAGAATCTATTACTTCATTCTGTCTGGCAGAGGATGACCCAAAACACGCTGCTTATGAGTGACATCAAGGGACGTTCGTTATCTCTGTCCACACTGCCTTGCTCCATTGTCTATTTTCTTGTCCCCTTGTCCCATGGTGCAGAGGAGGTGCAAGAAAACAGAGCTGTTCAAAACTCGGTGTACAGCTCCATCGGACCGGCGACAGACGATGATGCTTTCTCCACGTACTTTGAGGAGAAGATCCCTGTTCCTGAACATGGTGGTCAGGTACTGTGAAGAACCATTTACACCCGTCTAGCATGTGCAGCTTTTCAGATAAAGATCCAATTTACTATAATCATTTTGTTATTATCAATGAATACAGCTGATGATGAATGCTTCTCTCAATGCCAATGCAACGGATCCTTCAAAACCCTTAGATGGGCTTCAGTTTTCGGAAGCTGTGGGCTTTCACTGGGCCTGGCTTCCTGATGAGCATTGCGTACCTGGACCCAGGAAACATCGAATCTGACTTGCAGTCTGGTGCCAAAGCTGGATTTAAGGTACCCTGTCTTTCCTCCATCTTTGTACTGGCTGCATTTATAAACGTGCCGGTTACACCTATGTCTGTGCGTTGGTTACTGCTAGCTACTTTGGGTCCTGCTGGGCGCCACCATCATCGGCCTGCTGCTGCAGCGGCTCGCGGCTCGGCTGGGCGTCGTCACCGGCATGCACCTGGCGGAGGTCTGCAACAGGCAGTATCCCACCGTAAGTCCCCACTGCGCCGCCGGCTTGACGTCTGCACACAGACTGGGCAGAAAAAGCAACAGGTGGCTGCAAAAAAACCAGTAAAAAGTCAGGTAGTACACAGTGCTGTGATTGTTGTTTGTTTCTTTAGTATCTTTTCACGTCATGCTGCACTGCACTGGAGACTTGCTCTACTTGTTATTTATGTTGAGTTCCCTTCTGTCTTATGTTGAATATATGCGTCTTTCTCATTCATGCATGCAAGTGAAACTATAGAGGACAGTTACCTGCAAATCTCTTTGCTTCTTTTGCATGTCAGATTTTCACACTGGCATCTTGACCTTAATCATCATTTTAATTTTCTTTTGTATATTAATATCTAATTTTTATGACTTTATATGCTGTATATTTAGTGTATTTACTGTATTTTTCTCTGTTCTATCCTTACGTCTGCACCGTTTGCACCAAGTAGAATTTCTTGTGCGTGTTTGTGCTTAGTGAATAAACCTCAATTCCGATTCAGTAGTTGTTTTTCTGTCACCCTCAGGTTCCTCGTATAATCCTGTGGTTCATGGTTGAGCTGGCTATCATCGGTTCAGACATGCAGGAGGTCATCGGCTGTGCCATTGCATTCAACCTCCTCTCCGCGGGCAGGTAGGTAGGCGCCACGGGGCCACACTGAGCAGCAGTCAAGGGCGCCGGGCACGAGATCATGACGCTGAGCCATGCTTCTCCATCCTCATAGGATCCCGCTGTGGGCCGGCGTCCTCATCACCATCTTTGACACGTTCGTTTTCCTCTTTCTGGACAAGTACGGTAGGTGGCCCTCCCATCTAGAGACCTCACCACCACAAACTTTTCCCCCGATTCCTCTGTACCTTTTCAGCATCTTAAAAGACTCTCACCCATTTTATTCCCTGGACATCAGGTCTGAGGAAACTCGAGGCCTTTTTCGGATTTCTCATCACGATTATGGCCATCACATTTGGATACGAGGTAACTGAGTTTTCAATTGACGACCAGAACGGCCAACTGACCTGATTGTTATATTTTTTTAATGTTCGTCCATATGCTCAATTCATCTCCACAGTACGTGGTTGCAGGACCGAACCAAGGAGAACTGCTGAAGGGGATGTTTTTGCCCTACTGCAAGGATTGTGGTCCTGTCCAGCTGGAGCAAGCTGTGGGCATCGTGGGAGCTGTCATAATGCCACACAACATCTATCTACATTCTGCCCTCGTTAAGGTACCAGGCCTCAGGCCTCCAGGAATGTTCATGTGCTGCTTAGGGAAAATCAGTGGTAGGGTCACGGAAAGTAGCTTCAAGGCCGAAGCACAGTTGATTGCCTGGAACAGCATGAAATAGTTGCAGGTCAAGGTGGAGTAACTTGGCCACTCCTCAGCGAGGCTGTGAATCTCTCAGGAAGCTCCTTCCCACGGAGCAGGTCCTCTCAGTTTCTTTTCTTCTTTTTTTTTTCCTCCAGTCTCGCCAGGTTGACAGAACCAACAAGAAGGAAGTGAAGGAAGCCAACAAATACTTCTTCATAGAGTCAGCAGTAGCGCTCTTCGTGTCCTTCCTCATCAATGTCTTTGTGGTGGCGGTCTTTGCTGAGGCCTTCTATGATCGTACCAACCTCTACGTGGTGAGTCTCAAACCATCACTTGAGTTGTCAGTTTGCCCCATTTCCTGCAAGTAACAGGCCGATCATCCCTGCACCCCCCATCTTTCAGCATGAGAAATGTAACCAGACAGGAAGCCCACACGCTGCCCTTTTCCCCCAAAATAACGGCACGCTAGAAGTGGACATCTACAAAGGGGTAAGTAAATGGTTCTATAAAGGGTGCTACTCATTGTGTAGGGCTGTCCCGATCACATCGTGATATAGTCGGAATTATAGGGCACTTGCACAATAATCACCAGGGCTTCAGATGACGGGCAAAACATTTTAACGGACACCAGCTTTTCAGTATTATCTGGACGATTTGATAAGCAGATTAGTACTGCGCCTAAAATATTAATGAGATGCATATTGTGACACACAATTTCTACAGACTACTGAGTTTTGGGCATCACAAAATGCATCGTCATTAATAGTTTAGCCATACTACTAGTCTGCTTATCAAATTGTTGGCGTAAATAAATGTCCGCGTAGAAAAGCTGGTGTCTAGGCCAGTGTTTCGCCCATCATGAAAAGCCCTGGTGATTATTTCACATGCGGCACATAATCGCCATGGCATGGCGACGTGATCAGACAGCCCTATCACTGTGTAATTGTGTGTAACACTGACATCCCCCGTGCCTTTTGGACTGGAAGGGCGTGGTTCTGGGCTGCTTCTTTGGGCCAGCGGCGCTGTACATCTGGGCGCTGGGCATTCTCGCAGCAGGGCAGAGCTCCACAATGACCGGGACCTATTCCGGGCAGTTCGTCATGGAGGTCAGTGGCGGAAGAGGGTACCGCCGAAGCGGGACGCACCTAAATTGGTCACTGGCTTGGCTTTTTAACCCCTTTCCGTCTGGCGTCCGCCTCAGGGATTCCTGAACCTACGCTGGTCCCGTTTCGCGCGGGTGCTACTGACACGCTCCATCGCCATCACACCCACCCTGCTGGTGGCCATCTTCCAGGACGTGCATCGCCTCACGGGCATGAACGACTTCCTCAACGTGCTGCAGAGCATGCAGGTTGGAGCGCTGCCTCTCCGTCGTGGATGAATGTGGTTTCCCTTCATTTTTGAGTCATTCGAGCGGGTTCCTTTCTCCCCTTCCGTTTTCTAGCTCCCGTTTGCTTTGATCCCAATATTGACGTTCACCAGCCTGTCTTCTCTCATGAATGAGTTTGCTAATGGAATGTAAGTATAACAGAAGATGGATACAAAGTGATGGTTTAGATCTTCTGCCCCATCATGCTTGAGTTCTCCTACACTCCCACCGCCCCCATGAGTACTTCTGGCCCTAACCCTAAAGTTGAGCTTCCCTTCCATGCTTGAGAACTTCTCTCCCATGCAGAGCCTGGAAGGTTGCTGGAGGCACGGTCATCCTCCTGGTGTGCGCCATCAACATGTACTTCGTAGTGGTGTATGTCACCACCCTAAATAGTGTTCTGCTCTACGTGTTGGCCTCCATCCTCTCTGTCGCCTACCTCTGCTTTGTGGTGTACTTGGTGAGTGGATCATACACCTGACATGAATCAAAACCTCCATTTAAAAGAAACAAAGAAGATAACTGTTTTCTCAACCCGTCCATTTTGCCAGTGCAGATAATATATAGTGATTGTACTTCCAGTACCATGAGTGTTTATCTTCTATTTGACTTCATGGCACAATTACTATTGTTACTGAACTAATCACATACCTGGAGATGTTTCCATGGTGATGTTCCTGGTCATTTCTACACTCTAGAGCAACTGATGTCCATGCTTGTACAGCACTTATGTCTGCTGGAACTTTTCCCCCAAAAAGTTAATTCTGTAATTCTAGGAATCAGTCACTCTATTGCTGGACGATAAAATGATAATGATAATTATCACGATATAATTTTCCTCAATGTCAGTGTGACAAATACACGATCTGTTCAGTATGATTTATAACCTATTTCAATGATGTCACTTCCTCTGTGACTGATTGTCAGTAACAGCAGTGGAGCACAAGCGCAGACACAGCCGTAAAAACACAAACAGGGGATTTATTGAATAAATAAGATAATGTAACAGGCAGGCAGCAGAAAGACATCACAGTCAAAAAAGCAGAGCAACTCAGAGAGAGCAAGTAAGTCCCAAGCAACCCATCCAGTAATGGTAATCCGGAGAAATCCAAAATGAAAGTCCACAGTAAAATTAAGCCAACGAGAAATAATCCACAGAGATTTCAGAAACACTAGGAAGAATACGAACTGCTGTGTTTTGTTGGGGCGGAGTGAAGAACCTGGCCCACTACCGATGGCAGTGTTTCGCGAATGGGCAGCCTACGCACAGCAAACGCACAGCAAACGCACAGCAAATGCACAGCAAGGTTTATTGAGTTAACAGAGGAGCACCGCACATACTACTGTGCTGGTAACATGCGTTAGTCATGGGAAAGAAAGCACAGCAGCCACAACTACTTTCAAAAAAGGAGATATGGTGGATAAACCAATAAAAAGACGTTGGTGACGTGGCAGACGCCTACGACACGTAACAGACTGACGCTGTGCATTGCAGTCTCTGCCGAAAACTTGCAGCAACTAAATCTGGAAATATTACAAATTTATTTCACCACTAGAAGCATTTCCATTCAGAACATACAGAATGCAAGCGCTTAGAGTCACAGACACTAGCAATTAGTGCTGCAACTTTCAGTCGTGCCCCTTATTGGTACGGAATGGAACAGAGGCTTTTATTGAACAATATAAGACAGATGGAAACTATCAGCAATATCAAACCTGCCCCCTATAAACAGCAGAGAGGTAGTCAGAGGGAAAAAGCCAGTGATAAACTGCACTGTCAGTGTATGACTAGTGTTACTCCCTATTACAAAAAAATGACTATGATTTATTATTTAAATTAGATTTTAGTTTGCAGTCCATACAGTTCATCATCTATTAAATGTTCTATTTAAGGGAAATCCTACAGGGAATCCTAAGACAATTGTAAGCATAAATGCAGCCTTAAAGTAAAGAAGTAATTCATTATTATTGAAAATAACGATTTACGAATTATACTGTGATAATTATCGATATTAGCCGACATGGGAAAAAATTATCATGATAAAATATTTAGCCATATCGCCCAGCCATAAGTTGCACCATCAAGAAACGTACAACCAATCTGGGTTCAGAGCACAGCCTAGAAAAGACGCAGGGTCTCGACCCATTTGGATGAAAACGGCAATGGATGCTGTGTCGTCAATGTGTCTCATGGGGAAATGTTGAACTGGGAAATCATATTCTGAGAAAATAAGTTTCCCAAAATCGTAGAAAATAGATGAAACAAGCCGTGTATTTCAGATGTCATGGTGTCATTAGCCATAGCTTTTTATAAATACTGTCAAATTAAGAAATACGGGTGTTTCCCCCACAATGACACACCTTAAACCAACTAGAATTTTTTTATACTATGGGAGGAAACTGGAACAAACACCGGGAGCATTGGGAAGTGCACATACAGAGCCGGAAGTGGGAATGGAACCCATACCCAGTGGGCCACCATTCCACGCTGCAGTTCATCTGTGCATAATGCCTTTTCCCTGACGTTGTTTCCACAGGCTTGGCAGTGTTTGGTCGCCTTGGGGCTGTCCTGTCTGGACTTTGGCAGCAGGGTAAGGAATGGCCCCACCGTGCTGTTAGAGGAAGAGTCCGAACCCGACTGTTAAATCACAGCGGCAGAGTTCCCACAGCCGTCCAGGTTTCTTCACACACCAAAACGAAGAGGGAGTCACAGAAGTGTAGGGTCACGCCTGGGGTGTCTGCGCTTAACAGGGCCCCAGTGCTGCATGTAAACACAGCTGTCTGTGCAGCTAGTTCTCAGAGGTTTATTTACAGAGACAGCTACAGTTTCTCTTTGCGTGTAACTTAAAAATGTTTCGTTAATATAATAGAAATTATTACTGAATATTTCAATAACTACCCTATGACCATGACAAGGATATCAGCTGGAATAACATATTTTAATTTCTTCAGTACCTTCAACTGTAAGCTTTCAGAGGTCAAAATTTTGAATTGTTAGTAGTGAGTTGGCAGTAAGACAAATAATTTGTGCACTGAGCATTCAGGGTTTATGGGTTTTAATCATGTGGAATTATCAAGCCTTTGGTCTGTGTTTTTCTTAACTAAGTTTGCACTTGACTTTAATAGGTCAGATCCCTGTACGACCACAGTGAAACGTATTTCGTACTCACCAGTTAGTAAGCTGTTCGGTTCAATAGATGTTTTCTGTTAGACTCCTCAGACAGTTTTATTAAGTATTTCTTAGACAATCAAGAGATGTGATGCTTGAATGCTGAATATGTTATGTCTTGAGTTTTATGTTCTGTATAATTCAGTTCTTTTGAAACAAGCACTTTCCTGTTTTCAGCTTTGTATTTACTAATTGTTAGATGCGGAGATTGTTCTTTATTTATGACTAGGATTTGTAATAAAAGGGAACTCAAGTATCTTTTCATTATTGCAGAGTTCTCAATGGTTTAATATAAATTACTGGTGTTTGAGTGTTAATGTAAAGAACGGGAATGGTGACGGACAGACTGCACAGTACATACATGTGACATCTTTGTAAAAGCCACTCTGTCTAATTTAATATTTTCCGTTATATGTGTTTGGTTTTGTTATCTATTTCTTTTTGACACTGAATGGTGAATTATCAAACAGGATATTGGTACTTTTAAAACTGGGGTACCACATGAAATAGTTGCACTAATTTACATTACCAAAGGTTCTCTATGTACACTTGTCTGCATTTAATTTTATGAAATAATTTTACTTTTATTGGGCAGATGTTAAAGCATTATATGATTCAAGTTGTACGGTTTCCTTTAATATACTATAAAACTACTACTGGGTTTGAAAACTTCTGTCAGTTACACAGTTTTCAATATTTTAGATTGTTGAATCGATGTCACCTTGTATTATAGTGATTGTTTTGGTGGAAACTGGTTACATCTGCCTTTCCCATAATCACTCAAAATGAGATCAATTCAATAACTTAACTGTAATACCCAAAAAAATCAGTGTAACTAAGATGTATGGCAAAGCTTGTATTTCATTTCTTATTGAAATAACTTGAATTGCACCCCAAATAAAAACTAAAACCTTAGACAAATCCAGTTGTTTTTTTTTTTTGTTTTGCTGTGTCTGTGATTGATTAATCAATCCGGTAAAGCGCCAGTTCTGACAGCAACACAGTATAAATATTGTGTATCCTTTCGAGATTTTGATTTGTGTCATTAGTGTCGTCATAACTGTGATGCTCTTACTGCAGTAGTGTGACTGAAGTACAGTTTGAGTGCTGTGTTAACCATCGGGAAACCCTTCTCGCCCCGTCTGTGTTCCTCCCTCGCAGGTGAAAATGGGGATCACAGGCCACAGGAACGTTTACTTACTGAACGACATGGAGGTGCCAGAGGGCGCTGAGGTGTCGTATGTGAGGACAGAGAATGAGAGTGGAGACGACAAGCATGGGCAGAAGGAATGACCTCCCCTGGATACCTGCTGGAGCGGAAATGGCTCCTGTTCAGCCAGTGCTACTTCGCTGTGCCTTATGTGTAACGTGAGTAACGTTGCACAAAAATGGCTTTTCTTTCGGTGTCAGCTTTGGTTATAGTGGGTGTGAAGGGAACAGTTAAGTTTAGCAGTGAAACAGAGTGTAAACCTGTTCTAAACTGCAAGATCGTGGTGTACTTTGACCTCTTCTCAAAACTTGGTTGCCTGTATTTTCTTGACTATTTCCTGTATATTTCAGGGTTTTTGAAAACCTTGACATATTGGAAATTAAATTTTAAATCCTGAAAATATTACGAATTTTTTAATAATTTAAAATGAATTTGTTTACAAAACATTTAGTAGAAATATGCATATGTATTTATTTTATTGTGCTTTGTATATTTGGCAGCACAGTGGTTCATTGAACAGCGCTACTGCCCCATGACCTCAAGGTTGAGGGTCCGAATCCATCATCCAATCTGTGTGTGTGGAGCTTGCATGCTCCCTCTGTATTGCTCAGAATTCCTCTACATAGTCTCATTTCCTCCCAAAGTCCAAAGATGTGCCCTGAGGCCAACTGGCATCTCTAAATTGCTCACTGTACGTATGCGCAGTGTGACAGACATCCAGATAGTCATCCCGAATGTACCTAGTGCTCACTGGGATAGGCTCTGGGCCCCTCCTCAACCCAGTCCAGGAAAAGAGGTTGGAAGATGGATGGATGATTTTTAAATATATTTTTACACTCACAGTGGCCAGTTTATTAGCTACACCAGCTTGCTTACGCAAACTGCTTGTTCTTTTAAACACTAAATGATGTGGCTGCAGATATTTGCAGCACGCAGGCAAGGTCAAGAGGTTCAGTTACTGTTTGACTAAAAATGAGAGTGGCTGAGACGCCTGATCTACCTGCTTTTTAGGTCTGGGTGATATGGACCAAAAACCATATCTGGGTATTTTTAGGCAGAATATCAATACATGCTATAAATCTCAGTATTTTCTAAGAAGTGGAGGCTACATGTGTAGTTTTTCAGTCAAAGGCATGTGTGTGATGTCACAAACATGTGCATTAAAACAGAGTGTGGTAAAAATTAAATGCAAACGTAACTATTTAGTATAGACAAATTAGAACAAGTCTAAAAATAAAGACAAAAATTATGCCTTTATTAGTATTGCATGGTGTCAAGTAAAGCAACTATGACATAAGTGTTTCAATCCACTATATCAATCAACAAACTTGTTTTTCGTCAGTTTATGACAGAAGGTGAAGGTTTAGGAACAAAAAAATACTAAATCTAAAATCAATTTGGCCAACGGTTCTAAAAACAGAAGCCCAACAATCAATGAAAGTACATTTAATAACTGGATAGATCCGCATCGTAGGTATTACCCTTCAGTAACATAAAACAGATGCTGCATCCATTTGTGATTATTTTTAAACTGAATGAACCCCTAAATCCCTTGTGAAGCCTCTGACCAATCAGAATCAGGAATTATTAAACTAACTACCTGGGAGAACTGAAAACAAGGCCTGGATTTGGAATCGAGGTCCGGATTTGAAAATTGAAAATTGCTTTTCAATGTGGTGTGATTGTTGGTGCCAAACGTGATGATTCTAACATGGGATTTTGCGGACTATAGTGTCCAGAGTTTGTGTCTAGTAGAGTTTGGTGTGGTGAACAAAAAACATCAGTCAGTGGCACTTCTGTGGGCAGAAACAGCGTGTTGATGAGGAAGGTCAGAGGAGAATGGCCAGACTTATTAAAACCAACCAGAAGTCAACAGGTGCAAAAATAACAGCTCAGTACAGAACAGTGGGGTAAAGAACAGCTTCTCTAAAAGCTCATCTGCTTTGAAGTGGTTCTGGAGACAAAAGCGGGTCCTGCCCAGTACTGACTAGGTGTTCCTAATAAAGAGGCCACTAAGTGTAAATCATTTAGCAGGTTTCGTTACCGTTGCTGTGTTTTTTTAATCCTCTTCTTTTACAGGTCCATGGAATCCTGTTTCATGGTTATTTGATTTTGCTTAAAATCAGTTATAGGATTATGGGATGGTACCATGATGCGCTACATGGATGTCGCAAAATCTGTTTACATATGTCAACATGTACTGATTATTTTGGCACACGTTATCACTCAGTGAGAACAAAAAAACATATCAATAAATTTTGAGGGATATTCCAATAATAGAAGGATAAAATCCATGTGATGTTTTTACAGCCTCAGTATGGCGCTTTCAGGGGATTTGGCAGACAAATCAAAAGAATCAAATCTCAAAGATGCTGACATTTTTGCCACTAGGTGGCGTTTTAAAGAACTGATATGCTATGTGTGGACATACAGTACAAATTGATCACGTTACAGACAAAGTGGTATTAAATGTTTTAAATAACTTGCATTTCACTGTTACAAGTTTTTGCTCTTTTAACTTCATTCTGTTACAAGATACATTAGAGAAATGTATACAATCTTATATACCAATGTAATAATATTACTAAATGACTGTTCTAATGTCTAATGTAGTTACCTCTTTAAATGGAAAACATGAAACATAGTATTTGCACATAGTAAATGCTCCATACAAAGACACCTGACACCTGAAAAAATTTGAAATTGTATTAATAAAAACTTTTTTTTTTGGTATTATTTTATTTGTAGATTACTGACACTTCCTGTACAGTACACTAATTACAGTACCAAAATAAACATATAAAATTTGTATCCCTGAATATTTCTCTTCTGGTTTTCTCCCTACCTTTAAAGGGAATTTTACGTTCAGTCAGCTTTTGAGCAGCTCTATACATTTCTTCTACTAATATAAAGCACACTTTTGGCACTCTGGAGCTCACCCTAGACATATCCACATCTAAATGTACTGAAATCCAACTGCAAATTGCAACCTCAGCACCAACAAGCCTGCTTGTGAAGTCTGCTTAAATTGGTTAATGGAAAACCAGGCCTCTAGAGGGGACACCAAGGGCTGTCCGGATGTAGGGACACAGCACTGTGGTGGATTTCCTTGGTGACAGATGGACCATACATGTGCAGCAGTGCTGGACAGGTCACATGGGCTGAGACGCCTTCATTTTTCATCACTGTTGGTGTTCTCTGGTGACATGTACTGTTTGTACATCGAATATATGACACCTGAAGGCAAATATATTAGTGAGCATTAGTAGAATATTGTCAGGAGTCATATAGATTCTGCTCTGCTAGTCTGCTGCCGACTACTATAAAATTAACATATTTCTGCACCAAGAAATCAGTGTTTCTGACAGCATAACCAACACGGAGAGCCAATGTTGGAGATATAAGCATGAATGTCTGATGCTGTGTTTTTTAAACCATCATCTGCATGATTTGCTGGGATAGAACATCCACCATGACAGACCATCTGAATTAAAAATGCAACAAACCACAGTCAACGTGACATTAAACAAGCAAAAGGTGAGTTGCATCAAACACAGCATGGAAGGCAAACGCTCCCTCAGACCAGTTAGTAAAAGCCACTCACCAATCGTCATGGCACCCACCACAAAGCCCTGAGCTCGGACACGCATGTGGATGAGGTGCAGCGACATTTTTTTGTCCCCTCGAGACTTGAGCTTAAACAGCCCGTAGGCGACGATGCCCATGAAGCCGGCCATGCCTGCAGTGCACACAGCATCGAGGGCCGCACTGAAGAGCCGTCCAGCTACCATACGCGCGCTTCGCACCACAACCATTACACAACATCCCGATGAGGCCCCGCCCACTCACCAGCAACAAACGTCCGTGAAGAACAGCAGGCATGGAGATAGATAACAGCTGCCAGCATGAGACAGCTCTCTGAGACATCGATTCATTGTTAACTTACCTATTGGTACAAAGGGGGACTCTTTAGCCTTTCTCACCAACTTGGAAGAAGCTCCATCGTCATCAGACCAGTTTTTGTCTGAAGACATTATGAGTGCTGGGGTACCTGAAAGAGGAAAACGTCAAATGTGGTGAACATAAAATTAACTATTGATAATTACTAGGTCCTGTCTAGGGGGTATTGGCTCCTAGTAAACATATAAACAGAAATATTCCAGAATGTCTTCTGGCTTCCCAGTGGCCTGACCATTGCTGTGATGTAGGGTCGGCCGAAGGCATAAGCGAACTAAGCAGCTGCTTATGGCCCAGTGGCCACCAGGGGGCCCCACATTCGATCAGCCTGTCAGAATGGGAAGGAAGATGACAAATGACGTGTGTTAATCAAATTTTACTCAAGGCCCTAAAAAGGGTTGGACTGGCCCTGCTATGATGGACATGCCACCTTGTTACTGAACCATCTTCTTTCTTTTTTTTAAATCAACTTTTCTGAGCATTATACTCTTTTCCAGTGACCTGGGTCTCTTTGTAATAGGCTCAAAATAAGATCAATCTGGTCATTTTTGCTTCAAACAGCACTACAGCCTTTTATGTCGCTATTGATCCTGATGATGTGATTAAGGCTGTGGATGAAGGTGTGATGCTTCTTCTTCATTTTATAAAAGCATGTTTATACCAGAGCATGCAAATTACTTATTGGTATGGACAACATTTTAAATTTAGCAAACGCTTTTGTCAAAAGCAACAGACAACTTAGGAAACCTTGGGGTCAAAACAGAGGGCTAGCCTTATAATCTACTGAGCTTCACACTACCCTTGACTTTCTTCTTCACAGATTATGACCTTGAGGACATCATTTGCATATGCTGTATGTATGAGCGCAGTAAAATGTGCATGTCCGAAGGGAGATGGGTTAGCACTGTTTTCTACAGACGTAATATCATTTACAAAAACAGCGAATGAAGAAAAAGCAAACAAATGACAGTGCATGTTAGGAAAAGGCACATTACGTCCCGATTCAGGAGACTTCACAGCTCCTATAGGCTAGCTGATGGCCTAGGTTGACATTTTATGTACGGTGTCGCTCCCAGGACACAAATTCCGGTCCATTTATAATATACTGTGCGATTTGCGAGAACAGGAAAGAACAGACATTTATGGGGATTATGGAGTCAAGTATACAACGTACATGGCGATCCTACATGCAATACAGAAAACGAATAAATATTTAAAAGCTAATATTGTAGACTGCATTTGTAATACAATTATCCGGTTTCCTCCTTTCGGTTAGATAATGGAAACCTGAGATTTATGCAAGCATTTTGTTTCCGTTAGTGTAACTATGCTGTTTCTTTTATTTTTACATATTTACATATTATTTATTAGGCTACGTTTCCTGAAGAACATCAGCCATTTAATTTTTGCGAGACATCCCAGATTCTAACTTGGAATTTAGCCTTTATGCACGTAGCTGACAGTATCTTCCAATGATTATGATATTAAAAGTGACTTACCTTCCCGGTACCGGTCGATGTTACTACGTCGGTCAAACACCTGTGATCTGACAGGACGCCCGCTCCGACTTCCGTTTTTGTGTCTTCGATGCGCGACGTCGGGTGACGTCAAGTTTCACGCGACACCTTGACCGTGCGTTCCCATCATCACAAGAGATCACAAATAATTTCCAAGAGATCAACTCAAAATTCTAAATGCCGCGTTTCCATAAAATAGACAATCATATGATAGTCCAGGTTGTTTTTCCCTACATCAGAACGTTATCCTGAATGTACACCTTAAAATCACTATTGGAAAAAAAAACAATAATAAAGTTTTATTGACTAATAAAAAATGATCGTTATATTTGAAATGCAACCGGCAGGTTTGGCCTCAGTGAATAATATTTGTGGTTAGGGTTAGATAATAACATAATACTTAAATTAACTGGGTGGGGTGAAATTCTTCTCTGCACTTTCGATGCCAGGTGATAATGTTACACGAAAAAAACAGGCCTAATCATAAATCAACGTGGAAGCAGATTCATCATTCATTCAATCTGTATTGCAGATGTATAAAAATATATATGGTTAACGATGGTGATTTCAGACTACGCTATCGGAATGGTGATTTCGGTAAGTCTTCGCTCTCACCACAAGGAGACACACGAGCCCTAAGAACACTCTACTGGAGTGACCATGTGCATGTATATGCGCTCAGGTATATGGAAACGCTTAACTTTCACTGTATTTATATGACCCTGGGCAACCTCCGTAACGATAGCAATAAAGTAATTCAGGTCAAGTTCCTTGGTCATAAAAACAAACCCTTCTTGGGGGCTGAATCACTCAAATCCCATAAAGCCCACCTAAACAACAACATTTTCTGCCTTACCAAGGTAACGTTTACTTTGTATATTTTTTTCTCTATATAATTAATTCATTCGGCTTCAGCCATAACTAAAATAGTTTGTTTTGATCATTCGGTTTAAAATGACACCAAGGCCGAATCTGTAAACACAAATGTATTCTTGTGTGGGGGTTGGGGCGGTAAACGGCGTTATATAAGAGCGTTTTCCCGCCTCTCCGTCGTCGTTTCTCTCCCCACCATGTTTTGTTTTTCTGAATGAGCTGCTCTCTCCCTGCTCAGGCCTCTATCCAGACTGCCCAGAAGGCCCCTTTCCTGGAAACGGAGCCTAGCAGGGGCCACTCAGGGGCAAGGGAGGAGCTGAAGGCTGCTTCCTGCAAATCACATGACTGAAGACTGCATTTATTCCCTGCCATGCTTGCATGAAACTGTACAGGGTGTCTGAAAAAAAAAGCTGGTATGTGTCTGGGAGTGTGCTATATGTGGCCAGACAATTTATTTGAATAAATGCAGCTGTTTGTATTCTGTCCTGGTTCCCGGCCCCATATCAAAAGGCAAACTGCATTAGATAATAAAAAAAAAATGTTTTTCATCTTTGTGGAACAATTCAAGACATGTCAGAACTACTAAACATAAAAATGTGTTTGAGGTGAAACAGTCTTTTCTAAAATAATTATAATTGTTTGATTCAAATTAATTTTTTAAACTGGAATTCAAAGCCAAAGATGCATACATTTTTGCAAAAAAAGGGAAGAAATGCATTTCTGTATACAAAAAAAAAACAAAAAACCGAGCACAGTATGCATCACTCTTGCAGACATTCTCTACATTTTCATAACGGAGTCATATTTTTACAGTGAGCTAAATTCTGTGCTGTGTTTGCAGCTGTTTCCTGTGCTTTTCTATGACCTTGGGTGACAGAAGGTAAATGAAATATCACTTATATAAAGATTTGGCCTTTAATACGATATGAGTGCAAGCAATGATAACAGGACAGAAAAAACGTACATTGGAGAACTTTTATTTAGCATATTTTTTTAACATAATTGCTCACAGGAACCATTTCTAGATAACAGGGTTTCTTAGCTTTAGTTAAATTCTGTGTGCTTTACTAGGTGTGCGCAGCATAGAAATGCATAGAAAAAAAGATTAACCAGTGATAACAAGGTTACTAACAACAATTATTGTCTCACAGCTAATGAAACTACTATTTTTCCTCTATTAACTTCTAAAGATATTTTTTTGTGTTTAAGGAAAATATAGATCCAGATAAAATAGATGTTAGTGGATAATGGAATGTTGTACCCAAGGCTGATAGCTCCTTCAAAATGTGCCCAAAAATGTAGGTAGAACCATTTAACGGCTTTCAGTTGTACTTCTTGTGAACAAAATCTATACCACTTTCCATTTTTGGATGTTTTAGCTCGTAATGAATAGCCGCTAAGTTGCATGTAATGAATCTGTCCTCCAGTCAAAACCAACATTTATGTTGCTACCTGTAGAAAGTTGTATTCATCCGTAAACTTCAGAAACATTAAGTAAATATAGGCATGGTTACTGAAAGTGGAAACATTCAGTTATACAAGTAATCTCCTAGTTATCTGTTTGTCTTTATGGTTTCTCTGTGAGGAGCATTTCACACTCAACTGCTATGTTTCAAGAACTCAGAAATAGTTTTTTCAGTTTTGTACACATGCACGATTTTTAAGTTTCTCAGAATTCACCAGATGCTTATCCTGTAAAAGTTAAATTTGAGAGTATTACATAATTAACTTTAAAATATTAGCAGAAATTTTCTGTAACATGAAAAAAAACAAACAAATATACAATTTATCTGACAGGTTTTTAGTCATAATTTTGCATATTTGCAAATATAAGTAAACAAACGAAAAAAAATTCTAACAATATATAACCAGTACTCCATTTTGACTGATTTTAGTTTGCTTTATCATTTCTTATGTTTCTCATTAACAGTGGGATTTTGGCCATGTTTTCAATATTTTTAGTGCCAGATTAACGTATTTTTGTGTTTTTTGTGACAGAGTAAGTATTAATATTTACTTTATCACCATGAAAACAACAAAGAAAATGAAAAAGAATAAAACAACAGAAAATAGATTACCTACCAAAGTAATTTAAGATCATTTCATTTTATTTAGTCCTTAAATATAAAATTTCTTGGTAGAGTACAAGGCAGCATGTGAATCCATGCTTCACATTTAAAATGTGGTAAATTTATCTAACAAATTATGTCACACCTACTGTGAATGTATTGAAAAGTTTATATATATATATATATATATATATATATATATATATATATATATATATATTTCTACTGCAATGATAGCATAATGCCTTGCACTAAACATGAATTTAAATGGAAAAGCTTTCATTGTAAAATAAGATCACACATTTTCTTGATAGTTTTTGTGATCAAAGTTCAGCAAAAATAATTTCATAGATCTGGAATGCATTTTATGCATTAGTTCATATGTCTGATGCTAAACATTTGTGTTAATGCTATATCAAGCAAACCCAAATTTTCCTTGATTTATTTCAATATGAAAAGTAATTTCATGTTCCCCTTTATTTTCAGTTAGGACAGTATTCCAGATGTTTCATTAAAGTTTTTAGTATTTTATGTGAAATGATTTTTCAGCGACCTTAAATATAAATTATGAGAGAATCTGTTAAAATTATATTTACCTACACATGTGTATGTATGTATACTTAGAATATTTAAAGCCCAGATCAACAGAATACAGAATATAAAATTTGAATTTTCTTACAAGACATATTTCAATTAACTCTAATTTTATACATACAATTGACTATCATTATTACTACCATTATTTATACTTTTTTAGTAATAAATCAACAAATGTTGCAAACGAATCAGAATTGCCAATGTTGATTACCATAAATAATTGCTTTAAAAGACGCATACTAGATTTTGTTTGGTTGAGTTTTGCAGAAATAGCGTTTCCCAAGCATGTATCTATACTGAACTTTTTAGCTGTCTGAAAGCAAGCAACATGACTGTTTCTATGCAGTCCATCCCGATGCAAACAAAAAATTTTATAACAGTTGCAAATTTGACTGGAGCTCTTATTGCATTGACTATGCATACACAGACGCCCAAAAGTGCATGAAACAGGAAAAACATTGGCTAATAAGTAATATAGCTTTGGAAATTCTTAATAAGCCTCAACTAAAAGAGAAAACTCCCTGTAAAATGTAAAGTGGGCTTTCTTCTTAGGGGTGAAAGCCACTACACACCAAAATATATTGCTTTTTTTGTAATATTGCTGTTGTTTGATGATGCTCACTTTGACTTGCATCCTAAAACTGCAGTTTAGCCCGTATCAGAGTACATGTGAGCGCGGAGTGAATGTGAGACTTAAGCCCCTTTAGTTCCTGAACATCTCTGGCTCCCCTGAATCAGCAGAGCCTCAGCACCAGCTGTCTCGCTCTAAAGCTCTTAGCTCTTAGGAGGAAACTGCAAAGGTTACAAGGAGAGAGGGGACAGCAGACAGGGAGACTTGAAATTAAGGGGCAGAAAGAAACTTAACGTGTTTGTTTTTTTAACAGTGATTCATGGCACTTGACACCATCTGACTGCTCTAAGCAATGCAGGCGTGTGCTGTGACGTGTCAGTTCACTTCTGAAAAGCCAGGATCCTTTAATCCCAGGTCACATGACAGAATCCCATCACTCATGCCTACTGAAGCTCAAAGAAAGTCGACAACAAACTTTTTGATTGCGTGCCAGAATTTGAGTTTTGACCAACTACTAGCATTATGGTTTTTTTTTTATTTCAAACTATAGCTTGGTTTTGTGGTACAGGAATAGACTTGTTTGTGACCACGTCCAGAAGCAGCAGGAACTGACTCTAAATCTTTCCTTGTGCTAGTAATCCTACTCAAACTACTTCGTACTCCCAGTCTAACCTTTCAACCTTTCTCCAGCTCCACTTTTCAAAAAGTTTTCCTTTAACAGGCAACAACATTGTACGCATAGTTGTACATACCGTTCCCTGCCCCGGCTCTGTACGTGTTTTCTTTCAGCGTGAGACCTGACCTGTAGTTTGGAGCCACATTTTTATAGCCCAATACTGTCTCTACGAAACACAAAGAAAGACATTATGAAGGAAACCGGAGGTTAATAACAAAGTAGTCAAGGAGATGGTAAGATTATAACAAGAGATTTATGTAAAGGTGAAAATAAGCCTTTTCTTCAGATGGAAAGACCAAGGACACATCGGGGTACTCCTTGAAAAAGTCAAACCCCATGGACCTTCTTAATTGCTTAGTTTTTCCACAATTTCCCTAGCAAAGCCAAATCCGGCTCCATTCCTCATGCATCTGAGTAAGTTAGTTTAGAGCAGTAAAATATAAATGTGTTTGACTGGTGATTTTATTATCAAGCTTAAACATTTTCAATATTATATCTGGGTGACATCATGCAGCAGCGTGGCCTTTACTGTGGCTGGGGCACCAAGGACAGGGGACACCGTTCAGACACAGGTACCCTCTGTAGGATGGTTAATACAGATCAGTAACACCATACCTACGTCTCTGAAAGGTTATCTTGTGATAATCCTAAAAATCTGAGACTACAAGTACTATAAGTATTACAATCCTTTTCAAGGCTGTCAAAAAGACTGAATAAAACAGGTCTGATTGATTCAAACTAGGAGAGTCATCTGGTAATTGTCCACTAATTACTGTACTGGTAAATGATATATTGCAATAAGTGAGAAAGTTCTAGTAAAATGGTATGGATTTAAAGTATTCAACAGTCAATTTTGTCTGATCCATCCACCACCTTTGCATGTTCTTAGTAGAAATCAGGACTGGTTTCCAAGATTTCTCTTTTAAAAACTTAAATGACCAGCCCAAAAAGGAAAAAATGTTCCTGAGTGTTTGAATAACATTCAAAGTATACACGCCAATTTAGATTCAATACAATGAATACACAAAGTTAATCTTAAATTTTCCACAGAAAGAAAATATGTCAACAATAATACACAGAAAATGCAAAGTTTGGACCAAATGTCTCCTTAACTGAGACAGGCAACAAGAAAATCATTCCAAGAATGATGTTTACGGAACCTGCTGACACTTAACATCAGAAAGAAATCACCCCAAGGGAAAGTTAAAGATCCACCTAGGGTGTTCCATGAAGCTGGATTTCTCAGTTAGCTGGGTTAGCTTAAGCTGTAAATCACGATTGTCCAATAGGAAAGCTTAAATTAACCCAGGTAAGTGAGAAATCCTGCTTCGTGGATCAGCCCCCTGGATAGGTATCCATAAAAAACAACAGGAAATATCTTATATGCAGTAAACAGGCGTGCTGTTGGGTAATTCTGTAAATATTACCAGGATTTTCACTTTCATTTTCGTTAAACTTAAGTAAATAATGGTGGTTTTACAAATCCGTTTATTTCAATATTTCAAATCAGGACATCCGTAATCTTAATTTCATGTAACACGTCCAAAATAAGTAAAATTTTGTGTAAAACGCCGAACTGTGATAGGAGCCATTCGAATATACTACATATGGCTTCATCTTACACTGTGAAATCATATCGTCAAACCACCGACTGTATATTTTCGTCCTTGCAGCACACAAAATGGTGATCAGTTTGTCAATACATTCCCGTTGCGTCATCGCACGCAGGTCTGGCAGTGAAACTTGACAAAAACCCCGCTTGCAAACTGCATGCCGAGTAAACCAAATTTAAACGCACGTAGGTTGCATTTTAACGTCACCCACATTTTGTTTTGTAATACATGATGCTATATCCTGAACAGGTTGAGCTGCGGGTTGCAGGTATAATTTCATGCACTGACGCGTGTAAAGCAGCCAGGGTTAGACTCCCGCAACAAAGCGGTGGAATGTGTTTAATGCCAAGCGTAAGGAGCGGAGAATGCCCAGGAAACGCCCACTTGTGGGCCATCCAATCCGCGTTTAGCGTCAGTTTCAAGGCGCCCCCCAGATCTCCAGAAAGCCCGAAAACAAAGCGCCGAATACCCCCCAAATGCTCACCTTTTCGATCGCACTGACCCGCGGTGCCCCGCACGTCGAAGGAGGGGCTCTGCACTCTGCCGCCCAGTTTCTCTTTGCCTCCACTGCGAGCCCATTCGCGCTGGGGTTGTTTATCAGTAGTAAGGGGAACTTGAAACCGCCTACCCCCTCCCACCCACCCACCCCCTTGCCCCATTTCCTCGGTTGTTTTGCTTTTTTCGCCTGAATTCTCCATGTTGGAGCAATAGCGAGGTCTTTCATAACGACGGGGGGGAATGTACACAAATATACTGCTGGCGAAGACAACGCTAGAAAGGAACAAGACGATCACCTCGGCGCCCCTCGGCCACGTGAACCAGAAATTTAGGCAACAAGAGAAATAACAGCAAAACGGACTCCTTGCACTATAGCACGACTGCATATACATATTGCAAGCGCTCGCTTTTAGGGGGGACAGATTGGATGCTGTCGGACTGTGCATTTGTTAGATGGAAAGTTCTATTATCACCCAAGTACACAAAGAGGACCCTCAACTGCAGTCGAAACCAGGTAAGCCGAGCGTGCCAGCGATCCGCCGCTGGCTTCCTGGCTGGGATCGCTTCTCTTTGGCGCTGTTTGCAGAAACGATGCAGCGAAGAGACGCCCGATCGGACGCCACTTGCAAAAAAAAAAACCCGTTTTTTTTTGGTGGTGTGTTCAGTAGCATTTGTATTTTTTTCCTGTCTGCTTGTCCCGATCTTTACTCTAGAAAGCCAGCCAATCGATCAGTTTTTTTTTTTACTTAGGGATCCCGTTTAATATGTGCAGAGCGGGAAAAACACCGGGAAGCATTACTACCATAAATATTGTGTGATTGTGAAGCCATTCCGTGGTCAGCTAGCTGTCTGTGCTCGATGCTGTAGTGTAAATAATTATCACCGTGAAGTCCGCGTGCCCGAAGTGCAGACCTCTTGCATTTCGTCGCTTGGCGGTTTTTTTCCTCAAGAATTAGTCCTGTCAAGGGCATTGCCAATGCGGTTATTTTCCTTTGAAAATAAAATTCAGTGGTTTGTTAATTAGTAACCTTGTTTGCTAGATTTTTTTGTTACAGCAGCCAGCCTAAAAGGCGTTGCAAAGTGGGGTTCCGGGCTTATTTGCGGTGTTGGACGTTGCAACTTTAAAACCTTTTCAGCTACACGTGGCAATGGTTGATAGTGAATCACTTCTTATCTCATTAAATCTTACACGTTTTTGACAGTGTATATTTTTTGTTGTTATATACGAAGCTTCAGCTGTATGAACCGACATAAACCAGGAGCCATCCTCCATTAATTCAAGACTTTTCTTTTTCAAGGATGGCACAGAATGTCGATATTTGTTTTCATTTATCTTTTTTGGGGGAGTGGTGGGGTTTAAAGGACATTGGACAATGTTTTTATTTAAATCCATCTTAAACAGGAAAAGGAAACCAAATGTTCCAAAAGGAAGCCGTGATCTTTGTAGTGTAAACGTAGGAGGAAGCATTAACTAATAGACATTGTCCACAAATTTTAAAGTCGTAATAGGGCATATTAGATGAGAGAACTTTCAAAGAATTGAGTAGAAATTAATATACACCTGTATTTGCTTGTATTTATTTAACTATCTGTCTGTATTGCAACATTATTAGTAATTTAAAATGGATATTCATTTTGTCGTTTGGCATTTTAAGGAGGTCTGAAAAAACGTTATAACATTTTCCCTTATTGAATGAGATAAATTGATCCTGTTAAGTAGCTTCCAACACTGATGGTACCTCTATAGGGGTTTAGAACATAATAAATGTGACTCTGGTCAATAATAGGTTAGGATTTGCATACTTTTACATGCAAGCTGATTATAAATTGTCTTGCTGGCTAATCAGAACCAATGGGTTTGAGTGACTTATTGAAATTATAGATTCTTTTTCATGGAATATTGGATGACTGGGGTGCTTGTAACTTAATGCAGAGTCAGTTTACTTCCAGTGACCCTGTGGAGTTGTATGACTGTCCATGTAAGAGTTCATGCTATACAGCATCCTGGACGTGATGCTTTTTAGGCACAGCGTGTAGATTCCTGTGAGCACCTGGGGCTCCCACCACTGTTACTGTCTTGGCTTAGATTTTTCTCCTCACTCTGAACCACAGAAGATCAGTAAGACCTGGTAGTGGTCTCCATACTTATTTGCAACACCTAACACATTCAAACTTCCTCTGGCTTGTAGTAAGTTGAAAAAGATGTGCTCCCAGGATTGTGGTAAATGCACATCAGTTAATCGATTATCTGCTTGGTGGCCTCACCAGGTTGTCGTCTGTGCTCTGATGGCCCCCTGAGTCACATGCCTGCAGCAATAAGACACTGAACGATCGTGTCTCCAGCACTTTGCTCTGACACCGAATTATCCCTTGACTGTCTGGCTGGAGTCCAGTGTTTTCGCTCAGCTGGCCGAAGCGCCTCACTGTCTCTGACTCTCTCCCTCCGTGTCAGTTCACATGCTTACGTAGCGTCTGCCAAAGTGGTGTGGCACGGCACTGGGCACATTTTGTGTGGATTTCATCTCCCATTCCTGACAAGCGCTACTCACACTGAGAGACTGATGGAAGTCCAACATCACAGCTGCTCTCGTCTCTGATGTCTATACATTCACTTGACTGTGCATGTTGGGCTAAGAAACAAACTCAAGTGCGATGAAAATACATGTGCAGACTGAAGGGTTGCATTCCCGGGGAGAGCAATCTTATCCGCAAAGGGCCGTTGTGTACGCAGGTTTTTGGGATAGCCGTCCAAACCCAGATGTGAGGACTCTTCAGCCAATCAATCCTCTGATTAGTAATCTAATTAGGGAGTTGCAATGAAAATGTGCATACCAAACGGCCCTTTCTGGGTAAGACTGCCCATCCCTGCTGTAAAGACTATAATATATTCCTATTCACGACTGGTTACAAGCTACTGCCAGGATATGCATGTATTTAAATCCCTTTCTACGACTGTACAATCATATATTTACTGTATTCCATGTTCATGCTTGAGGTAAAAAGGCCCTTTGAAATAGAAGCACATAAGATGTTTTGTTTGGGTCCCCAATATGGATTTGTTCTGAAGAGCTAAACTGTTTTCAAAGCTTGCTGTAGATAATAATCGAATTCCAGCTGTCACCATTCTCCTGAAAATTAACGCAGGGAGGGGCAATCCTGCTTTTGGCTTCTTCTCTGCACTTGAAAAACCATTTGGAATGAATGCTGGGTAAAATTTAAGGAAGGATACTTTTCACTGGGCCCCACAATCTCCTTGCTGCCAGTTGTATGTTTTGTTCTTAATATCATTCTTAATATTGTTTTCCTGGGTTGTTCTCAGTGAAGCATACTGTGAGAATGCTTGTGGTGTCTTTTTTTTTTCCTTTTGCAACATTATAAACAGTGAAATATGTGGATTTTAAGTGATGTCCAAGGTAAATTGCATTTTTACAGTACTCTGCATTGGGTTTTAACCCCACCTTGGTTGGATCATTTACTCAACCTCTGTTTCTTCATCAAAGTTACAGTTTGAAGAACAAATTACATTTGTCTGATAATTTACATCTAAAATTTATCATTGTTATTATTTTTGTCAAACCTGCTGTAGGGTCTTTTTCAGGAGAATAGGGAGCTGTGCTCATTTCTGATGGGATGGGTTCAGATCCCATGAGTGGCTGGGTGATCATATGACTGTTGGGTTCTTGATCAAGGCCTTAACTCCAGCTGCTGCAGGGGTGCTGCACGCTGCTCTTTGATGCCAGGACTTGCTCTCACCTGTATATACAGGTGTGTCTGTATCTCATTTTCTTTCCATAAGTCCTTACCATGAAAGTCAACATTGCGCTCTTCACATCTAAACAGGGATGTGCAGAATGCTGGCCCTTAATCTGTTGTTGTTTTCCGTCGGTCCTGGTTTATCAGCATTTAATGATACTAGTTTCACCTTTTCATGAATCACAACGTTTAAAAGGGTTCTTTCTGTAACCTGCTATGTACCAAATCTCCTTGTTTGACATGAAGTCACTTAAGCTTGAGGGTCTTGTGGCTAAAACACCTGCAGTCTGTCCAGTCTGCAGTCTTTGTAGATCGATATCAGCTGTAAATTACACTATCTATGGTCTCCCATGATCATCACTCTTTAGATTATGATGGAAAAGTAAGAAATGTATAAAAGAGTAATGCAATTCAGGCAGACAATTCACCAAAAAAGTATCAAAACCAGCCTTTAGAACCTCTCACTGACTCTATTGCTCATGTTGGTTAATTTGGTTAATATCCCTAATGCATACATTCATGAACCATCCCCTTAAAAGAATACTACGTCATGTTCAGTCACGTTCCTCCGACTTGTTCCGGCTAACGTTAGTCCGCGTTCACTCAAAGCAAAGCTGGCAGCATGGATGACACAAGAAATGGGTCTCAGCCCAAACAGCTTCTACCTAAAAAGAATACCGTGTCTGTCGTTTGGCCACATTTTATCTTCGGTGAAGATGAAGGTTTTGAATCTGCTCCTGTGTTGAGAGTCTGCATGTGCATGTGCTTATATTTTGTTATTTACATTTTTTTGGGGTTTCTTTAGGTATGATACAAATTGCAATGCCTCTTATCGAATCTGTTCTTAAAAGTGGTTGGGTGGACTGATAAAAGCAACTGTTGAGAAACAACTCATGATGTAGAAGGCTAAAGTATTTGTTGCTTAATCCCCCCCGCAGTCCAAAGACATACAGTTAGGCTAAATGGGGTTTTTGAATTACCCATAATGCATTAGTGCCTGAGTGAGTGAGTGCCATGTATGTGCTGTGCAGCGGTCCGTCCCATTCAGGGTGTGCCCCACCCTTATGCTGCCTGACATTGGTTTCTCTTCCATTTGCGATCTTCACCAGGATAAGCAATTAGAGCATTTATGTATAGATTTTTTTTTTCCCCCAGTGTGCCATAATTTCTGCAAAAAACTTCTAGTATTTTTGGGATTCCGGTACAGCTTTGAAGTGACCGTCTGCTAAACCCCTCCTTTCCTTTTTCTGTTTGTGAAAGTTGCAGATTGAGTGGTAAATGTTTGCTATGTAAATGGCACGTCTCAAATTTCGTTTCCCTCCATAACCGAAAGTAGCGCATTCAGAGTCGAGTACATCAACTCCAGTCACTCAGGAAGTTTCTGTGGCAAAACACCTAGTCTGGCATATTGTACGTTTTTTTTTTAGTTAATATTGTAGATTTTTTGCTCACCTTCCCTTCCTGAACAAATAAAGCCAGACTGACTGGTTGCCCCTGGAGGCATGTTTGAGTTAAAAATGCGGAAGCCATCTAAGGTGGTGGAAAAATAGATGTCAATGGGAACGTCGATCCGTCAGCTAAAATGTGGCATTCAGATGTCAACCATGTGATATCTGCGCAGTCGTAGATGTTTCTCAGTGCTCTGACTGTTGCTGGAGAACGTGTCTGGATCAACCGTCGATTCTTGGTCAGAAATGGAGATTAAATTAATTTTGATTGAGTCAAGGATCTTGCTGAATACCACCAGCGCAATCAGTCCTTCAGCCATAAGTCCAGGTATTTTCTTTACTAATACATTTATTTTTAAACTAGTTTTTTTTGAGGAACTTTCTTTATCTGTCTAACTTTAGTAAACTAGTATGTTCAAGGATTACTGGTTCTTAAAGCAAGAGCCCAACATGTTTTCCTTTCTAGTAAGTGAATAAACTGTGTGTGGGCACTGTGGAGAATGTGGACCAAGCAATTTTGGGTGAGTTAATTTTCATAGTTAGTGGTGATTTCCACCACTGTTTCAGGAGACAGTTTCCTCCTGATGTCAGCTTGTTTTGAGTAGTGTGTTTTAATTGACATGAAAGACCCAGACAAAAGTAATATATGATGAAATTTTATGATGGTCATGGAAATAATTGCCCTGGTGTTCATGTAGAGTGCCCACAGCTAATGGGGTCTGAGGTGCCCATTCCTTGGGAATCTGCACTTCCTGGCTGGTGGAAAGCTCAGGGAATCTCTGAAAAAAGGTACTCTTCATCTGCCATCACTGAGAGGCGAGCATTCAGGGCCTACTTTGAGGTGTCATGCATTCCAGTGTGTGTGGTCTTCAGAGTGGAAATCTAGCTCATTGTGAAGTGTCCTATTTCTCAACTTGCCAATTTTTGAATGATTATTATTAGTCTGTCAGTGTTGCAATGTTGAACGTCTTGGATGCCATTCTTGGTTTCATTTAAATTCAGCTCTCCTGTCTTGGTTAACTTGACTAGCTATCTGCATTGTTCATTCCTTTTAATTGTCTAATATTTACACTACATTTTTGTAGGCATGTCTCTGTGGGTGTGTGCGACTGTGATTATCCACTTGACTTCCGTGTGGGGCCTGTCCCTCTGTCCGGCTGTGATTATCCACTTGACTTCCGTGTGGGGCCTGTCCCTCTGTCTGGCTGTGATTATCCACTTGTCTTCTGTGTTAGGTATGTCCTTCTCTCCGACTATGATTATTGACTTCCATGTGGGGTCTGTCCAGTTGTAATTATCCAATTTTCTTCCTTGTGAGGTCTTTTCCTTTGTCCAGCTGTGTTTATCCATTTGTCTTCCGTGTGGCGTGAGTCCCTCTGTCCGGCTGTGATTGTCCACTTGTCTTCCAGTCCTTGTTACTTCTCTGTGGTGAGACTACAATAAATATTTAATGCATGTTCCCTGTGGTCATATTCCTGTCTTTCTGTAGAAGGAGAACCATGGGTGTGTAATTTCTTGGCTTTGCATAAAATTATACTTAATAATTGGCATTTCCAAGAAGCTGCTGCTATTCCGTCATGACTTATGTATTCTGAATATGTGGTTGCATGGGAAGAATTTGCTTCCTAACTATGAGTACATTTCAAGTGTGTTATGCTCGTTAGAGGGGAAACCCTTCAGTATTTGTGAACGTGTCTACCCTTCATCAGGGATTTCTATCACGCTCGGGTCGTCTGAGGCGTAGATGAAGCAAAACGAGTGGCCTCGCTGACCCCCTCCCCCCTCCTCCCCCAGGGCGTCGGCTCAAGACCAGTGTCTGGGTTACAGTAGGTGGTCTGTGAGCATGGGACCAGATGGCTCTGAGCTTTGCTCAAGAGAGGCACCAGAAAGGGAGGCACCCACCACAGTCGGGTGGGGGTGGGGGGGGGCAAGATGAGTGTAACAGCACTGACTGTATGAGGCTCAGTGGTCAGGACTTATCTCCCACATGGTACATTCAGATACACAGAAAACTTTATTAATCCTGAAGGTAGTTTCATGGGAGAAACATGAAAACAGTGTTAAGGTGCAGCCCCCTCACTGGGTGTGACAGGCGAAACGGCTCTCGTCTAGACGATCTTTATTTAGTATTCTGCTAAACCTTCAAAAAAGGTACTTTGGTTTGTCTATCTTGTGTTTTTTTAAAAAAACACAACTTTTTTTTTTATTATTACATTATACTGCTGAATTGCCAGATTTTACTGAGCTCCCATGTTAAAAGAGCAACACAGTAAGTGAATGAATGTTTGCATTATGGTAAACCATGGGTTTTTGTCTCTAATTTCAATAAAAATAGTATCAAAACATTTGGGAAAGTAAACCATTTAAATCAGTTTAATATTATGTTTCAGCTTGAATTTCGATAATTACTTATATCAGAATAAACATCTGTACGCAGCAGTGATGGTTACTGTGAAGTAGCTGATAATATTTAACCATAACTGAGTGCTCTGTTACTAATGTTTGCCTCAAAAACAAAACTGTGTAGGGATACTAGTTACTGTCATTAAGGTGCATGTGACATTGCTGTCACGTTAGGTGGGTGATCAGGAATAACCACAAGAAGACAGCGTTGGCTTTTCATATGTGCTCCTGTTTTTCACTATAGATAATTATAGAGCCTTAGGACTTTGTCACTTGGGGAAACGAAACTGAAAAACAGCAAATCTCACAAACTCAAAACCAGTCAATGACATCTGAAACCAGCTAAATTGTTTAATATTTGCAACATAGCATGCAAAATATTGATTCTCCCATTGATGACCCAAAATACTTTCTGGTTTAATTTGTGGTTAATTTAGTCTCAGTTGTGCATTTTTAAATCTTCAGTCGCTTGTGTATATCTTTGATTGTTTGATATTTTTTAATGTGCTTTAGAAAGCGATGTATTAACAAGAGGTGGAAGTCCAGCTCTTGGAGCCAGAGTTGTGCCTAAATATACAGTCTAATAATCCCCAGTGAGGCATTAATGTCTGTAGCTAGTGCATTGTCAGCCTATTAATGTGATCCGCACTCAGCTGAGTGTAGATTAATGGCTCTGACAAAAACTCCAACTGGCTGATTATAAAGTTAATAATAAAGTTGGCTCATCCTTAAATTCTTTCATGCCCGTGGGAAGCCTGAGCCACAGTCCTTTAGAAATAATCTTTCAACGGATTAGCTAGATGGCAACCCTGTATCCTTTTCCAGTGAATTAATAAATTAAAATGGATTTTAAGCTCTCCAATACTGGGAAACTGGGGAAATTAATATGTGATACATCCTGAGAACTTCCATGTATGAAAAATGGCATGAATTGTAATGCTACTTTCTACACGTTTTGGTAAAACTTTGGGTACAGCCGCGGATGAATGAAATGGCAATTCAAAAATGAGAATATCACACGTAGCCTTAAAATGGGCCCAAATAGTATACAGTTTCGATTTGTAGTATTCACTACTAAGCATACTTATTTATATGCGAACTCCTAGTGGAGTTTAGGAAATGTTTCCGGCGATTGTCTTTAGTTTTTTTTTTCCCCCTGTAACTTGTCTGTCTCTGTCTGATTTTTGCTTTTGAGATCAGCCCAGTCCTTCTTTACCTCTATATCTTGGTATTCCACTAGCACAACAATAAGATAAGCTGATGAATTCACAAAGTAAAGTGGGGTTTGCATTTTTTTTTTTTGGCTGCCAAAAACAGTTATTCTCTGAACTTTGACCTTTAAGGCTCGGCTTGCTTCTGACGGTAAACTTGACCTTTACTTAATACTCTTACCAAGAGGCATCAAGTTTATTTTTGTCTTTGGGAATAATATATGCATATGACTGTAGTCGGCATTTGGGACTGGGGATACTAGCACTGTAACATGTAAACAATGCATTTCTGGCCTGCCTGTAACAACAGGTCATCCCCTTCACTTCCACAGGCCAAGTGAGCAAGTCTTCCCCCAAAAAGCCCCGGAGCAGGAATATCTTCAAAGCGCTCTTCTGCTGCCTCCGAGCACAGGATGCCCCTCCGTCATTGCCTCCAGCCCAGGATACTCTACTGCCACCTGAGAACAATGGAACTGTTGCCAAGGTAACAGCGTTGTTCCTGTTCATTGCTGATGTAAGATGTTATCAGGACGGAGTTTCTGTTGTAATCTTTAAATAACTTAAAATGAATGTGTGGTCACTCATGTGGCAGTGTATGCTGGCTTATGTTTACTTCACGTCACGCGATTTTAGCCGCGATTTGTCGCTCAGCGACAGATTTAGGAGATCGCCAACAAAACCCTGAAATTGGAGGCTAATCGGTGTTCGATTGGTACTGGCAAATCGGCACTGGATCCCTCTGCTCTGTGTGAACTGTTCATGACGTAATCCGACGGAGTCGCCGACGCATCACAGACTTTTCAGCTCCTCCTTATCCCACAGGTGTGAAAAGTGTCGCGGCTGGCAATGAGCTACAGCCAATGAGCGCACAAGAGACGGGGCAGGTGTAAGAAGGTTCAGAAACTGATCTTGGTGTTCAGGGATGGAAAATATGATTTACGACCAGCTCTCTGGCCAGTCAGAATTGTACGCTGTATGAGAATTTTGGTCATGGAAATAGCTGTGCGGCATCTGTGTCAAGAATCTCATCTGGCATCACGCTCTCAGTCTGTTTCTTTGTCGCAGGCGGTCAGTATTCAGTACACTAGTGCTCGCAATCTCCAAGACCTACATATTTCTATGAATTTATACTTTATTGTGTGACCCATCGTAATGTATATTAGAGCTGACTTCCTCTGTTCTGTTTATTGTACAGTACACTACCGTATAAACATTTATAAATATATAAAAAATGTTATAAACTGTGCAAAGGTGACATTAAAACAATATCTAAAGATGGTTGACACAAACCCGCTACCTGTACAGTGTGTTTGGAGGTGAATCCTCTCTAATCGGCCAATTCTCGTAACAACCTAATCGTATGAACAGAACTCTAAGTGAGGAGTGTGTGTATACACAGACACACTCGTATCATATGTACATGCATACCAATATATAAATAAATAAAATAACGCGCGCACCCCCCACCCCCCCCCATAGCCAGGATTCTTAAGATGCTGAGGTCGAATCCTAGGTGTGTCCCCATAATGGATCATGGTTATTGGAGTTGCAGGGAAAATAGTGAGGACTTGACCTTGATGTCCTCAATGGTAGGCATGGACGTATATGTATACACACACACACACACACACACACACATATAAATGTATATACACGTGTGATTTCATGACAAAACATACTTTGGAGATCAGACAGACTCAGTGATTCCTCCTGGTGAACGATTTTGTAGTGTGTGACCTGTTGTTGATCAGTCATGTAGTGTGTAAACTGCAATGACTAACGACTCTTGACTACAAGACGACAGGACATGTAGTGTGAAGGGTATAGTGATGCGATGACTTTAAATGTCATGCATTATGAACTTCAACATTAAGTAGCCTTCCTGGTTGAATCTTCGTGTTGTTTATGCTTGGATGCCGCCACCCGTGTCTCATGTCTTGGCTAATTAATCACACATGAAGTTTGAATAAGTAAAGTAAAATAACTGAATGAATAAATAAAGTAAAGCTGAGATTTTCTCTATTCTGTCGTGGGAAATCTTTGAATACCACTGGAGACCAGGGTGTTGAATCGCAGCATTATTAGAAACAACGATGGCCGTTTTGTAACTAAGTGTGTCATGTTGAGTCAGGAGGCCTCTTCGGGTGAGAGATACAATCTAATGCTACCCAGTAAGTCATCTGAAAGGTCAAAACTCTAAATGCATTTGTTAGCAAAGCCAACCCAGAGAATGGGAAACTGTGAACAGAGGATGCAACAAACCATGAAAGACCCGAGGGAGACACTCATCCTGATGCTATGGGCCCTCAGGTGGGACGCAGCGGCAGATCAGTTTTTCACGATTTTCATTGGTAATGTCTACCATATACCGGTTCATCTGCTATACCAGTTTTAATTTCGCACAGTGTGGATTTTTTCATATACCGCGGCATTGCTGAAACACCAGCTGTAATGCTTCAATGGGCAGCAATTATACAATATTGTTTGGTGCTATAGAACTGCTATAGATCGCTGTGCTGCGCGTACTGAGAGGGGACTCCTGTTAACTGTGTGTACCCCCTTCTTATTAACAATTATAACTTTATAGCACAATAATTATCCATATAAAACTGTTCATCACTATAGTATTTATAGCTACTGCTTCTATCTGTGCCTGAAAATTTGGATTATGTGTAAAATATATATATATATATCAGTATCAGTAAAGCAAAATCCCTGATATTATCGATTTATTACTGTAATAATCATTAATCATGCCGCTTAAGCAAACGTGTTGTTACTAAGCTAAATATATGGTAATAACATGTCTAGCTAAATGTGCAACATTAATGTTAAACAATTCTTATCAAGCTATGTTCACGGTTATAATCAATATAACATTGCTGTTGAGCTCAATAGACATTAATAATGTAATAAAACGTGCCCGTGATAGTATCAAACTACATGTAAATGATTTTTATGATGATGAATAAATATTTATGAAATGTATTTTATTGATGTAAATGCTTGCTGCCACGGTAACAGTGAACTGGGGGGGGGGAATAATCCTGATGCCAGGAAGCCACCAGAATCTTAGAAATACAGTGATACAGATTTTTGGTCACACCCAGCACTAAGTCGATGGGTGAGGAATTTACACAGATTTTGGCTGAGGAGCCAGTTAACCTCACAAAATGGTTCCTGTCTTCCTCTCAGCAGCTTGCAAGTTCTTCCTGTTCTGTAATTCATAGGATTCTCCACCTGAGTAAGGTGATGTGAAATGGCGGGGAGAAGGGACCGCTCAAGCGACCGGCCCGCAGTAGTAAAGTCAAATCATATTTACTGATATACTACATTTCAAAACAACAGATATTCTGCCAAAGTGCTGCACATCAAAATAATACACTAATAAAATAAATAAAATGCATGATACAAGCAGACACATTGGACAATGTTACCCAAAAGATAAAATTAAGATAAGAGAACCAAAGGACAGAGAGCAAAAGTAGGATTTACTTTTAAAGGTGACACGCATAAGTGTGAACTGCTTCACTGTGGCTTTTGCACTGTGTGTGTAACCCCTCTGAAAAGGTGTGTGATTTAAAAGCTGTATGTGTGGGTATAATACGCTGGAGGGGGCATTTCAGCTGAGAGCAGGATGTAGAGGGAGACATTTTAGAGCGCGCTGCCTGTGCATGTAGCGGGGGGGGGGGGGTGGTAGACATAAGGAAGAATCCAGCTTTGCGCATGGAACCTAAGCTGCTGTTATGTAACTGGGATCTGTTTGTTTTTTTTGCAAGGCTGTCCTTTTTGTTCTAGATTTTAAAGAATATATGCCATCTAAAAACTCTTCTGGGTGATGTGGGAGGACCGTGTGCTCCTACTTAAAAACCACATATAAAATGTTTGATTATTATAAAGAAGATCTTTTTGCTATAAAGCATGTGGAATTTTTAATATGGGGGAAGGGCCAGCACACTTACTAAGAGACCCAAAGAACTGCTCAAACGTGCCAGTGAATGCATGTCTTACAGTGACAGGTGACTTGGCCTTAGGGTGCTTTTCCACTGCACCAGGCACTGTACTTTTGGCACTTCAGTAAAGTACCAAAAGTATGGTACTGGTAGGTGTTGGTACCGGCACTGATTTTCTGACTGTTTTTTGAGATTTCAACAGTGGAAAAGGGAAAGTGCCGAAAGTACTGTACCAAAAGTAACGGTACCTGGTGCAGTGGAAAAGCACCCTTGGATGTAAAAGGGGTTCGTGGCTCTGGCTGCCGGCGAGACGCCTGGAGTTGGTGCTTTCTGTGGCAGGAGGAGAAGCGATTTGACCTCATCACTCTGCATTTGTTAAGGTCCCGGGAACCTGCCTGCTGCCCGAGATGACCCCCCAGGACCAGGGCAAGATATGTGTGGTCATCGACCTGGACGAGACGCTGGTGCACAGCTCCTTCAAGGTATTGCAGCATTCTTCCTTTGTCGTGACTCATCTCAGATCTTGGGCTCATAGACAGGCTTGTTTTGGAGGTTCTAACCTTGTGCTGTTTCTCTGCGCTCTGTAGCCAGTCAGCAACGCTGACTTCATCGTGCCTGTGGAGATTGAGGGAACAACGCACCAGGTAGAGCTTCTGCAGTGGTTGAACCAAAACTTACAAAGGAACGGAAATCCATTTTAATGCCCTATAAAGTATAGTTAGTTCTAAGGGCCTAGGAGTTAGAAATTGGTTTTGTTGTTTCTTGGGGCACCAGATTTTTAATAATTGCACCGGCTTCATACCAAAATGTTAGGCGGTATGACTGTTCACCAGCTTAGTCGACGTCTGTATAAAAAATTAATCATTGGGCCACTTGCTCCCTCTACTGGTCAAATGTGGATTATTGGCTTGTATCTTTCCGTGAAGTAGTTTACAATTACAATGCACTAGCAATAAGCTAGTAAAAGCCTTTTAAGTATGCAAAATGTTGTTTAAAAATATAAGCATGTGGGGGAAAAAACATGGAGAAATGTTCTATGTGTTAGATGGGTTCTCACCAATAGAGACGGTACTTTTTTAAAATATATATATATATATATATATATAAAAAACATTTTGTCTTACATTTGGGTGTTTCATCCATTTTCTCCTGAGCTTCACCTCTGGCTTTTGCCTGGTTCAAGTAATCCAGGATAGGCTAGTTGACACCAGCACGGCCTATTCTCGATTACTTGTTTCAGGAAGAGGCCACCGTCTGCACTGATCGACTGCCTGCAATGGCTGGATATGAGGTTACATGAGAAGTATTACAACTTTGAGTTTAGTCCTGTTGAGCATGCAGCCTCATGTTTGCCGTCATCCGGAATCTAGTGACCCCACTGATCTTAATATTAACTGTAAATCACTCCCAAACATGGGCATAGGTTTAGTTTCAGCATCAGTAGGGACCAAGTGATGTCTTGTGGCAGGTGTACGTCCTGAAGAGGCCACACGTGGACGAGTTCCTGCAGAAGATGGGAGAGATGTTCGAATGTGTCCTTTTCACTGCTAGCCTGGCCAAGGTAAGATTGCTAAAATGCTACTTAGTGCCCCCAGTGTTCACTTTAAAACTCCGTATTGTAACATTTGAGAGTCGTGCTGAGTGAGTGTTGGGGTTTTTCCAACTAAGCCTCTCATCCATCCTCCCTGATACTGGCAACACTGTGTAAGACTGCAGTGCTGTAAGATTAAAGTTCTACAAAACTAATAGATAAATCTAATACAAGCTGTGAAAAACAGTCTGTATTTTCATGCATTCCATCAAAGTGTCAAATTATATGATGAATTTGATGTGTTTAAAAACATGGAACATAGTTTTTTGCTGTACATTTCCTTGGTGATCCTGAGTAGCTTGAGACCTTCACCACCTGCCAACTTAGCCCTCATTTCCATGCCTGCCCCCCTCCCCCCAGTACGCAGACCCAGTGACCGACCTGCTGGACAGAGGCGGTGTCTTTCGTACGCGGCTCCTCCGGGAGTCCTGTGTCTTCCACCAGGGCTTCTACGTCAAGGACCTGAGCCGGCTGGGGCGAGACCTGCACCGGACCCTCATCCTGGATAATTCCCCAGCATCCTACATTTTCCACCCCGAGAATGCTGTGAGTCCGGCCGGCGCAGCTCTCTGGTCACAAACACCACTAGGGCCTGTGGGAAGCCAGTCTGGGCATGAGCTCCATTGGCATGCTGTCCAACCCACCACCCCCGTAGTCTGTGCGAATAAAAAAAAAAAAAAAAGAAAAATCAGACACTTTGCTCTTAAAGTGATCACCCCCCCTCCAGGCAGCAAGGAAGTTTCCCTTCTGCCTGCTAAGTACAGAAACATCCCACATAGGTAGGATGGTCTACGTACCAGCCCACTCTCGATAAAGAGCCATTTTCACATTTTTAAAAATTCTTTATTAACAGTCTTGCTGAGTTACTTGAAACTCAGAAATAATGTATATTTTTAAAACTAACGTTTTTATTGGATTTTGACTGGATTCTGTCATTACCGCAACACCTTCTGGAATCCACAACCCAATATTTTTTGTATTTCACTGAAACTTGACATTTTTGAAATTGTCAAACCTGAAGGAACACAACATACAGATTCTACGCATGCATTTAAAAGCAAACTACTACTTTTTGATTTATTAAATTAACATTAAATGGACCCTTTTCAGAAATGAGGTTGATGGTTTCATGAGAATCACCCACCAAGGCACAGGGTGTTTATCAATGCCAAGAACGCAAAGAACGTACTTGTGTTCTTACCTCCCAAGTACGACCTTGGTTCGCAATGAATCATGGGATTGTTCTCATTGTCCTCCATACTTCTGTTCTTGAGTATTTGAATTATACTTCAGAAATGGAAGATGACATCAAAAGGGGACGCCAAAAACACAAGAACGGTCAATCAAATACATGCCGATTGATAAACTCCCCTTACCATGGCGACGGTTGCTATGCTTGGCACTTTTGGTGATGTTTTGTGCCGCGATGCGAGTGTGGGGTCTTACCCTGCATAATCGTGACATGCCGCAGAAGAGATCGGATTGATTGGCTCAGTCAGTTGGGTTTGGATTGCAGTTATAGCGCCAAGCACTGGGCCCTGAACATACACAGCGGCGGTGCCTCTGGGGATTCGTTTTGCATTCCCTTATCTATGTATTCGTGGTTTGCATATGTGGATTTCTCCCACCTCCTCCTCTCTCCCTCCTGTGCTGTTGCACTTGCTGGGTTGAACAATGACTTTTTTGTTAAGCATGTACAATAGATTAAAAGCATAAAGCTGTCAGCTGCAGAGCAGTTCTAGTGCCTTTACATTTTGTGTATTGCGTGAAAACATTGTTACTGAATGCAGTGGCCATTGATATTGTTGTTAATAGTTGTGCCATGGCAGTGGACTGAGCATCTCGGGTCCACACAGTTTGTGGTTTGAGTGTTGATGGTGCTTCCTGAACTCCTTGTTGCCCCACAGGTGCCTGTGGTGTCCTGGTTTGATGACCTGGACGACATGGAGCTGCTCAACCTTCTGCCCATCTTCGAGGAGTTGAGTGAGACAGAGGACATCTACGCCAAACTCCAGCTGCTCCGAGCCCCCTGATAGCTCTCCTTCCCAATCCTGTCCCATGTGCACCAGATCGCACTCATGAAGCTCCGGACCCCGCTGGAACAAGGGCGTCGTGTTTGCTCCCGATGACTTTGCATTGGAGTGAAATCCTGTACTGCCCGCTGTCCTCCATCTCTTATGATAGCCAATGATGTTACCTGCCAATGTCCAGGACTCACTGCCACTTACTGCTGGTTCAACAAGCCAGTGTTAAGGATCTCTGGACTTTATCGCCATGAAAAGCAAGAAATCAGCATTTTCTTTTCTTTTAAAATTTTCAGTAGTTCACACTTGCACATTACTTTAGAAAGCACTATCTTGCTGACTGAGACTTTGATTATAGCACTATCACATGGTGGACTGGATGTTGTGGTAACCAGAATGACCTTTTAATGCATCATGCTGGTCTCTGTAAGCACAACAAATGAAAGCCAGTTTTCCAGTTTTGCTCTCGGAGAACAGAAAGTCATTCTATAGCCTTAAGTAATCTCAAGGAGACACACAATGCTGAATCAGTGGGTCTTTCTGCCCAGTGAAAAGCCAGCATTACCTGACATCTGACTTGGGGGGTCCTTGGGCTCCTGGCTGTCCATCACTGTGCCTTTATTAAAAAAAAAAATCTCCGCTTAGTTACGTTCTTTCATGGATTTTTAGGTTATATATATTTTAAAATTTTGTGTATCTGGTTGTTCAGCATATGGGAAACTACACATATATTTAAAGGTTTTGTGAGGAAGAATAGCCATACAGAACCCTCTAGACTTTGTTAGGGACCATCCATGAGAGGGCTTAGACCACAGTATTATGGTTTATAGTGACCATACTTGGTTTACTCTATGCAACGACATGTATACAAGTGTTTTCAGAGAGGGGTTTTAAAACCATTGTTGCTATGCTCTTTTCCCAAAAATGTTGTGCTGTGCAGGTGATTTCAGATCTCTGCTCTAGGTGGCGATCTTGAGCTGTGTGGCTGGAGCTGCCAGTGGTAGTACTGGTTCATGTATTGGCCCACTTAGTCTGCTACCCAGATCCACCATTTCATACTGGATCCACAGAAGATCATGTCGCTTCCACCTGCTCCCACAGTAATATCAGAAATGCTTGACAGAAATTTACTGTAAAGTTACGTAAACACCTGCTGTACTATAGTATTCATGGTGCAAGTATGGTGTTTTGACTGCCGTTGACATGCATTGTTTTTTTTGTTTTTTTTTTTGTGTGATTTATCTCAACAAATTGAAAATAGAGAAGAGTCCTAGTGGTCTTTTAAGGGGGGCTTTTTGGGGGGCGGGCGGGTGGACTTGCGATCAGTAGGAAAGAGGTTTGTTTTTGCTTTTTTCCCCTTTCTTTCCTTCCTAGCTTTTGTGAGTTAAGAGCTGCCTGCTTTGTATTTCTTTGCCTTTCTGGTCCATGTAAGCACCTAGTTTTTTTTTTTCCTTTTAATTTTTAAAATATGAGCATTGAAGTGCCTGAGTTGAGTCTTCATTGTAAACTTTGACTGAGTGGGGGAAGAACTCACTTTTTTTTTTTTATAATGAAACATTTCAGACTGCAAACTTTTTAAAAATTTCAGGCCATTTCTTTCCCGTAGAGGATGCTGAGTTAACATCCATTTTTTGTCCCCCTTGCGATTTTATTGTTGCAGGTGACAATGGGTGAAATGACTGTGAAATGACCCTGTGCATTTTGCATTCCTAACTCGATTTACTCTGTACTGTCATAGTACCTGGAAGGGGTTACAGTGGCTGTATAAGCGTGTTTGTTTCCTTATGCGTGATGTCGGTCAGCCTTTTGTATAAACTGTCGCGTTTGGTGGTGGGATGTGGTGTGGGGTTTATGGATGATGTACTGCTTTGATTAAGCCAAATACAAGGTCAGTGCTGGCCAGAGTTTCACAGCTGCTCTTTATTTGGGGACCAAAATCTACCATTTTTTTTTTAATCCTAAGTAATAAGCTTCATTGTGGGTGGAGGGAAATCCTTATTAAGCCTGAAAAGACAGTGTAATAATTTGTGCTACTGCCAGTATTTTTCCTGTCCCTGAAAGTCCACTTGGGTTTTGGGTCCGATGGCTGCATTTTGCACGGGTTGGTGAAATGGCAGAGCCAGGACTGGAAAAAGAAGCGATCTGAACGGCTGCACTCTGGGAATGTTTGGGCTGCTGGAGGTGAAAGGGGGGCAGGAGACACAAACGGCTCATGTTTCTTTTTAAAAATAGGAGCCTGGGGGGTCTGTCCTTATTCCAGGCTTTTTTCCCCCCATTATTTTCGTCACTGAAGTGCTGTTTGAAGGGGCTTTGTGAGGTTCCACAGTCACGGGGGGGAGGAGCTTATTGAATGGATTTGAGGGAATTGCCACAAATTTCTTACAGAAAGCTGTTTGTTCTACTAGTATTTAATATCCAAATAAAGCAAACAAGCTTTTACCCAGCTGATTAGAGGCTCTGAAGGTATACTTAAAATGCAGGTATATATTTTTGGAGGGGAATGAATATCTTATACACTGTTGTGGTTTCAAAAGTATTTACTCCTGAACAGATATGCATCTGAATTTTGTAACCTTAATTGATAAAATTTGCGCTCGGTGGTCATTGTGTTTATGTATTTGAATTCATGATGATTGCGTACTGTTGGCAGCAGTGATCATGTTTTTGTGCAGTTTAAGTCTTGACAATCCGATGTTGGATATTTCCCTCCTCTGTGTGTGTGTAGAGTACGTGCAGAAGGTTTTCCATAATTCTAGGAATCTGTTGAGTTATGTTCAGCCACTTGTTCACTGTGACATTGCCCCAGGTGTGTTTAAAAGCAGCTGGAAATGTTTGGGCCCAGTTGTATTGCTGGTCCAAAAACTGAATACATTATCGAGGTTGAATGTTCCTGTTCAGCTTTGTATTTTCAGGGTGTGTTACCTTACCATGCACATATGTCAGTGGGGGCTGGGGACTTTGAGGAAGGCGAGACGGTCATACAGTAACTTCTTAATTTACACTCCTAATCTCCAAATGCTGTATTAAAGTATTAGGGAAGAAACTTGAAATATATATTTCTATACTGTATTTTTGGAGCTTTTGAAAAACGTTTCTGAAAATGGTAAAAAGTGGTTAAGAATAATAAACACGTTAATTAAATAGTGGTTTGTTTGATTTTGGTGTTTGCACGCAAATAAAGTGTGCGGAGTGGCCCAGTTTGGCCTCGTGGTGCCGACAGCTTTTCCTTTGTAAACCCTGCCACCATGACTTTATAAGGCAGTGGATATATTGAACCCAGCGGTTTTGCATTGACAAGACACTTTCCAAACAGCATGCAAATCCACAGAGGGTGGGACTCCAGGGGCAGCGTGGCGGACAGCCCCATTCGTCCTCAATGAGTTTGGAAACGTGCAGCATGAAGTCAGTTCTGACAGACTGCAGAGAGGAAATTTGTATGTGAACACGCCAGTTTGGCTATGAGTGGGTATGGTGTTTTTTTGTTTTTTGTTTGTTGAAAATTTTCATTCATTTTGCAGACACCAAATCACACGAGAGTCACGTTCAGCTTCATTTACAGCGTGCTGTCTGAAGTATGCGGGTCCTGCCATACATGACATAAAAAACACTATGATTGTCAGCGATAATGTCAATGCAAGTGCTGTAGCGTGCAGGCAAAATAGGGCCAGAAATACAACAATAGTTATGTTAGCATACATGTCTATTGCACAATATATGAGCAATTTGAGTATATAGTGCCTGAAACACCAGGTGAGTTGAACGACGGAGCAGGAAATGGGGAACGTCCCGCAATCCTGGTCTGCTGTGTCTTTATCCAGAATGGATACATGAGCGACCTCTGGGATCTCAAACAATCCGAATATCGTACCAGTTTGTTTTAATGTATCGCTCACTTCATGATAGCCTCATCCCTGTAATAGGCAGTGATGTTCCTAACGTTGCCTTTGGATGAAAGCTTGTAAACATGCCGTGATTTGATAGCAAAAACCCTGATGTGTCTGAAAATATTTGTTTCATTTTCATGTTTATAGTCTGGTGCCAGTGAACTATGTTTAAATATAAATCAGAAAAAAACTGTCTACAAAACTCCTGCAAATTCTTTCTGAAATACAAGGAATTAAAATGTGTAATTTTTGTAGCATTGATTTCTATTGCTGTACTAGTATGATATTGCCTGTCTTCTGCTGCTTTTGTTGCATTATGATTAATAATTGAGCAGATGAAATCAATCATTTCAGCCTAATGCATTGATGCCACTAAGTACCCCCAGCTCCCATCTCCATATAAGGCTTTAAAGAACTGATCTATCCTCATTTGCCTGCTGGGATGGAGATCTTCTTCTTCCTCATCACAGACTGCATTCTGATAGGAGAGGCCTTGCAAATGCAAATCGCAAGCAAATGCGCAAGCCTTTGGATATTGCGTCCTCAGTATGTCACGGGATCTCAGTCTCATCTGGATTCCCACCCGGGACACCGGACTCAGAGCTCGGATCCAAACCCACAAGCACCCCTTCGACAATCAGCCAGTCCAGGTACCATCCCTCTGCCGGTACCCATCTCTCATACTCACAAGCTTCCTCAACCTACTGAAAAGGTTCTTTACTCCTCGTTTTCATAATTTAATAAGTTAAGATGAAAGGATTGAGGTATTAACATTTAAAATAAAATTAAATGGTATGTTTTGACTAAATATGGCATGATTTTATGGACTGGAGGTCAATAAAAACACGAGCGCAAAGTACGAAGAGTTTTTTTTCTGTTGGAAAGATTTGTTTTTATGCCTTCAATTATTACGTGTATACACATTTTACGAGCGTTCTTTGCTAATGCGTTCTCTCCTGATATTTGTACTTTCTAGCACTGTGTTGAGCCGGACTTTTAGAGTGTAAAACTGATTAACTCAAAATTCAAAAAAAGGGAGCAACTTAACCGATTAATGCTTTGTCGTTAAGAAGACTAACCTGTGGAGGGTAAAGAGCCAGAATGGATTACATATTTCGTGCTGTAACCCGCTCTCCCGGGAACGTAATTTGGCGTATTGAGGTAATGTACTAATTGCTCATTTTGGATGATCCATGATGTGCTTGGGCTATGCTCATGGGATGATGTGGATGTATAAGTACTCTGTTTCACACATGTAGAAAATGGAACTGGTCCAGGTACCTGAAAAATCCTATGGGAACTTCTATGAAGGTGACTGCTATATCCTACTTGCGGTAAGTGTCGGACACGGAGTGCCTGAGGTGCGGGGGCATCCTCTCCATCTGTTTCAGGCCTACAGTCTATTAACCCTACCATATATAGGCATCCTTTTTTTATGATGCCGAAATGAGAGTCGGGCGGTTCACAATGTTCCATTGTGGTCAACCATGTCACACGCAAGCAGCACAGGTAACGCTACAAATGAACCTGGCATCAATCACAAATCCAGTGGCTTTGCATGCATCCACCATGGACGCCTTTCAACAAGCATTAAAATGCACCCAAGCCTCAATGAGAGCTTTGTTTTTTCTTTCCTTCCGTTAACTTGTTTCAAATCACGGTGTAATATTCCTTAAAAACAAATTACATCCCACCCTAGTTCTGTCCTGACAGCAGCAAAGCTGACCGTGCAAAAATCAATGCGTGCATCCTTTTCACTGCACGAATCTAAGCCGTCTGCTTTGCATGTTTATCAGAATACCCATGCAAAGGACAGCCATTCACTGCAGCCACCTCTCTCCGCAGACTGCCAAAGTAGGCGCCTCACTGTCCTACAACATTCACTATTGGATCGGCTCCCAGTCCTCACAGGACGAGCAGGGGGCCGCTGCTGTCTACACCATACAGCTTGATGAGTACCTGGGGGGGTCACCCGTGCAGCACAGGGAGGTGCAGGGATACGAGTCCGACTCCTTCCGTGGGTACTTCAAGCAGGGGGTGATGTGAGTACCTGAGAAGATGTGAGGCTCTGAAACCTGTACTGGGTGGGATTACCATGCACTGTAAGTCACTAACTGGTTTATACGACACCCCTTATACTGGGTGGGATTACCTTGTACTGTAAGTTAACTGGTCACTAACTGGTTTATATCACACCCCTTATACTGGGTGGGATTACCCTGTACTGTAAGTTATCTGGTCACTAACTGGTTTATACCACACCCCTTATACTGGGTGGGATTACCCTGCACTGTAAGTTAACTGGTCACTAACTGGTTTATACCACACCCNACTGTAAGTTAACTGGTCACTAACTGGTTTATACCACACCCCTTTGGTTATTTATTGGTTCCGATTGGTTTAAACTAAAAATGGATTCACAATTCCCATATTGCACAGCCAATTCTGTTGGGGGCGGGGTGGGGCTCAATTGGTTAAGCCCCTGTGACTGTGATCCAGATGTTGCTAGTTCGCGCCCCAGCTGCAGCTGAATAGTCACACCTCCGTCAGGCTCCTGAGCAAAGCCCTTCTGATAAATGGTCTGACTGCACTTGGACCCTCAGTTTCCCTCTTGACTATATATGTACAGAGCTCACAGAAAGTCTTGGAACGCTTCCTTAATTAAGTAAAAATATTAGAAATCGATTGGCTTTATAACAAATCATCACTTTATTCATTTATTTGCAAAAAAAAAAAAAATCACATTAGAAACCACCATTAGTTTTAGTAAAACACATTTCAAGTACTAATAAATTGAAACCCAAATTATAGTTCTAAAAGAGCTGTTTTGAGTTAAAAAGTTCATTGGCAAGCAGTCTCATTGGGCACTTTTTAATTAGTAACATTTTAGCCATAACATAAAATACCCAGTACATTTGTGTTCAGTATCACTTTGGGGGCCAGTGACTACAATTGCAATTAATAACAAAATGGCAAGAACGTAACTGAATGAGTTAGTCAAGAAAATTATGGCACTTAATAAAAAGAAAATGTCTGTGCAAAAGATATGTGCAGATATGTGAAATACTGCTTGTCAATGGACTTTTGTTATGAAACCAATAAATTTGCAACATTTTTATAGAGTTAAGCCAGTGCCTCAAGACTTTCTGTGAGCTCTGTATGTCTGAAAGGAGAGTAATGTAAGATAAGTGACAAGTGGCATTCAAATGACCTGTACTCATACTTGTGCAAATGGGAACCAAATCATCATTTCAATTCTCACTCTACAGTTCTTGAACCTGCAGTATTGTGGTCACAAAAACCGAGGCCTGAATCACAAAGGAGGATTTCTTGCTAATCTGGATATCTTGTCAGATTCAAGTCTCACACCTACCCTGGCACATGTCAGGCTTTTCTCATTGTAACATAATTATTGTAGGAGTGTAGAAGAGTTAAGGAAGTCTGGACTAAATGCAAAGTGAATGAAGACAAAGTCCATTTAAACTGGGGTACCTTAAATGAGACAAGTTATCCGGCGAAGCAAGAGATCTTGCTTTGTGATCCAGGCCCGGACTCGTTAACCATAACACCACATCAGACTCAGACTCCTTGTGACGGCAGTGGCTTGGTCAGCACAGTGTTCTGGCATGGTGGGGACACAGGACCAGAGATGTCTGTTTCGTGTTCCTCGTTGACAGCTACAAGCAGGGCGGCGTGGCATCAGGAATGAGACACACTGAGACCAACACTTATGACATCAAGCGCCTGCTGCATGTCAAAGGCAGTAAGAGGGTCATGGCCAAAGAGGTGAGAGGACCGGGGTTGCAATGGAAGCAATTGCACCCCCTACTGGTCAGATGAAAATGCTGCTGAACATGTTAAGTGCAGTTATACTAAATTATATTGTATAGTTATATTTAAAGCTTCTGAGAAGGAAGCTGGTCCTCAGTTCATTGAGGCTGTCACCTAGATTAATTAAATTATGGAACACTAATTAATACTGCTTGAACTAGCCTGTTTCAGGTGCCCCCCCCCCCCCCAATAATGTTTTCATTCCAACCCACACTGCCTTCAATCTGCCACATTCATTATGAGCCTGTTAAGGACCATATAAGCCTGAGTAAGGCAGGGTTGGAATGAAAACGTTCTGGCATGGGGGCGTCAGGAACAGGACTGAGAATTACTGAGCTAGACTGTGGAAGTGGAAGTTAGCCCTTAATCTCTGTTTAGGTTATCTGCTCAGTTTTATTTTAGCATTCAGCATTTTTGAAAAATGCCCATGACTGCCCTATATTATTTAAAAATGTATTACTATTAAAATGCAATTTAATGAATATAGGACCATTCTTTAAAACATTCTTTCTTTCACTGCATGCACAACACAGTGTACGTTTTTTTTCTTGCAGCCCCCATAGGGATATTGTCCAAATTTACAGACTGTTATAATAAAAAAAACGTGCTGTTTATCCCATGTGCTGCCACACAGGTGGAGATGAGTTGGGGCAGCTTCAACCTCGGCGACGTCTTTCTGCTCGACGCTGGTAAGACCATCGTTCAGTGGAATGGACCAGACAGCAACCGTCAAGAGCGCCTCAAGGTACCAGGCAGGCATACAACACTGTCAGCCGTGTGCATGTACCACCTTAACCTCACATCCGGTTCTATGGCTCCTGGGTTCTACACTCTGTGACGGTTTATGGCGAGACCCGTAACGTGCAGGGTACTTAGACAGCCGTCTGTGTCAGGGTATGATGCTTGCCAAGGACATCCGAGACCGGGAGCGGGGAGGCCGCTCAGACATCGCCATCATCGAAGGGGATGATGAGGACAGTTCCCCAAAACTCATGGAGTTCCTGATCAGCATCCTCGGGGAAAGAACCATCCAGTTGCCCAAAGGAATAGCGGATGACATCACTGACCAGGAACAGAAGTCTCAACTCATGCTCTACCAGTGAGTTCCTGATACCAGCTTTAATCGTCATTCTTAGGCACTGACTTCTATTTTAATTACTGCTAAATGCCTGGAATGAAGTACTACAGTAATGGAACTGATCTCCAGCCAACACCCTTGATTCTCCTGCAGTGTTTCTGATGCTGATGGTCAAATGAAAGTAACAGAGGTTGCTACCAGGCCACTGATACAGGATTTGCTGAATCACGATGTGAGTTGCTGAGACCCCATTGAAAATGGCTGAGCCATGAAAAAATAGAGAAAATAAATGAGTTTTTGACACTTTCCATCATTCTCATAGATTCGTATTAACTGCTACCCCAGACTGGAGCAGAATTATGATTTTAGTCTGACTGTTTGACTTTTCTTTATAGGATTGCTACTTCCTTGATCAGGGAGGGGTGAAAATCTTTGTGTGGAAAGGGAAAAGGGCCAACAAGGCTGAGAGACAGGCAGCCATGTCCAGAGCTCTGGTGCGTAGGAGTGTGTCAGCGACAGCCAACAATCATTTAAATCCAAATGCGATTGTACCGGGGATGAAAGCAATTGCACCCCCTACTGGTCAGATGAAAATGCTGCTCGAACATATTAAGTTCAGTTATACTAAATTATATTGTATAGTTATATTTAAGAATGTGGCTTGTGTTAGTCATATAAATAATAATAATAATGTAATAATAATTTATTGTAAATGTGCTTATTATTTCTTCATAAATGTACATACAGCACTGTGCAAAAGTCTTACACAGGCATAGAAAATGATGTTTAAATGATATTCATGTTGGTATAAAACTTTGCTATTCTGTTTGTTAAAGTGTGTCAGCTTAGCCATTTTAAAACCCTTCCTAAAGTCACCCAGTATTTGCAGTGACTGTCCAATATATCCATGTATTTTTAATTTGACCGCTAGCAAACCTCATACGGCTAATCAGTACATCACTGACTTTTGAAACTATTTAAATTAATTATTTAAGTGAGAAGGTGGTGAAATTTAATAAACACATGGAATGGCTGGGGGGGCCTGAGGGGGGGTTTGGGAACTGAAGTGGTTCATCTTGTGTAACTTTTTGGGAGAATATAAGAAATTATTGTTAGTTTTTATCGTGTTACTCTGAATATGCATATATTCTGGTGTTATATTGTGTTTTTGGTGCGGGGGAAATATATATTTACTACCCGGATAAATAGCTTTGAACATTTCCTTTGACTGCCTAAGACTTTTGCACAGTACTGTATGTGTCTCAGATTGGCATGGCCTGTAATGAATGACTGACTGGGCTCTCTCACCTTGAATCCCCTGGGAGAAAAGCCCGGAGTCACCTATGTTTACATCCATCCAGCTTCGAACTGCTCTTCTGTGATACTGACAAATACTTCTAAATATATTCTTCTAGAATTTTATATCTAAATTCTAGAACTGTAAACAACGCCGTAAACAACAATGTAGTATAATTCAACCCTACTGAAATGTGCTTATCCAAGCTAAGTGTAATGCATAGTAAAAGGGATAACAAGTCATATATGGTGATACTGAGCAGACCAGTTACATTGTGCAGGAGTTCATTAAGCTGAAAAACTACCCCATCACCACCAACGTGGAAACTGTGAATGACGCCGCAGAGTCTGCCATGTTCAAGCAGCTGTTTCAGAACTGGAAAGTCAAGGATCAGGCAGTGGGCATAGGGAAGACCTACACTGTGGGCCGAGTGGGTAAGTTAAAGAAGGATCACAGAGTTGGGGGGGGGATAATCTTTGTTTATATATGGCCATGTTTACTGACTATGTACACAGTCATGTATTCAAAGGTTCACTAATTGAACAGTAACCATTCTATGGTCCATGCTTCATACATGTTCTACCCATCATTGGCAAAAATTATGTTTACCTTTCTTCTTCATGCTGTAAACTTCACAAATTTCATTTTGTGGCTGTTGAATTGTTAGTAAGGAACCACTGTCCTGAAATGTTACAAACGCCAGTGTTGGTATTCTTGGCACACAGCGAAGGTTGTGCAGACCAAGTTTGATGCCACGCAGATGCATGCCATGCCGGATCTGGCTGCCCAGGAGCGCATGGTGGATGACGGCTCGGGAAATGTCGAGGTAGAAAACGATGCGCATTTGGGACAATGTATGAACTGAGCCGTTTAAGGCTGGACGGCACATCAGCATGGCTCTGTCTGACAGATTTGGCGGATCGAAAACCTGGAATTGGTTCCTGTCGAGCGCCAGTGGTATGGTTACTTCTATGGTGGTGACTGCTACCTGATACTCTACACCTATGAGGTCCACGGGAAGAAAAACTACCTCCTCTACATTTGGCAGGTAGGTCTCCACCTATAGTCTATGCCCCCTGGGAAACTTGAGGGCTGATATGAACCCTACTGCATCTGGTATGAGGGATCTGACGGATGCACTAACCTCTTTCATTGGCTTAGGGCCGGCACGCTTCTCAAGACGAGCTGGCAGCTTCGGCATTTCAGGCAGTAAACCTTGACCAGAAGTATGGCGGGCAGCCTGTGCAAGTACGAGTCACCATGGGCAAGGAGCCTCGCCACTTCATGTCCATGTTTAAGGGTAAAATGGTCATTTTTGAGGTGAGTGAGTGTTTTTTTCCCTAAATGTAATCCTACCAAGAAGATCCTCTTTGATTGTAACAAGCTTCTGGATATTTATCTTGACGTCGTGTTATGGTTTCTCTCGCTTTTCTTTGTGGGTTCAGGGTGGCACCTCCAGGAAAGGTGGCACGGAACCAGAACCACCCATCCGTCTGTTCCAAATCCATGGTTTCGAGCCATTGAACACCAAATCCATTGAGGTTCCGGCACTTGCTGCTTCGCTGAACTCCAACGATGTCTTCCTGCTCATAACCCAGACCGGGAGGTACCTGTGGTGTGGGAAGGTGAGTGGGACACAGCTGGCCCAGGAGACAGAGCGGTGGCATGTGAGTGGTGAAGCGTGTCATTAGGCTGATGCCTGTCTGATGTACCAGGGTTCCAGTGGAGACGAGCGTGCCATGTCGAAGGAGATCAGCTCTGTGCTTGGACAGGGCTTTGAAGAGATCATAGCCGAGGGTTTGGAGCCACTTGAGTTCTGGAATATTCTGGGTGGAAAAACAGCTTATGCCAGTGAGAAGAGGTGCACATAAATCTACATTTATACAGCATCCTCTGATGACTTCCCTCTTAGGGTTTTAACACAATGTTACCACTATCTCCTTTACGGCCCTTGAACAGCAGTTATTTCAGTTACGGCAAATTTCTTTTTGTGCTTATTAAGTTTTTTAGGCTTTTAATTCTTTACATATGGTTTTAAATGTTACAATTTCCTGCTGTGTTGGTTTCTTTTTCCTAAGATTGCAGCAGTCAGTGATGGATCACCCCCCACGCCTTTTCGAGTGTTCCAACAAGACAGGTCGCTTTACTGTTACTGAGGTGACTCAGTTCAACCAAAGTGATCTCAACGAAGATGACATCATGCTCCTAGATACATGGGATCAGGTACTGCCCTTACTTCCTTCCTTATAGGAACCAGAAAAGGACACTAAAATAATCACAAAAACAGTACAAAATACAGTAAATAACACAAAAGATGCTACAACTACATGTGATTGTTGCTAGACATTGGAAAATTCTTTTGCCCCCAGCAACTTACACAAAACGTACAATATTACATTCTTACCCACCAGTACACCCGGACATTCTTTAAGGTTTGTTGGATTAAAGCTGCTGCATAAAATACCACAGGACCTCCTCATATGTACATTGATTTATTTAACAGACACCTTTTTGTCAAAGCAATGTACAAATGAGAATGTAAGGTCAGACTGTCCCTGCTCAAGTGCCCAACAGTGACATCGCTCCGCCGAACATGGGATCTGAACCAGTAACCTTCTGTTTACCGGCACCAAACCAAACACCACCCCCATATTTAAACAGCAAGGCCATACTCTGAACCCCTTTGTTATCAGCTGACCCAATATCTGTTTGCAAATTTGGTTTCAAATGTATTGTCTGTATAATATGCTTTGTTTGCCGTCTTGTTTTGGGTGTGCAGATCTTCCTTTGGGTGGGAGTCAGTGCCAATGAGATTGAGTGCAAAGAATCGGTGGTGACCAGCCAGGAGTACCTGCGCACCCACCCTGCCTCCAGGGACCCCGACACCCCCATCCTTATCGTCAAGCAGGGATTTGAGCCCCCTACCTTTACAGGGTGGTTCACTGCCTGGGATCCTTCAAAGTGGAGTGTGGGTGCTGCTTCTTTATACGCTCTGCCTTGGTCGGCCACTTTTCTGTACCTGTTTGATTCTTTTTCGCTTTATTGCTTGATCTCACTGGAGCCAGTTTTACACCATTTTCCCTCTGTTAAACTAATGTAAACCTGATTTGCTTTAACTTGACTTTTCTCTCAGGAAGGAAAAACATATGAGCAACTGAAAAAAGAGCTTGGGGATGCTGCATCTACCGTCACAGTCCCAACAGTAAGCACGCTGTCCTGATTATTTTTAGGTTAAAAATTGCATTATCCTGGCAGATTTAGCACAAAGTCATGACTTCAACCAAACAACCAATATGCACGCTTTTTGATGATGAAAGTACACAGTGGTTAGACACACACATACTCAGAGCTCGTATTTAAATCACCCTTCGCCTGTCCCCAAGCAAAAGGCTGATGCACCTGATGCAGAGAGTACTGCGACCTACCAGTACTACCCCCCAGAGAAGCTAGTTAACAAATCAGCAAATGACCTTCCTAAAGGCATCAACCCTGCACAGAAGGAGGTAGGAATGGTTATGGTGAATGGCCGTTATGGTGAAGGGCCGTTATGGTGAATGGCCGTTATGGTGAATGGCCACTTTTTGTGGTACATTTTAACATGGTGAGAAGATCATTAGATAATCATAATTTCTGATTTTGTTGTTTAAAATTAATATCTGTGTTTCGATTCCCCCATCAGAAATATCTGTCAGACTCGGACTTCTGTACGGTGTTTGGAGTCTCCAAGGACAATTTTGCCAACCTGCCTCAGTGGAAGCAGTTGAATATGAAGAAAAACAAAGGCCTCTTTTAAGAAAATTAGTGCCATTATTCATTTTTGATTTTAATTTTTTTTTTTAAAGATCATGCTTTAAATTAAGGAAACTCATGGCTGCTCAGTCAATTACAGGTTTATCTATGAACTAATAAACATTTTTAACATTCATTTGTTTTGATTCTATTGCTTTATCTGAATTACATGTTTTTTTCTGTATAATAAACAAAGGCTTTTGAAATTTACATTAGATAAGGGCTGACTTATTTGGCGTGTAAAGTGAACACATACATCATATATTAATCGTATAGGTGTTAGAAATGCGATTTTATCAAAACAGGTTTTTAATATGTAATTTTACATTTTATATTTAACAACCGTAACCATTTAAACACGTAGGGGAAGACTGGAGGTAAAACGTAAACGAAGTGACACGGCGCAATTAAATTGGCACATTCAGCAACGCCGAATGGTACGTGGGCGGTGGTCCCCTCCCTCCCCACCAATGCAATTCGCATGCAACACACATGCAACAGTTGCGCTTTTGTTACACAAAATAGTGGGTGTCACGAGGGCTACTGTGACGTCAGCACACAGGGCTCGATGCGGAGGCGGGTGCACGGCGCGCGACTGGAACGGTAAACAGAGCAGGGGGGGTGTCCGTCAAGCAGCTATTTCGGGTGAGTTTGTCGGGGATGGGGGGCTTTAAATGCGAAAATCGGCTGTAGGGTACTGAACGCGTACCCGCGACCCTCAACATTTCCTCCCTTTAAACGGGTTTTGTTCTGTCTCCGTGTCGGGTGGCCGGTGCGATGCGAGCGGCGGTCCGCTTTGTGGGGCAGCGGCCGTCGGTTCGGCAGTCATTCCGGCCCGAGGGTTAGCGGTGTCGTCGACAGAATAAGTCGTACGGGAAACCGCGTTTATCACGCTGGCTGCTGCGCCTTTACGCCTGCGAGCGTCGGGCAGCGTTGTGCAGTGCGGCACGAACTGTCGAGCGGCTTAGCCATAGAGCTAATTATGCTGGAAGGGATTGCAGGATATCTGACAAATGCCTTAACGTTGTCAGTGTGGAGAAGGAGAGGGAGGAGGACTGACAACGCCCCCGGGTCGTTATTATGCGTTGCCTTGCTGTGTCATTAGTCTTGGGGTGTGTAATTGTCGGCTTTCGCGTCTCAGGGGTGCTGATCCGGCTATCATTTATTCATAGAGTTTGTTCATCGTTAACTAGCTACTGCTATTAAACTACAATTTGTCGTGTGGCTGTTTCAATTTCAGATTGGTTGCAAGTAAACAAAATGTAAGTTGTTCAACACAGCCTCAGTAATACAATGAAATGGGTTATTAAATGCTTCTTTAGCTATAATAGGCCTATAAGAATGTTCACTTACCTTAAAACGGGTATTAACAATTTAACTTTGTTGTAAAGTTTAAGTACTGCGTAGCTTAATTTCGGTGCAAAGTACACATGTGGATGAAGAGTGTTAAAGGTTGACAGGTGAATAATTAATCAGAAGCTTGCATTATATAAACAGATATTATAGAAAGATGGCATGGAGAATCAATAAATGGGACAAAACCATTGATATACTGAACATTATTTGGTGTTAAGAGCACCATACGTACAGAAAGTATGACATTTGTCCTGTGTTAGGGTGGATTTGGTCCTGCATGCAGCTTTTATGCAAACCTGCCCTGCTCTCTGTTTTTCCTTTTACTGCCGTATTTCTCTCCTGCTCTATGGTCTGTTTTAAGTTTATTTGGAGAATTCCAGTTGAACTTTCTTCTTAGTTTATGATCATGGCCAGATCAGAACCTGTTTTTATTACCCTAACCTTTAGTTCAGTTGCACGCTCGGAATATCTCTTAAAGGGCAGATTGGAGAACCAGTGACTTATTTCTCTGTTTTTATGCCGCGTCATTACACTAAGAATTTACTGAATACAGGGCACATACGTTATCTTCATATGTAATTAATCGTTGCAGGAAAAGAATTAAAATAAGTGATCATGTTTGGTTAAATGAGCTATGGGGCTGGAGCAGACAAATGCTCCAGCATGCATTAGACTAGAGGCCCCTTGAGGGTCCCTTTAAGCTTGAGGTTCTTGTACCAGGGTCCCAAATGAGATTTCTAAGAGCCTCGGAGGAAAACCTGCCATTTGTTCCAGCTGAGATGGAAATTTGGTTTAACATTATTTAAAATTCAACAAATCAGCACCCTTTGCGTTTATTGTAATGTGAGAGAAATCATGTGGTTAGTGTGAGTTAATGCAGTTCATATGAAACAAAAAAGGTAAACTCTACAACCTCGTAGACTGTAGTCGGCTCTTATGATTTTTTTTATATAAACACAACACAAAAATGAATTGGTCGATTAATTACAGCTAAGTATGTATTGTAAAAATATTCCAAATGACAGGATTCAGAGTACGTACTGACTGACATGTTTTTTTTGCAGGTAATCTCTGGATTAAAACCACCAGGAAATTTTAAAGATGAATGTGTTTGATCGCAACATAAACTTCGATGCTCTATTTAAATTTTCCCAGATGTGAGTACGTTTTGTCTTTTGGAGTCCGGCTCTCTTATTGATACCCCCATCATGTCCAATCTGGGTTTGCTGTCTTAATCAAAAGATATTTGTGTATGCGTGGAACAATAGGGACGTGTGTGTGTGTATATTCTGTTGACGAGTGTTGCTCCTCTGTGACTGTCCCGTCCAGCTCTCCTTCCACCCAGGAGCACCTGAAGAATGTGTACTCCTGCCTAGCTGTGTGCATGCTTGTGGCTACAGCTGGTTCATGTGTCCATTGTATAACACAGCTGTTTCAGGTAAGCCTGTGTTCGGAATGATTAAATTGATATTATAATTAAAAAAATAGCAATCTATCAAAATGTTGTCATTAGTGTTATGCAGTAGGTTTTTTTTTTTTTTTTTTAACTCTCGCTGAACTGTTTAGAAACATCCATATCTTTTTGTATAGACATGAGCCTGGATTTTCTTATGCATTACAGGGGGGGCTGCTCTCTTTGCTGGGTTCCTTAGCTATGATGCTTTGGTTGACCATGACGCCCCATAATCATGAGACTGAGAAGAAGAGGCTGGCTATTCTTGCTGGCTTTGCCTTCTTCACAGGTAAACCAGTCAGCTGCTGGCAAAGCACCAGAGTGATGTTTACACTTTCTCAAACATGTTAAAAAAAAAAAAAAAGCTAACGTGCTTCTCTGTCAGGTGTTGGGCTGGGGCCAACCTTGGATTTTGCTATTGCCATCAATCCCAGGTAAAACAATACATTCAGAAATGTATTTTTATAAATTGTGAAGTGTACTGTAGTGAAATTGTGAACGCATGTACCGCGCATTGATAGATTTGCAGAGCTTCTGGAATTCTAACCGAGTACAGTGATCCCCTGCCTGTCGCGGAAGTTACATTACAGACCCATTAGTGATAGGTGAAAATCCGCGATTTAGAAAGACCATATAAATAAACATTTTTAAGCCTTAAAATACCCCTCCCACACGCTTTAAAAGCGATAGGTGAAAATCTGCGATATAGTGGGGGTGCGATAGCTGAACCGCGATATAGCAGGGGATCACTGTACCTTCTCTTGATGGAGACCTGTTTGAAACCTTTGTGGTCTTCTTGTGGTCTTCTCCGTACAGCATCATCGTGACAGCATTCCTGGGCACCTCTGTAATCTTCGTATGTTTCACTCTGAGCGCCCTCTACGCCAAGCGCAGGAGCTACCTCTTCCTTGGAGGTAAGGCTGTAATCCCCCACCCCCCCACCACCCCGCTGGGCCGCTGAGGTTCACTCTCAAGGTCGGTGTCAGCATGGCATGTTGCTGCTAGGCTTGTGATTCAGACAGAGCGTGGAGGTTAACTGCTGAGGCTTCGTGTATCAGTACTGTTCTGTGCTCAGAATACTGCTTGATTGCCACATTAGCCTGGTTTGCTTGTCACCTTTTACTAAATCCACACTCTTTATTGTTATGGCACCTATTTTATGACAATATTCAATAAATGTCATTTAAATCTAAATTGGAGTTAAAATAGTAATTTAAACGATTAAATTATTATTTTAATAATAATTTAAATTACTATTTAAATACTTATTTAATTGTTATTGAAATTATTATTTAAATTACAGTTTGAATTATGCTAGCAACCATTATCTGTTAAAGCCACCATCAAACTCAGTTGGTGGGCTCTAAACAAAACCTAACATCTAGCAGATTGAATTCTCGTAAACAACTTCCTTTTGTCTGTTCTGTCCTGGGGCTGAATAAAAATTAATTTAAAGTGTTAATTTATGTATATGTCATTTAAATATCATTTAAAGGACTATAAATAAACATAATAATCGTTTAAATGACAAATGTATTGAATATTCTCACAAAACACCTTCCATATATTCTCAGTTTGGTGCTCAAACTGCATCAGTTTTGATGCAGAAGCATTAAGCTGCTTACGCTCACCATGGTAAATTGGGAATTTCTTGGATTGATGGACAGACCTGTGGAGCTTGTTGTATGTCAGTTACCATCACTTGACACCTTCTGTGCTGGAATGGATGACGGCTTCCATCAAGTGCCATCCTAAAATGAACTTCCAGTGTTTTTGTTGTGCTTTTTAAAGTTCTCCTCCAGTAAATATTTGTGTAGATGTATTGAATTTCTCAATGATTTATGCCTTATTCATTCTGAATTCAGTGGAAAGTACGTTTTCCATTTTTTTGTTTACCTGATTGTCTGTCACACAGTAATTAATGGCTGCTGTGGCCATCACACAGTATTTCACAGTGTTGCAGGACAGCAGACGAACAAACCACGTGGTCACTGACATACTAAGTATAGACACTCGTTTGACTAAATAACCTTTAAAAATTTTTTGATAGCCAGACATTGATATGCAGCTGATCCTGGAAAGCATGTTGCTTTTTAAGTTTGTAACACTTCACAGTCTATAACCATACATGTGGCCTGTCTTGCCCTTTAGGAGTCCTGATGTCTGGGCTTTCCATCTTGTTCCTGGTGTCCTTGTTTAGCATGTTCATCGGATCAGCCTTTCCCTTCAAGGTAAAGTTCATACTCCCAAGGGACTCTGCCTCACCTCTATGTCTTAAGTCTATTTACATCAACAACAACTACCATAATGCATTTCACAAAACAAATACATATCTATTCTATCATATTGCACACTGTACAGATACTGTCTATAATTGTAATGTTAATTTGAATATATTTTTTCTATATACTTTCACTGCCTTAGTCTTAGCACTTTAATATTTATCTTTAACTTAATTTGTTAAACTTTATTTCACTTTATTTGGTCTCATGACCAAATCAGTCTACATTTTACTACCTGTTATACTTGTTTAACTGTGTGTGTGACAAATAAAGAATCTGGACCCTTGTGAAGGCCTTATGCCTGTGGAGCAGGCCATAACTTGTGGACCCCTATGAGCTTCCAGAGAAATGTCCTGCTGTAGATCCACCTAAAAAAGCTACAGCTAAACTGAGAGCATTAAATGCCTTTGGGAGCGGTGTTGAACATGCTTGCCCTCTCTCTGTTCCCAGGCCCATTTATACATTGGACTGGCCATAATTTGTGGGTTCGTGCTCTTCGACACTCAGCTCATCATTGAGAAGGCAGAGATGGGCGATAAGGACTACATCTGGTGAGTCTGCTCTCTGTGTAACACTGCAGCACTGCAGTTAACACTGCAGCACTGCAGTGTCACGCTCCTCATAAAACTAATGTGCAGTGAATCACAGCACTGCAATATAATCTATCTTTAGGATTTATTAGCGTTGTGTAAAATGACTGCTGACATTGCTAAAAGATTATTTGCCACTGGTCAAAAATTTTCTGATAACTATTATGATTATTGGAGTAATTTTGCGAGTGGTTTAATGTGTGTATAGTAATGTTTCTGGTGATGTTCTCCTCTTTGATGAAATATGCAGAAATAAAAATCACGTTATATTTTCCAGATTATTTCAGCTTTTCCTGTTTGAATGGTGCATGCAGATTTACTAAACTATGCATTAATCCCAAATCAGCAGTTTGGGAATGACCGACTGATTCTGCCTGATGCTTTTTAAAAGGCACTGTGTGGACTTGTTCCTTGACTTTGTGACCATCTTCAGAAAGCTCATGGTCATCCTTGCCTTGAATGAGAAGGTAAGATTTTTTTTTGTTGGTTTTGCACTTGCAGTACAGTTTGAGGCCTGCAGGATTAACATCTTGTTCTCAAGCCCTTGGTCTATTTCAGCATTTTAGTCTTGAAATTATCATTGAGAGGTATATAACTGCAGGACCCCTCCCAAAGTCTGCTTGTCTGTTGGAATATTCGATGTCCTTTAAACTAGGGGTTCCCAACCTTTTGATGTCTTCGATCAGAACACGTAGTTAAAAAAATAGGTGTGGTTTGAACATACAGTGGAAACAGCTTATAGTGATCATGATGAACCACTTATATGAATCAAAAAGCTTGGGACAGAATCATTCCTATACAAATACTGTTTAATTTGCTTATAGTAATCAAGTAGTCCGCTCGCAGTGTTCATTTTGGGTCTTTTTATACATAACATATGGAAAGCATTTTTTTTTTCATTTGCCTACTTTGCCTTGCGGTAACCCATCTGCCTTTGGCTAGCTACCTGGGGCTAATGCTACGTGCACAGAAAACATGATGGGAAGAAGAGAACCACCGAGCACAATATTGTACTATATTATAGAGTATTTGAATTATAACACAGGTCAGTAATTTAATTTGTACAGTACTGTAATGTGAAACAGCTGTACTGTATTTTGAAAGAGTCAGTAAATAACGACGCTGTCCATTCTATTGCCTTATATTCATGTAATAAATACACAAATGTCAGAGGGTAATCTGAGATATAAAGAAAAAAAATCGGTTATCGGTTATAATCATTTGCTTATAGTGATCAATTTCACCCAGACAGACATGATCACTATAAGTGGTTTCCACTGTATATAGATTATTTTTGGAAATTAACTTTCCACTCCAGAAAAGCCCTTGTGCTCCGTGGCCTCGACTGGGGGGTGGAACCCTGCTTTAAACCATGTACAGGCAGTTTTCGAATGATGCAAGTAATGCCCTTATGTAAGTCAAATTTTACTTAAGTCAGATTTACCTTCCCATACCATTCAAAGATACCTTATAGCAAAAATACATGTAAGCCAAAAATACTTACTAATGAACACATATTACATAAATGAAAAGATAAGGTTCAAATTTAAAGTTGTATGTTGTCTTCTTTTGTTAGTGCTTCCGTAAACGCTATGTATCACAAAAAAATTTTGCGTTAGTCTGGATTTTAGTCGCGTGCTGTCTTGTGATCATATGTCTTAAGGAGAATCAGTTTAAGTATCTGAAAATGTATTTTTAATCTATTGGGTATTAAAGTGAAACATGTTGCATAAATACTAAGTAATCGTACTTAACCAGAGTACTACATACAATTAGTGTAATTCAGTTTTTCCATATTTGCATTCCTTACATTGCTGCATGTGCTCCACCTTCTGGCTTTCCTTTGTGCTCTGATTGTTGAGGCATATGCCAGAAACAAGGACAGCTCAAATTTGGTGTGGCCTAGCCCTCTGAAGGCATGTTAATTATTTTTTAAGTTATGTTGTTAAGTTAAAAGTTAATTAAAAAGTGAGTCCTACTCGAAATCCAATCCTGCCTTCAAAGAGAGCAACCAGATTTTCCTACTCCGTGCTAAATGAAAAAGCACCGGATGATTTAGCCCTCGTACTGTTTCTTTCTACTTCATGTTTCAGGGTGAGATTGTGTGTGTGTGATTGTTGTATTGTGCCCTATGCTGATCCTGGGTTGTTCCCTGCATTGTTGCCCATAGCTTCTAGGATGGGCCCCAGACCCTGGGACCTTGCATAGGAAAAACGGCAATAGAAAATAGATGGGTGGATGTTTCAGAGCATCACACTTAAAGAAATCTCACCGTTTTTAATAACCCATAACCTTCCCTTTGGTTCCCCATTCAAATTTTGCTTTGTTTGAAATGGCAATTCAGTGCAGATTTAGACTTCCCTGAGAGAAGCCCGGCCTTGTGGGCCTGCTGAACAGGGCCCGATACGACTCTCTGTCATATAAATACACTGTGGCATTTTTACTTATGTTTTTTTTAGTTCTTAAAGGTACTAAAAAGCATTTTTTAATTTAAAATTGTTCAGTAGCCCTAATCACTTATGTAGATGGTACTGGGGCAACATGGTAGGAATAGTGAGCATGGATTATCTAAGGTTAGTAATACAGCATACATGTCAAACTAGCTGCAGTTAGAACAGTGTCACGGGTAGTAAAAAACCTGTAAAATTTGGTGAAAATTGTGAGCCACCAGAAAAGGTCTCCTTAAACTTGCCTGGGCTCCCTCACGATGAAATTCAGCGCTTGACAACCCATGAGATTTGTATCCTGTGACTTTGAGATGGACAAAATGAACTAAAAACGGGCCAATATAAGAGAAATATATATATTATATAATATATAACCATGAAATATATGTAAGAGCATGAAAAATGAAATTTCAATTACAGATAAAGAACTTGTTGATTAATCCCCAAAATATTTTGCAGACCATGGTTTTTAGGGACCGTACTACCCAGTAAGCCGACTGCAGTGTGTTTGGAATACAGATCATGCTTTAGTGGGTACCATTAAGTAAGCTTGCAGCATAATCCCACGGGTTATCTGGCAGAGATCGAACTTCAAAACTTTCCAATCTGTTTCCAGTCAGACTGAAATCGATAGAGCAATTTGGTTGGGCAGATCTCTGCGCTGAGATGAGATATATTTTATTAATCCCTAAGGGAGACTACTGACTTGCCAGTATAGCTAAAAAGGTACAATCCCAGGCAATTATAGAATGAGACAGTAGAGAAAAATATATGACGAAGAGCTCCAGAGAGCTTTAAGGCAAAGGACATCAGAAATCTGGAAATTATATGCTGAACATTGGAAATGTCTGATATGTTCAGAAACATACTGAAAAAGTACAGAACTCCATTAAGGATTCAAAAAAACCCTGAAGCTGTTGGAGGTGAGCATAGCTGCCCTCACACAATATTCTCATGCTCAGTTTTTCATCTGAATCATTTGTTTCAAGCTCAGGTTGTCCAGGATAACTGAGTGGACATGGTCCCTAACTGCTTTATGTGCCAAGAGTTATTTCTGGGGAAGCTAGTTGCTAGTCATCAGTGGAAGTTTCAGCCTCCTTCCGACCCACATTAGGGGTGTCAGAGTCCACTCTGGAAAGGTGGCCATGTGCTTCAGGCGACGTCCAGGCAGAAGGAAAACGACACGTCAGCGGGAACAATCTGCTGCATGCTTAAAATGATACCACAAGCCTGGAGGGCGCAGGGTGTTTCCGGTGCAGAAGACCTACATACGGAGCAAGTGCGCGAGTCACTTTTATAAAGGAGATGACAGCCCTTTGAAAATGGATGTCTCTCTCTTTATTAACAGCCACTATCGCTTTAATACTAGCAGTCGCACAAACAGGGAAGCCGACAATTTACATGAACACGCTAACTACACACTTACGACGTTTACTATAAACAGAAATACACATACACATATTAAAATACACATATTGATTGATATTAATTTGCAATATTGAAAGCATGCCAGTAACTCTGTAATTAGTCCTATTGACCAATCCCACGGCGCCACATTATGTCAGCCAACCGTGGACAGTGGGCGTCATCAGGACAAACGAAACGTTTCCCCTCGGGTGAGCTACACAGGTGGTGCAGCAAAACGGTGATCACTTCTCACAACATCTTATTGTTAAAACAACATCGATGCCATCGATTTTGTCTGTATAAGGCCACCTTAACTTCAGTAGCATTTTTCATTACACGTTAAAGAACCAGTGTCCAGATGAATGCGGCCTCATTTTTCTTTATACACATTGACAGTGTTACTTAAACAGTTCAGATTACCGTTCGGATGAACATCAAGGGAGGTGCAGGACTTAATCTGTAAAATCTGTAAGCTCTTTGGTTTTGCTGATGTTCCTCTGCAGACAGTGGACCTCCAACCCTGAAGACTGACCAGCATTGGTACTTAGAGGAATGTCTGAGAGCTTGTCTTCGATTTAGACCTGAATCTTAAATTAACCCTTGTCAGTTTTGAACTTCATTGGCTAGAAGTTGGCTTGCAGGGCAGAGTTAAGTGGCTTGATAAAATACCATTTACCATTAACTCAGAAGGATCCCGATTTCTGACATGTAAATTGAAACCTAGACAGGTCCCCTTTTATGGCAAATTTTTATGTCTTTCATATCCGACATTTGAAATTACAGATTGAACATGAAATGAAGCACAGATCACCTTTCAGAACCCTCAGAAGGGGCAGATGGTCTTTGACAGGATTCAGCCCTATTAGTCAGAGGCATCATCGACACCCACAGATCCATCCGTTCAGCTTTATAGTTTGGCTGTAATGTTTTGAAGGACGGCAGCCAGCTCTGTGCTTTTGATGCGGGGATTAGATGTTCAGAGGAAGTTTTCCTTTTTTCCCCCATCCATTTTCCTCGTGTCATTTTAACGAGGTCCTTTATTGTGGAGATAGTGACTGCTGTGTCCTGAGTGAGTTTTTTTTTTTTTCTCCCTCCCAGAAATATCTGTAGTGTTGTGTGTTATGTGGCGTTTAGGCTGTGCTGTCGTTCTGTGTTTCTCCACTCACGGTGTGCTCCATGTGCAGGACAAGAAGAAAGAAAAGAAGTAGAGGAGTTATGAGCAGATGAAGGGGACAGTGAAGACCACGTGTCCTGGATCTTCTGAACTACTTTTAAGAATGCAGCAGGGGAAACCTTGACCAGGAGTAGTATCTTAAATCGCAGTGATGTTTTCACTTTAACATTCAGATAATAATTTAGATTTTGATTTTGTATAATGATGTAGTCTTTTTTTTCAGGCAGTTGAATTTTGGCATTTGAGCTGTAATCTTAAGTTTCTTCTGTTGCAGTTCGTTGTGTCATGTGAAATGGAATGGGTGGATTTGTGTACTTTGTATGGATCATTGCTAAACTGTGGGCAGCACAAGACATCTGATAGAAAATTTTATGTCGTTATTGTTATACTTTATTGCATTTGTTTTTTTTATTTTGTGTACAGTAAAAGATTAGTACCATCAGATACTCCGCCGAACAACTACAATTGAAAAAACAAAGCAAAATACAGAATGAAGTCAGGCATTTTGAGCTTTGCATCTTGCCAAGAATTCGGCACAGAAACTGATCTGGTAAATCCTGGCTCTAAGAGACTCAAGAAGAGTAACATCTACTTGCCCCAGCATTCACAAATTCTACAATAAGGCATGAGGAAGAGTGTTGCATTGAATCACTGTTTGCTTGCCTGTGGTCAGTCTAGCTAATAGGATTCTTTGAGTTATCGTGGCTGGTTTAGCAAGAAAATTATATGAATTAAAACTCGGTCTATTACTAATACAGAATCGAGCCACAATCGTTTATTATAACAGAGGCAACCCATTTGTGTAATCCAATTGGAACTAGGGATGGTAAGATTCACCGATTCGCATCAGTGCACCAGTATGAAAGTTCATGTTACTGCTACGATTTAAAAAAATTGTGCACTGGATACAATTTGGGATACATCATTTCTAACATCTTTGCATCAGTAAAATGCAATTTTTTAATGTAGAATAGACAGTTAAATCATTTTGCTTTATTAATTTTGTATTATTTATTTAGTTCACAACTGGTGTTATTAATGTTTTTAGGGGTTGTTATGCTTCCAGACAACAGGAAGGCTTGTCTTTTATTGCGAACCTGCTTGTGTTTGTAAGCTGAGGCTCGCAAGATCAAGCTTGCTTGTGTCTGAGTTTGGGAAACTAAAATATGGCTCCTGGCTCATCCGACTTTTAGAGGAATAAAACTGAGCCATCCACTTGTTTTTATTTAGAAACTTATTAGTAATGAGCTGGGTAGAAGATTATTTGGTTCACTTAAAAGATTTTGATTAAATGCAATATGTTTAACAGTTATATACATCAAAATTAGATGTATATAAACCAGTAACTGGATACATATTACTTGCTATAATTTTGTAATATTTCGCCATGTTTTGGAATTAACATTGAAAAGTTTAATTTGTGACTACTGTAAACTATTGCACGCAAAAGAAAACACTTTTGTGTCTGTAAGGGGGGAAGAATCGCCAGCTCATTATTATGTTTATGGGAAAGTGCGGAAGAATCTTTAATAATAATTGTTTTGTTTTTTCCTCTACTATTTTTTTTTTTTTTTTAGATTTAGGCCTGCAAGCGAGTCTTTAGTTTTATTTTGTTGTGTAAATCATCCCCCTCCACACTGTATTCACCATCACCCCCCTCTCCCATCGTATTGCAGTCCCCACCAGGTCATAAAATCCGTGAAATCCGACTGTCACCGCAATTGCTGTTGCTGTGCCGCACCTATGCCAGCGCCTCCCTCTCTATGCCACGTCACATCATTAACATACCAAAACACGGGATGGTCCCGGCCTGGCCTGTCCACTAAAGATATCGAGACGGAAGCAACGGCCAGGGTAAAATAAATATTGATAAGTAGATGCCCGATGCCTTTATAATTAGAAAAGCAGCAAATAATTTCTGACCAGTAGTTTAATATTTAGATTGATTCCTCCCAGTAAACTGTTTCTCAAACGCTATCTCTCATCTCCACTGCTCTCAGTGGTTAATTCTTTGCTAGTCTCTCGGCCAAGTCTCGCGGAAGTTGGAGGCGTGTCATGGCGAATCGCTCTGCATCGCAATAGGGGTGCATCGTATCGCAACAGTAATTGCTTCATATGCATCTTTAACGTATTGAATTGTTGGCAATGCATGGAGATGTGCATCGTATCGAGGTCATCTCTTATTGGAACAAAACAGTGTCTACGGATTGATCTATCTTAAATTTCAGGGTTTCAAATTGTTGTCATTCAGCCTTGAAGCTTAAAGGATTCTTTCCCCAGGGTCGGCGTCATTGGGCGGGTATTCACCCTCTCCCTCAAATTCCACCCACCTGTCTATAATGTTATTTTTTTAATGAAGGCATTCATCCTATAACATGTCCTGTCTCTGACAGATACATGGCTACGGGTCGTCTGCTTACCCAGTGATCCCCCCAACCCAACCGACAATTTTTTACCGTCGTCACTGTTGCTCATTGCCCCGCCCCCATCAAATTTCCTCTGCTGCCAACACTGAACCCCCTGAAATATTTTTTACTCTTGAACAAGAATCTAAGCTGATGGTATAGCAGTAACCAGTTCTGTCCAGCTGGTGTCACTGTTGTTTAGCTTTGAATTGCATGGCTTACTGCTTCTCTTGCTTAGTAGAAGGAAAGACTCTTGTGTATCTTTTTTCATGACTTTTTAAAGTCTTTTTCTTTTGCCTCTTAATGAGGATGTCTGAATTACTTGTACGCCTTTGCCAGTGCTTTGAACTTCGTCGTGAGAAATGTTCTTGCGGTGAATTTCTGACATGCGTCGGCCCTTTAAGGCTTTAATATCGATGTTTAAACCTGGGGTCGACCTGACAGGAAAGGTCAGACATCTTCATTCCTGTTTCATTTTATGTTCCTTGCAGGGAGTGAAAAATGTCCCCTCTGATCTGTGAGAGAGCCATGCTTAAGACCTGCCTGCCTTGGTAGACCTTTGCAGAAATTACTGCTGCCTTTCTCTATGTTGCTTTTTTTACCCTCAAGGTGTTTGTGACGATTGCTGGTGGTACAATCGTGTTGAGAAAATAACATGTAGTAACAGACTTGCTGTGAGAAGCGTAATATTTTTTTTCTCCCCTGAACAATTCTGGAGAAAAATGTTTCTGAAGTAGAACAGAAGTACCAAGTGCAGTGATGATGGGGGTAGAAGGAGCGCTGGTCTCTGTGTGAACCCAGTCTCACTGTATGTGCTGTGTAACCCCCCCACAGCATGCTGTAGTGTCGTATTTACCCCCCTCCCCCGCCACCCATGTTCATCTCCTTCACTACACATCACTTGAGCCCCTTTAACCAAATTTTCTGAAGATATTTCTTGGTGTTCCAAGTTTAAGACACAAGCACCTGATCTAAGATGTGAAAATGGCTTTTTTCCAATACAATCCATTGGAAGGACCGCAGCCTTGTCCCTTGTTTACTGCAGTTCTGTCGACATCAAAAGGTAACATATCAAATGAGTTTCCCTCCCTTTCATTGGGAAAGTAGTCTTTATTAATTAGTGCCAACAAAATTAGTTTACCGATTTGTGCTTCACTAATTTTGGGAGAAAGGGAGGGTGGCAAGAATGTTAATACTGTGAAATATAAATTTTGGAACTGCCATTTACATTAAGCAAGACTGTAGAACTGAAATTTGTATAATAAACTGAATAAGTGACGGTTGTTGTGTATATGTCGTTTTGTGCACGCTCATCTCTCTTCCGCATGTTTCCAGCCTCTGTGCAGGAAAACACTCCCAAAGTCCACAGTGTCATTACTACTTGATGTATGCAATTCCTCCTGTACCCCAATCTTTCTTTAAGCTGAAGCATTCATTTGCTTTCTAAGTTGTTTGATTTTATAACATTTTAAGCACTGAACAATCTCACCAATATCAGAATTATAGAGACGCTGGAATGTCACCCAGTGCTACACTAATGCAGAAAATGCTGCTGCAGTTTGCCAAGTAAATGAATGTCAGCCAAGTCTAGTTTGAAATAAATATCAGTTTAATAGCACTCTGAAATTGACAGGCATAAATGGGGAGGGCACCCCCTATGACCACTGAGGGATTCTGTTACCCACGGTAACCTCCCCCCACACATTTCACATCTACACATAAGACTAGGATTGCTTTTCAAGTCCGTGGGAGGCAAAGCAAGCAAATTGTTTTGCAAACGCTAAATAACTTGTGTCCAAAAAGTTCACTGCAGTTTTAATGTACCTCCCTCCTCCAAATTTACTTAACATTTTATTTCAGGTTCTCAGCAAAGGAATTTCAGGTGTTAAGCTGCACACCCTGCCTGTCACCTTCTTTTTAGAGTAACCATTATGTACAACTTGTTGGTGTTTTTTGGGCACAAACTATTGCTGAGCACCGTGCAATTTGGAAAACTTTATCTTTGACTGAATACTTACATTTCATTCAGTTTGTTTCAGTGACTAGCGCTAATTTGCAGAGCAACACTGTCCCTCTTTAATAAGTGGTCCAAAATCTGATTTAATTCAGATGATAAAGTACAAAAAGTGGAGTTGTTTAATGAACCGCATAAGACTGAATGGGAGAGAGCGCCAGCCAGGCAGTAGCTGTGGAAAAGCAGTGACATGTTTCCAAGCAGCATTTGTGTTCATGCATTCCTACCCTAACAACCGGCTCTCCTGTCTCCATTTGTCTGTGCCGAGTCCCTCTTAAGGGATGACTGCATTATATAAATACATACAGAAAGTAAATGTACCCAAGACAAGACAGCTCCACCACATTGCAGCCCCCACCACCCCATTCCACCCCTCACAATCACGGAGGGGCAGATAGGGTGGCGACGACAATCGAAGCAAGCTGGAGGAGAGGGGGGCCGGGTGAGTGGAGCCAGGAAGCAATAGAGGCGCGGGGAGGGCGGGGCCCGTTGCAGAGAGGAGTGTTACAGCAGCTGATGCAGACTGAGCCCATGTGTCCCGGAGAGCAGAAAGACTGATAGCCGGCAGACACAATGAGACAGGTGGTGAAGGAAGCACACGCCTTCCTGTAGGACACACCTGAGACCGCAGCACAATGGGGAAGAGCAGCCATTACTACACAAAGTTTACATATTTACACACATTCCAGAAACTATAGTTAGAGAAATGGCTCCGAAATACTGTCAGTTCTCAATGGCCGTAACAGGAAATAGTGACAGAAAATCTATGAGGATCAAAAAGTGTCGAAATTAGACATGTAAAATTGCCTGCCGTCTCACGCCCTAGAGAAGCCACCTCGAGATGTTATTCCTGCCTTTTTCAAAACGAAAAGTTAAAAGATAACGGAGGCACTGTGCACAGAGGTACAGATCTAATGAAACTGACGATTTTTTTGCAGGTACTCTTTGAAATCATTTTATGTGCATGAACAGCACACGACCCTAACAAGATACATCATTAAGAAACCGTTCTTCGGTTAACAAAAGACTTTATTTAGAAATACATTCTGAGATATCAAATGTTCCAGTAGTCCCTGCTCTGTTTGTTGGTTGCATATTCGCCCCGTGTTATGCTGCTCTCCTCCAAGTATTCCACTTTCCTCCCACAGTGCAAAGACGCGCAGTTCGGTGAATTGGAGCCTTGAGATTTCTCATGCTGTGTGACTGTGTGCGCTGTGATGGAGTGCCATCTGGTTCAGGGTCTCTGCCTTACTGCCTGGGAAACTCTCCAGGACCTCCGTGACCTTGTACTGGATAAGCTGGAAGATGGATGGCTGACGGTATCTTCTCATATGTGCGTTATATATTTTTAAGGATTCTTATTTACGTGTTGGTGTTCGGGCTGCACTTGTATGCTATTGTGATGCTCAAAGGTTAGCTTTGAGTAGCTATCCACGGGCCACATGTTAAGTGCCCCGTATGTCGTTTGAAACCTTAAGCAAACTGGCTTCCATAGATATGGAGTAAATTCCGGCAAAGTGTGAATTCAGAAGCAGTAAAAACGTTATACCCATGGCTGTCTCATGAATCATTTCCCTTACAAACATTACTCAGGGCTGTGAAATGTGCTGCATTACCATGGTGCTCACAGTCAGACAGACTGATCCCAGTTCATTTCCAGTACAATACGGCCTGGGTATGCTACGTTAAGCTTAGCTGAAGGATGCGGGGCTTCCCTCACCGTTGGCCATCACCATGACCTCCTTCTGGCAGGCGTTCTGGATGTTCGCTGTGCAGTTGACAATGAAGTGCGGGGCTGAGCAATCGTCCTCTAGGGGGCTCTCTTCGCAGTGGTAACACTGCATCTGCAAAGGCCACACTGATGGACACAGACGAAGGTTTAAAATGACAAACGATGATACAGGAGCTGGGCAGGGCATGACACTTAACCCCACTTCACCCAGTAGGAGGCAGTTTCTGGAAACACGGGACCAATGATCACGCTTAGAATGTGCATTGGATGTAGTGATGGAGGGGTGGAAAGACCGTTAATTTCAGTTCCCCTATTTCAAAGGGACAAAAATTTTATTTCAGCTGAACAATTTATGCTCTATGTTTCTTTTATGTTCTCATAATCTTTGAAAATGACAAAATAGCGCAGTGTTAGGCAGCTTATTGCCTAACCCCATTTGGTCAGTCTAATAGCTTCTCCATAAAACTGACAGCGTAGCTCATGGCCACAGGGCGCGCCAGCCCAGGGACAGCCGCTCCTGAGATATAGCTGATAATCACTGCAAAGGCTCTGGGCTCCTCTGGAGTGTTAGATTAATGTTAATCAGGACTACAGTCAGAGAAGAAGAGTGTCAGGAAACGGAGCCAAGACACTGTGGTGTAATACAGTCTGCCATTCGAACTGGGTACAATTATTAGAAAAAAAGACGTCTATCAAAGCAGTGTGCGCGTATATGCATCTCACTGTGTGTATGTCTCAAATTCATAGCGGAACATATTTTAAATGCATTAAGAATTTATATGCCCCATAAGCAAGAAAAATAGCTCAACTATACCTGAGCTGAAACTGCATTCACAAAGTCGCTAGACTATCAGACTGCCCATTTTCCTGCCGCTGTCATGAAGCTGAACCTAATGAAATGCACAGTTAAACTAAAGTATATATATGCTTCCTGGGATGTATTTTACGGTGTTCTTTCCAGTGGGCTTCTTCATCTGAACCGAGCTAAAGACTGAAATCCATTAAAATCTTACCAAACGGGGGGAGAGCATAAATCACGAATACTTCTATTGCTGAGTGATGTTACATCCAATTTTCATGACATAAATAAAACCTAAATAAAATGTCTTTTTTACCCTTCAAATGTATATTGGCAATTCGGACATTTTTATGATTTAATTAGCTCCTTTAACTGACCTAATATTTTGTTAATTTGTTTAGCCTTAGTCTTAGTCTTAGTCCTAACACGGGATTAGAAAACAAGAATAAATCACACCTGCTCTCTAAAAGGACCTGTGGCTTATAAATGTGGATTAACGCGACTACTAAATATGTTTTTAACAACCTAATCCATCCAAATCCGCCAAGGTTGAGAAGCGTATTTTTTACAGCAAGCACAATAGCATTTAAAAACATTATGTTGTATATATGATTAAAAGGCTTTCTGGAATTTTTAATATACTGCCTTCATGTACTTAACCTCGGAGCGTCTGTATTTCTGATATAGTGCTGGTGATGGTAAAATTAGCTACATTATTTCCAAAGAACAGAAAAACAAAACGAAAACTGAAAGACTGTCATTCACCGCCACTAGCGATTAGTCGTGCATCAGTAATGGCAGCATGAGTTGCGTAAAAACGCATGGGAAGCAGCCTACCTAACATAAAGGTTCGTAAAGCAGACGCATTTTTTAGAATATTAACATAACACAAAAATAAAGACAGCAATACTATAAGGAAACATATGTTGCCATGTAAATATACCCAAGAGTAACTTTACCAAAAATGATTAGCTGACGCGTATCTAATAAAATTTAGCGCAGAACCAATTTGGCGTAAATCGGTAGATCGAACTATGTGAATAACAACGTCAACTTCTTTTGTATCGGGATGTATTTATAAATCCAATAATAAATGTTACGTTATCGACTGCTTCATTAAAAGAAAATTAAAATGCATTAACGATATGAAAGAGTCCGACTGTACCTTGGCTGAAAACGCACGCACACAAAGTGGCGTAGATTATCAGAGCGCGCATTTTCCCATAAACTCCATGAACGGATTCGTTGTCGTTTCCTCCCGAAACACTGGCCATTCGAGTGATCTAGGTCATCCTGAGCGCAAGTTCATTCACCGATTGCAACTGCAGCGTTAATTGTGCCGATGGTCACAGACTGAGGCTTTATTACATTTAGTGCGACCTCACAGTTGCAAAGAGCTGCAGATCCTTCACCGACACAGCAGGGACTCGCAGTATCGACGAGTTCACCGCTTACGCTCTCGCCTGTATGTGGGGGACCGAGGTTCGTTTTCTCCATCTCATCAGAGCATCTCCCTGGGAAAGGATCACTTAAATGAAATTGAGCGTTTTCAAAAAGCACACTGATTACCCCCAGCTGCCATGTGAACTGCATGTGTGTAGAGTTCAGTGTGTTTGCTCCGGGTGGGTGAATCGCTTCTCCAACGCAGCTAACCTAAGTAGGTTGGACGGCACACGCGGTGACAAGCCAAAGCGATCAAAGTGACAAGCTGTACAAACAGTCCTGCATCACTGTCACCGGGTCTTTAATTGGTCTCATGTGTTCATCCCAAGGCACTGCATCTTAAATCGCTAGTCATGACATAGAACATCACCATTGAGCGCCACGAGTATGGAATTTTTAGATTATTGTTCTGCAGCCACAAGTACATGCATTTGGTTTAGCTGAATCACCTTTAATAACAAATGGTGGTGGGTGGTTATTTCAGAACTTGAAAAAAGACGGTTCGCCTTTCAACACTCAGTACTTCCCTGTGTTATTTGGGCTTGCTTATCTTCTTTCTCGGAATCAATTTGCTTCCCTCGCCGTAATACTTGGAACCTTTCAGGGTCACCCTACCACATTTATATATTTATAAATACTATTGCAAGGCGTCAATTCTTGACCCATATCGAGCCACAGAAATCTATGAAGGCATTTTTTTTTACAAGTGGCTTGTATAGCAATACGGAGCTTAAGAATGAACTTTGTTTTAAGGAAATAAGTGAAATGCATGTTATTAAGGAAGAGAATATGTGCAGGCTAAAGGGAAAACACACCAGAAGGCTCAACTTTTAATTGTAATTTGATTAAAAGGCATATCGTCATTGAAATAACTCATCCATCTTCCAAGCCTTTGCCATGGTGACATAAACACACACAACATTTGGAGAATGAGTGAAACTGCACACAGAGATTGGAAGCAGGGTTCAAATCCCTAACCCTAGAGTGTGAGGCACTTCTGCTACCCACTGAGTCACCAGTCACAAGAAGCCAATTTAATCATGTTAACTGTCATGTCATTTGCATATTAAGTAATTTTACAAACATTTTTTGACCTTGGCCAGTGGAGTGATCCTTAGGACAGATAACTTAAATTAAAATGGTCAAATTTTATTGACAAAAATATTTTTGGATTTTTATCACATCACCCAGATGATTTTCTTGTGCTAAAATTGACATGGCGATGACTGAAAAGCCATCTTGGCTTAAAGGCACAGGGCACGCGTCACCCTTCTGAGCCAGAAGGAATTAAGTACAGCTGGTCATTAGGCAGCAGATCATGAAGCTCTTTGTTCCGCATAGTGTGTCAGTAATGCTAGTCTGAGATAACAGACTTAAATTGTGCATCCCAGGTTTTAAAAACAAAGGACAGGTGTCTCCTTATATAGTCGCTATGCTTTTCATACAGTCGTGTAAAAAATTGAGACCACAGCACTTTTTTGTTTCACTCATTTTTCTATTTATGGCTGTGCGTCTGTGAATAATACATTTTTTTTTTTTGCAAACTGCAGCCTGGTTCTTCCCTGCTTCTCATTAATGAAGGGCTTCTTCCTTGCTTTATGGGACTTCAGTCCTGCTTCTAGGAGCCTGAAGTAAACTATCCTAGCAGTGCACTTCACACCTGCACTTAATGTTTGCCGTTCCGTTTGAAAGTCACTTGATCATCCTCCGATTAATGAGAAACATAAGCACATAAGTTAATAGTCATCTCTGGCATCAGAAAATTCCTTCTGCCCTCTACCTGGCTGGTTTATGGTTGTTCCCAGTGTCTCCTGCTTCACCTTGTTCTTGTGTACTGCTGTCTTAGAAATTTTGAGCCTGGAAGCAACCTGCTGTTCAGCAGAACCACGATTAAGACCAGGATTTAAAAATACAGATTTAAAAATATATTTTTTTTCCACAGCTATACCCTAATTCTCCTCATTCTGCTACATTCTTAACAGCCTTTATACTTTGATCGTCGAAAAAAAAAAAAATGTCAGAAAGCCTATAAACTCACAGTCCTCTGCAATTTACTCCAGTTGAACATTGAGTTGGAAGGCACTCTCAGATAGAGTTCAGTGTCTTCATACAGATCACTGAATATTGTACACAGTGTCCTGTTATTAGAGGATCATATACAGCAATAACCAGGAATGTGATGCCCGTTCCTGACACTGTGGATCTGTAAAAATCCACAGTTTGCATCTTGACCTAGAGGCCCGGCGCTGAGATGAAGATAAACTTGTCACTGTGATCCCTGCTGCCCGCCGCCGCCCGCCGCCGCCCACCAACACCCACCGACACCCCGCAGCATTTAGCAGCTTCCTCTCTGCGTGCTCGTCGATTTCTTCCCTGCCTGACATTAAACGCAGCATGGCCTCTTCATGCCGTCTCTGGAAGAGTTTCCTCTTTGGGCTTCAGACGGCAATACATTTCCTAACTGCCAAACGTGAGCATTAAAGGCAAATAAAACAATTCAAAATGATAATTACAGCTCTGCTTAGAGCTCATTTCCCCCCTCAAGGAGATACAAATGGAGTCATCTATTGACTAGAATGATTATCTTTCCTGGTTTTTTCACCCAGACTGGATCCATCTTACAGCTTTGCAAGAACTCCAGTGCTTTAGCAGTTTCTTAAAACGAGATTTAATACATTTAATTAAGAAAGTGGGGGGAAATAAAATGAGATAGAATTGGTTACCTGACAGCAGATGATGAGATGATTAAACATTGGAACTTGTGACCAAAAGGTCATCGTTTATCCTGGGAGGTTCATGTCTACCTGTAAGAAACCAAATATTCAGTTTTAGCAAGGGAGCAGAAAAACTGTACATTTAATCATTCTGGATAACAACATATCTTAACCAAATTAAATGTTAATAGGGTAAATTGCAGGTTTTGCTAGGTAATTCTACATAAATTTAATTAATGAATTTGTATATACCCAAGATTTCCGTGGTGAGAAACTGCAGACAACGTGTTTGCTTATTAGTTCACTGATTCTTCTATTTGGTTATTTGGTTTCCTGCCTATGGACTAAAACGTCGTAAGATTTCTGGTATGAATTTCTGCATGTATGGCAGAGATGGTCCCAGCCGACGTGGCACCTGAGGTGAGCATCATCACTGGCGCCCTCTGGCTGAGGCCACGTGGCATTTGGCTGGCAAGTCGGCGTCTTAGGCATTCCCCCATGCCACCTATAGGACTGATCAGCCCTGACTAATTAAGGATTAGAAATCATCAGGTTGGTTGAAGATGGACATTTTCTAAAATTTGTATATTATTAAGCAGAACATAGAAAACAGGCAGGGACACATTTCGGGTGTGAAATTGTGTCGATTTGCTTTATTTCTATATATGGACAAAAGTATTGGGACACCTGGCCATTACACTTACAGGAACTTTTATGACTTCCCATTCTAAATCCATAGGCATCAGTATGGAGCTGGTCCCCCCTTTGCAGCTGTAACAGCTGTCACTCTTCTGGGAGGGCTTTCCACAGTATATTGGAGTGTGTCTGTCAGAATCTTTGCCCATTCATCCAGAAGAGCATTTGTGAGGTCAGGCACTGATGTTGGACATGAAGGCCTGGCTTGCAATCTCTGTTTTGGTTCATCCCAAAGGTGCTCGATGGGGTTGAGGCCAGGGCTCTGCGTGGGCCAATCAAATTTTTCCACACCAAACTCACCCAACTGTGTCTTTATGGACCTTGCTTTATACACTGGGACACAGTCATGCTGGAACAGGAAAGGGCCTTCCCCAAACTGTTCCTGCAAAGTTGGAAGCATAAAATTATGCTTGTGAGAGTTTTACTTACACAAAAATGTTCTGAGGGCAGAACTAAAAATGATTGGTTCAGAGATAACCAATCAGCTTGTACAGGTGGTGGGTCCAAGCAAATAGACGAGGCGGGACCAAGACATATGATTGGTTGGTCCCACCACCTGTACAATCTGACTGGTTATCTCTCTGAACCAATGATTTCTCCTTCTCCCCTCAGAACATTTTTGTGTAAGTAAAACTTGCATAAGCTAGAATTGTTCAATATATCTT